CATCGACTTAACTCGGGTTAGTGAATAATGGAATTAACAAAGTCAAATATGAGAATGGATTTCGAATACACATATTTCATACAATCATTGATCCAAACAAACGATCGGAGAAACGAAACGAAGAAGAAAAGAGCGAAGCGAAATGACGTGCGGTGGACAAGGCATATAAACCAGTTCGATTTAACCAAATGCGAATCAATATTTATAGTCGAACAGAAATAAGTTACAGACATGTGATGAATAGAGTAAACGCACACATATATGTTCATATAGAAAGCAAATAATTAACATGATCAAAATATGACTCAATAAGGATTAATGAACTGGTCTATTAGAAAGCTAGAATAAACTATGTGAACTTAACATAGCAATTGGTACTACAACATAAGTTGAAATACACCGATTAGTATAAAGATTAATAGATGAATAATGATTTCTTTGTGAACGATTCAATATATAACATTTATCTTTTGGAGATTTACTGAAACACATTATAATTAATTGCTTTGTATAAATAAATAAATAAATATTTTGCATTATTTTGTTAGCTTAATAGTTTGTTTTTACTTAATGTAACTAAAATAACTTAAATTAGACTATTAATGCTATTTAATTATTCTAAACATGAATTTCTAGCATGAGCAGATTTGTTAGTTCCTTTATAAAAATAGGTTATTGAAAATTCTGTTTCATAAAAGGTCTCTCTTGAATTTAAGTTGAATAACTTAAATGTAATAGGATTATTCTTGCTTAAACCTAACATAGATGATAAAACATATCGCATATACTTTGCCTATCATAACTGAACAAATGTTTGTATGTTCATAATTTCGTTGAAATGTTAGTGTGTCAACAGAAAATCATCAATTCAGTTTCTGTGCTAGCCGCCAGTCACCTGCAAGAGATATTTGAAATCTTGAGACAAATGTTTGCTGAGTTACCTAGTGTTACTGTGGGAAACGTTAGTAGTGAACTATTTAGGCAGTGACTGTCTCCCTATGGCACTGAGATTTTAAACAGGTTTGAATCTTGATGACTCCTCACAACACCCTAGAAACTTAGCATAGTGCACGGGATTTCGAGTCAATTACGCTAGTTGCCACACTATAACTTGATCTGCATCATTTATTATGGATTATACTGGCATGTATTTATTTATAATTCACTGACCGATCGGTATCAAATATTCATATATTCGATATACGCAGAGATGATAATCTAGCAATTACTTTAAGTCCACTTATCAAATTATACGACATCTTAACTTTGGAAACCCGGAAAACATATCGTTTGTCAATTTCATGAATGACAGTCTTTTGTTTTTACCAATTCGCTGAATCTTGTTTAGCCATTTAGTTTTATTCGAATTTTATTGTTTAATTTTATAATCACTTAGTGTCATAGTCTACACGAGGAGTTATTCCACATCTAACTGTGCGAATCCTGTTGTTACTGCGCTTTTGGAAATTATCAAGAAAACGATATTTCGTTAATTTTAAACACTTTATTTTCATGAAAGTATTTCTTATATAGAAGAAGAGTATATTTGTTAAGTTGTCATCTGAATGAGATTACTTACATCAACAATGTTATTAATTTTCGGCTCTACGAATTCTAAAGTCCTATTTAGGACTTGTCATCTGGATGTACTTGCATCCCAGAGTTGATTTTACTCCGGGACTACGAACCCAGAACCGTTTCCTTCAAACGCCATCGTGTTATCCACTCGGCCTTTGAGTCCTGACAGACAAACTTAGCTGACGAGTCCTAAGTATGACGAAACGTGAGTCCTGGATTCCAACGTATGCCACTGCCTATCTTTGTTTATAAAGCTTGTGACTTAAAACGATCCGCATAAGATGCCGATAAGAGACTGTGCAATCGCAGTTTTAAACAGGTTCGCAACTTCAAATAATGCAAAGAGAAAACTAAGTTCAGTAGAACTATGTAATATATAAGCGCAGGATATTATTCGAAATACATTACAATCGTATAGCACATAGTTCTGGTAAACTTCGTTTCTCACCGGGTTCTGCAATCGTAAATCCAAATTAATAATCCATAAAATTGGCCAGATTTAAGGCAGAGTACATCATTTAAAGTTGTAATATGCGAACCCAGAATTGTTTGTTACATAAAATCAAATCGTTGATTTCGGAGCTGACTAATATGAAGTGTTAACTTGAATTAGTTTATAAGTGAAATCAAATTGTGAGACAATTTATCAGAATAAATATGGTCAACATGGGGTGAGAGAGAGAGAATAATGGAATAAAAATCGGAAATTACGTAATATGTAGAATAATATGAATTAAGTCAAATATAGTAGATAGGGTTGGATGCTGAATAAATTTCTCAAAAAGGTTAGCAAGTGTAATAATAAGTTTGAGACATAAAAATGAACATTAGTCAAATCATGTCACTGTATTATAAAATTGTTTAACTAGTTGGCCAGGGTAAAAAAGCGGCTCTAGCTTTTCGGTCCGAATAGCAATTGCTTCAGCCGTCTGCAAGATTCTCAGTCTGACGGAATTAGGTAGGCTGCTGTTAACACTATATATTATTGAGAAAGATTGCTCCATGTTGTCTGTATATCCCATCTGAATTAAACGGGTTAAAATGGAGCTGTTAACAGTTTTGACTACATCTTTTCATTTCACTTATAAACTGATCCAAGTTAACACTTCACATCAGTATGCTCCAACATTAACGATTTTATATTATTTTATGTCACAAACAATCCCTAATTCACATATTACAATTTTAAATGATGCACTGTGCCTTAAGTCTGGTCAGTTTTATGGATTATTAATTGCGTTAACTTATTTTATAGATTAGATTCAACTTTGAACCCGTGAACATCATCAGGTGAATTAAAAGTACTCACGATACAACAGAATTTGACAATCTTAGTATCTGGCTGCTTCAAGATATCCTGAACACAAACAAGGAAGATAATCATGTTCGAGCAGACGTAGAGAGTTCAACGTTAAACTATTACCTTGACCACTAAGGAAAGAAGAATGTCAAATGAATTTTACCCAGGTATGACCATGATCCTTGACCGAGTGTTGTCACCTAACAATATCTGTTAAAACTAATGTTAGAATAAGCGTCGAAAGTCTCCATAGTTACGCCACACAACAATACGAATAACACGCGAGTATTAACTAATCGACTAGTTTTCCTTTCGGAGTATCAATGAGCCATATATGAAACTTAATATGTTTAGCGAACGAGCAACTCTAAAATATCAATTTAGACTGGCATTAAAATTAATTGACAATCTGTTCTTCCTGAAGAATGACTCCAACTTAACGAAATTGGACTTATTATAAATAATTCAACCACAGAAACTTGTTTCACAATGTTTGTTTCAAACCAAGATTTTGTTAATGATTTTAGGGGTTTGGTTAACTAATCGGTTGAATAATATTCTTAGAGTGAATAAGGTGATTGAAGTGACAATTTGTTTCAGACGTCGATATTTATGTGTATAAATAAATATATTAAGAGTGACTATAACTGTTTGACTGACTAAGTAAATATAGATGGAAGATTAAAACAGCCACTTATCCAAATAATATTTAAAAAAACAATGGCTAGTCAAACTGATATGGAAATGAAACGAATATCTTAAAATCACCAACTATTTTTAATTTCTGTCCTTCAGAATACATACTTAATAGACATTACATTTTTGATTGAGATCATGAAGCGATTGATGTTAGACCACCATTTTTGGAAACCTGGAAGCACTGGACGGCCGTTTCGTCCTATTGTGGGACTCCTCAGCAGTACGCATCCACGATCCCGCTCGCAAGATTCGAACCCAGGGCCTCCGGTCTCGCGCGCAAACGCTTAACCATCAACATCAATCGGTTTGTGATCTCAATCAAAAACGTAATCTCCACAACCCCTATACTAGTAATCAACATTTGCTCACTAGTGACTAGCTTCGTGAGGGAATTCTCAGAGTTCTAGTGAGAAGCCGTGATCAGTGGAGCTAATTCATGTCGGGTAGAGACAGGTATCTACCTCAGTACAATGGAAGTTGGTTCCGAAATTTCGTGGATTGGTTGATGTTAGACCCTATCACCATTGGATGCCGGCTCAGTGGTCTAGTTGGTTAGGCGTTCGCGCGCGAGACCGGAGGCCCTCGGTTCGAATCCTGCGAGCGCGATTGTGGGTGCGCACTGCTGAGGAGTCCCACAATAGGACGAAACGGCCGTCCAGTGCTTCCAGGTTTCCAAAAATGGTGGTCTAACATCAATCGCTTCATGATCTCAATCAAAAATGTAATGTCTATTAAGTATGTATTCTGAAGGACAGAAATTAAAAATAGTTGGTGATTTTAAGATATTCGTTTCATTTCCATATCAGTTTGACTAGCCATTGTTTTTTTAAATATTATTTGGATAAGTGGCTGTTTTAATCTTCCATCTATATTTACTTAGTCAGTCAAACAGTTATAGTCACTCTTAATATATTTATTTATACACATAAATATCGACGTCTGAAACAAATTGTCACTTCAATCACCTTATTCACTCTAAGAATATTATTCAACCGATTAGTTAACCAAACCCCTAACATCAATCGGTTCATGATCTCAATCAAAAACGTAATCTCCACAACCCCTATACTAGACATTACATCCTTCTATCTTTCTGCATATTAATTTCTGACGAATTGCAGAACAATATATTACATTTAACCAAAGCGAAATAACTACTGGTACTATTCATCAAAAAAAATAATGAGTGCTGCATTGCAGGCTGTATACAAGTTGTTAGGTGTGACTATGCTATAAACATTATTTTCTATAAGTAATGCAAACCAAGCATCGGATTAATATCGATAAAAATTACAACTTCATAAAGAAAAATTTAATAACTTTCATAACATTTGTTACATTCAAACATGAAAAGACAAAAAAATCTAAAAAGTAAATAATAGGTGGGATTTACAGGGGAAATGCATTAGAAAAGCACTGACATTCATGTTCTATGCCTCAAACAATACTGAACATAATCATCAACCAACTTTGCAATACGTTCATCAGTAACCTTATGAGATGGTTTGTTGATAATCTATAAGCAAACAAAACAGAAAAGACAAATGGCAATCATAAAATATAACTGGAGAAGAAATCTCAATTGTGTAAATTAATTTTGGTAAACAATATCAACAAGAATGATCACGACATAAATTCATACACTGGGGGAGTTTAAATCTTTAAACACCCTGTTTAACAGGATAGTTAACATTGTTAGAAAAATCCCTATTCATGAATAACTAGAATTATTGAGAGACGAACAGATTCTTAAAGCGTTCAGTATAAATAAGTTTTAATATTGGATAGACTACGATTACAAAGGACGAGTGCACACAATAGATCGCCTAAATGTATTCACTTATTAGATGAGAAAAGTTTAGCTACCATTCATTTTAAACCAAACAAATGGACAAAATTAATTCTGACAAATCTAACTTCGGTAGCTATCCTTATGTTAGTTCGTTATTTTCAGAAATTAATCTATGGTATTCAAAAGTCAAGTATTGTAAATAGTTTTTACAGTATTTAAAAAGCTTTTCAAATATCTAGGGAACAAGAAAGTCAACAAAATAAGACACTATGCAAACCTTGTTGACAACATTGAAATGTAAGTATTATAAAAACAGGAAAGTACAGAAGTACATGAAAAAAGTACGATTACCTTGCTCAACGAACGTTGAAAAATATTACGACAAGTTTCTTTGTCTATTCTGTGAGAAGAGACATATGCCTTTAAATGATGTTTCAAGGTAGACTTTACTCTTTGCAGAGATTCAGAGCTCCAATTACAATGTGAAGGATTAACTTCACTTGGACAACTGTGAGATGTTGATGGGATAAGATTATTGATAACAGAACATTTTGCAGGTGTATTGTTATAATGTTTTACTTGAGAGTTTGTATTTGAATTTGAGGATATGAGAGGCTTGGAGACAGAAGATACGCCATCTGATGTAGAAGGAGAAGAGATGGAGTTAACTGTAGACAGAGAGGGGAATTTATTGTTTACTGAGTTCGCTATATTGACCTTGTTTGTGGAAAGTGATGGGACCTTGGCTACCGGAATAGGCGACATAGAATGATCCGGATTTACTTGCATATGACGAGTAGAAAAGCGGAACAATGATGCCTGTCCAGCTTCTATGTCACTGAGATAAGTTGATGATCGAGGATTCGGTTGGGAAATAGAATTGTTTGAACTGAAGTTAAAACAGAGAAAGGTTCAACGAATTCATATGAAATAACACAATTTAAGTACGTTAAAGCAATTCGAGAAAAATGAACTAACAACCAGAAAATGTAAACGAAAACACTAAAAGTTAACACCGGATTATGCGAACTGGATTTTTAATCCACCAGAGATACTTTATATACTGGAACTTACTCCGTATACACAGAACAAGACCACAGAGAAACGGATAACTACAGTTCAATAAACATTTAGTAGTCATGTGAACAATGTGTATTATAAGCATCTATAAAGAACACAATCTCCACAAACAAACGGAAAGCATAGTGGCGTTGAAAAATTGGTTAAAACACCACTTCAAACTGAAACATACAAAAACCCAGTAGCACTAATAATAAAGTAAGAATAGTTTTAAGAAACAGTTCAATTACAAAATGATTAGTAAAACCTCCAAAGGATGTTAATGAGGAAGAAGCTAACATACATCTGACGATTACATTGAGCTTAGCCAATAAATTATGAAAGAATGAAATTTGAAATCTATGATGTTTAATTTTTTTTATTAGCGATTACAGAATGATAAATGAATTCCAGTGTTAATATGCTACGAAATTGTAGTAGCCGAAGTGCAGTGAACACCATCAATAAGAAAATTTAAATAATAATTAATACCGTCTGTAAGTCAAATGTCTAACTAAAAGTTCTGAATTTTTAAAAAGTACTGAGATATAAAAACGCGTGTGGACATTCGAAAATTACTATTAGTGTTGAACCTCGGAATAGTAACTGGAAAAGAGTTACAAAACGATTTATCGGAAACTAGAATTTATGCGTTAAGAAATGCTCCTAGTTATACAAAACTATGAACATAAGTTATGTAAGAAGCTTAATCTGAAATAGGTATATTTCAAAAATCAATTGTCTAAACATGAAAGCAATATTGATTGAAAAACGAAGTTCGAAATTCAGCGGACAATTAATGATTTCTAAACATAGTGTTTCTATCCGTCACAGTGTAAATGGTTGGTACTACTATAAGCACGTGTACTTCGTTATTTGGTAAATATGGTAAATTTTCCGGCACCTGTGGAGACTGAGTATATGAAAACAGAACATTGTGGTGAGTCATCGATGAGGAGAAAGCACTTGATATAATGTTTATTAAGAAACAATAGTACTTAACAGAAATTATATTTTTTGAGATTGTAAAACCTTTAATTAAATAGTTTCTAATGTTTACAAAAATATACTCCTAGTACCATCTCGTAATTAAGTACTTTAATGCAACCTAGTAACCAGGTGAAAGTTGTGAGCCCCCAAATGCCCTGGTACGGCCGAGAGTGGGGAGAGTCCATTCTCCCTCTCGAAATGCTCTCACATGGCCACGCGTGTATAGCCTCTGCCAGGGAAGTCCTACTTACTGCCTTCTCGTGGCGGGGGTGTTGTTTACAAAAATGAGAGAACGAAAAGCGAATGTTCGGCGCTTTAACCGGATTCCAAACCAATGGTGCACATGAGCTCCAGTATCCTGTGGGAACAAATGGCGTATGAACCAATTGTTGGTCACCGGCTTCCATGGGACTGCATCTCCTTACGATGCTCTACTGCCTTGTGGATCAGACCTTCAGGCCGAAGGCTCGGGGAGTGGCCCCCTAAGAAAACCACCTGCTTCGGTTTGGGCACCCAGGCAGTATCACGGCCCTCACACATATCGATTAAGATTTGTGTGGCGCATATGTATTTGATGCCTCCTTGTACCAATATCTGTTTTAAAATAAATAAATAAATAAATAAATAAATAATGTGTATTCGACTTCAAACCACACATTTTGTGTGACGCCTATCCGAGTTCATGAACTTAATTGGTGAGACAGGATTCGAACCTATGACTGGACAGTTGGAAATCAAGTGATTTACAAATGAACAACAGACTGTTAAAGAGAAATATATGAGCGATTGAAGAGTTTACACTCTTCATTGGAACCACACCCAGACATTTGTATGCAACAAGAAAAATGTTTTTGATCCCCAGTATAACGCTTAATCTCAAGGTTTAGATGGTTTTGGCGGGTTACCGTTTTGACTCAATAGGAATTTAACATTTGTCTTGACAACAAATACTAGTGTATAACCTTAAATATGTTATGAGAAGGCATTTAATAACATGGCTAACAGTTTGCAATCAGTAAGGAATGACTTTATCCAAGATACGTACAAATAAGAGGAAAATGATATAATTAATATTATTACGCTTAACGACTGTTAATTACAGATACTGTTAGCATATTCAATAACGCGACATGTTGAAACCCATTTGACCGAGATTTCTATATGTTAAGTCAGTTTAGAAGGAGTACTAATCCCAGAAAAATAAAATGGAGACGCGACAAAATCGTAACTATTTCTGAACATTTGTTGAAACCTGTCACCCGAAAACTACGATCAACAAATATTTTTCAACGAAATCAATGGTAGTTGAAAGAAACGTTGAACAACGTTGTAATGCATGAAAAAATAAACGCATTTCAAAACATTACACGATGATCCGTTAGCTATTCGAGTTACTGATACTTTATTTTCTACAGAACTTTTACCCAAGGGAATCTATAAAGAACCACTCTTTAACCATTTACACCCAAATTTTAGACTTTAAATAACTTAGCAGTAATTGAATGAAATACAATACATAAATCTAAACTTACGTGGAACTAGCAGTTATGATAGGTAGAGAAGGTACGATTGATGCTTTATCGTCATCTTCATCGACCAAAAGTCTAAAACTAGAAAATATGCAAAAACGATTATCTACATGTACAAATAGAAGCTAAAAGATAATACATGTTAACGATAAGTCAAACTCTTCTACTAATAATAATCATGCAAAACGTTTGGTCGATTTTAGTAACTACGTGTGTTTCTAACAGATTCCCATTAGTCTTCAGGTATATTTTACTGATGTTTAATTGTTTAAAGAAGAAATACCTCACAAGTTTTTAGTCGAGTCAACTAAATCTCACGTAAAATGTTACAAAATTAGGTAGACGTTATTTGATATTTTTCTAGGGACAAGAGAGCATGGTTGGGGAAAAATAAACTAGTAAACAGTAAGTGTAACAACACATAGTTTCGAACTAAAGACTTTATGGAACAACCTAATCTGCCATATTTTCTTATACGATCTCAACTATGGAGCCTTCAATGAATGAATTTACTCTTAACGCAACCCATCTAGAGATTACAGACACAGATAAAGCATACTACAGCCAATACTAAATGTAAGAAGTTAGTGTAAAATGTATTGCAGTTGAATTGCTTTTTCGAAAATTAACAGCCAGGCAAATTAGTAGCTTTATTATTTATTTATTTTTATTGATTTTAATGCATAGATATTGGTACAAGGAGGCACCAAATACATATGCGCCACACAAATCTTAATCGATATGTGTGAGGGCTGTGATACTACCCGGGTGCCTGGTCCTGTCTAGCTCTGAAAATAACTTTCAGCTAGAACAAATTTATGGTCCACGTGATATTAGCCAAGAAAGCTATGGGGACTCGTATTCAGAAAATAACTGCAGTGACACAACGAACCCAATTATACCGAATGTTACTCAAAATCATTGTGAGACAGAAACTTATATTGAATCAGCTTATCCGATTTCTAATGACAATGTATCAGACATGGGTTCTCAGAACAATGCATGTTATTTGATGAAATTTCTCATAAAAATCAGGAAAATATATCAGCTGAGTCAAATTATGTTCAAAAGTCTAATTTAATTTTGTTAGATGATGATTTCCGTAATGATCCATTATCCACTGATGAAATTCCTAATGGATTTGAAAGTAATGCTTCAGAAGAATTAAACTTTGACCTCAAATCAAAGGTCGTTCATTATCATCTAGTCGTTTCTAGTGGATCCGACATTCAATGCGAGAAACGTCGTTTAAATAAAGTCCTATTATTTGTAAACCGAAGCAGGTGGTTTTCTTAGGGGGCCACTCCCCGAGCCTTCGGCCTGAAGGTCTGATCCACAAGGCAGTAGAGCATCGTAAGGAGATGCAGTCCCATGGAAGCCGGTGACCAACAATTGGTTCATACGCCATTTGTTCCCACAGGATACTGGAGCTCATGTGCACCATTGGTTTGGAATCCGGTTAAAGCGCCGAACATTCGCTTTTCGTTCTCTCATTTTTGTAAACAACCCCCCCGCCACGAGAAGGCAGTAAGTAGGACTTCCCTGGCAGAGGCTATACACGCGTGGCCATGTGAGAGCATTTCGAGAGGGAGAATGGACTCTCCCCACTCTCGGCCGTACCAGGGCACTTGGGGGCCTTTGTAGATTCCTCAATGATATTACGATTCCTATAGATAAATTCAGTGGAGATGTCTATCTGTAATTAATTTATTATCAAGCTACATATTCGTGTATGCTCATATATATATAGAGAGAGTTTACAAGTCACCAGTGTTTAAAAGTCGGTTGTTTGTATATATATATATATATATATATATATATATATACAAACAACCGACTTTTAAACACTGGTGACTTGTAAACTCTAATTACTGTACAATTTAAAGATCAAACGATCTGATTAACTAAGAGTATATGTGTATTCAGACGAATATTTAGCTCTAAAATTGGTGTTAAGTAATGCCAAAATGATTAGGTTATACAAATGGATTGCTAAAAAAAACCTACTCGCATTGTGATTCTTTACCCAAAATTGATAATTTAGGTAGACTAGATCCTATCAAGCCATTTCGAACTCGAAGTTGGGAAGAAGTTGATGGTTTCGGGCTAACAGACGATAGGGACGAGGAGAGTTTCCGCTAAATGTGCAAACAACGTACATAATATCATTTAGAATACTTTGGAATCGATAAATATGTACAAAGATCACACAAATAGAATTATTCTAGCTATTATTTGTACAGTATAAGCTAAAAACGTTTTATATTTCCGAAGCTTCAAAATCCACTGGAATTTCAATTTAGCTTTAAAACACTAAGGATAAATTAACTCTTATTTACCAGATATAGACTCATGTACTTCGAGCTACGAAATAAATGTGAGGGTTAGCAATGCTACCCGGTCTTTTCAAACAAATTAGATAGATCAAGGCTTGAAAGCACAACTTGAGCAGAAAGTTAGACGCCTTGACCGCTCAGCCTATGACTCCACTTCAACTTCAGTGATCCGTAATGTAATGTTGACGGTAAACCGACTAAAAGCCTATGGTACGCCTATAATCTCCGTGTGATGTAAAGAAATGTGAAAATCTTAATCAAAGCATTTTGGGAGAGATTCTACGTAACCGAGTTTATCACTGTATCTTGGTATTATTCGTCTAACTTTTGAGTTATGGATTTCGATCGGAATTATTCGTCGTACATTGACAAAAAACAAAAGATCGACTATATGTATAGTTATTTCAAAAGAATGTAAGCTAAAATAATTTTCTATTACCAATATATATTAGTAAGTATTAAATGTAAACTGACCGCTCAGAAGAATGTAAAGATATACTTTCTTAAGATTTACTCAATCTACTGTAGAAACAACAGCATAATTCATGTACATACCAAGTGATTCGATCTGTGAAACTTTGAACTAATATGTGCAACAAGATTCCTAGCACAATAAATAAAGAAATCCATAAAAAATGTCTGTGAAACCGCCAGAATCCTTAAGATAAAAACTCGAAACTGATCTCCGAGAAAATTCATACCACTTTACGTGTTTATGTATACTGAGTCGTCGTAGTATAAGTAATAAACTAGAGAGTAAATAAAAATTTGAGGTTTGATGTCCAATTACTTAACATCTCACTTTATTGCATAAAAGCACGTGTATATTAAATGTCTTGGAGACGAGTACATCCATACGACTCTGGTGTAATTTAACTTAATCAAGTCTGTTAAACCTTATTCGTTCAAATAACCAAAGTGGGTTGAAATTTAATGCACGATTCGAACAAACCACTTCTGTAGTATCATATTTTCTACCTGAGCACTACAATACTGAATAGTGATGGACTAACTTTCTCATTTGATGATAAATCTTTACTGAGAACCAACGACGAATATCGTCGCACAGTTGAGACGAAATTTGTAGTATGCCGATAATTATTTCTTAAACAATACATACATCAGTATATTTGTTTAACTCACTATTTTTTTACGCATTGTTTTGTTTCTCGAACGCTTAAATGTTCTGGATTTAAGTGACCTTTTCTTGACACGTTTGCCTTTCGCTTTTTTAGATAAGCGTCTTTTGGTTTTTCGCGTTGTTTTACTCTTTTTCGGTGGGTTTTTCACAGCAGGAACAAAAGTTTCATCGAAATTAGAATTTTCTGAATCAGATTTACTATGAGTGACTTCAAATGTAGAATCTTGAATGAAATCCATATGAGAAGACTCCGAAGTTCTACTGCTGCATACATCCCCATTAAGACTGGTAGTACTTGTTTGGATGACAGTATTGCCTTCCTGAACTCCATTGGAATCGTGCGAGGATGATGGGCCCGCTAAAACAGGAAACTCTTCCACTTCTGACTCACTAGGAGATCGTAGCAATCGAGAACGGTGACCAGTAAGTTTTGTGCTACGAAGTATAACTCCATTCTGATCATCTGAATCCGAATCACTGCTGGATAGTATACGCAGTCTTTTACGAGATGGCTAGATGAGAACAAAAGTATAATCACAAAAATAATAATAGAGGTATGAGTTAGGAAATAATCACAAATCAGATAAAATGCTTAAAATCAATGCTGTGAATGTAACAGTTCATACAGGTACCTTACTTCCTTAAAAACTATTTTTAAAACTAAATATATTACCAAACACTGATGACATCAAATGATATATTTTTTGAAACACAAACAAGATCTAGAAACATCTCGATAGTATTTCAGCGGCGAAAAAGAACCTGAATTTTACAGGTGTCGTTTCATGCTTTATCAAGTTATAAATTATTTCAAAGCAAGAAACAATTTAGCTTGGTTTTCTCTGCATGAACAATTATCACTAGACGTATGTAATTTTCCCTCAATCTCACTATTGGTAATCAAACAGTTCACTAAGTGCGTTTATGCATTGTGGTGTACCATGGTGCAAGGGTATCTTGAAACATTACTTCAGAGGAATATATACACGGTAAAACCGCGTTGTTATCATCATGAATAATCTCTGCAGATTGTCGTGATCAATAAAAAAACAGTTAGCTGAAAACGTGCAGTGGCTTTCAATAATCAACACCTGGAAGTAAACATTTTACTACTTTCTCTACAGCATATAATGCCCAGTTATCCACCAAGGAGAATTGGTCTATGTTCTACTTCTTTGTGTGCCTAGATAATTTACTCTTGGAACTCTCACTTACTGGTGTTTAATCTAGATCGAAAACGGAGAAATATCAGCTGTATTCACAACCATTAAGAGATGTGGATTAGTACCCACCAAGAGGTTTTTATGCCATACTATGAGCCACACATGTTTTAAGTTTCAACAAAACCACCCTATCCCCAAGACTGTCACTGGATTTAATTTGAACCTATACTTGGTGAGTTGCATCATCATAACTTATTGATTGGTTCTCATATGGGAAGAATAACAACTGCTCAATATAGTTCTACTACGTCAGTACAAAACATCGAACCGAATAACATGACAACTTTTACTTAGCTTATATTACCACTATTTTACTCTGTTCCCTCTACAACAAGTTATGTGCAAAGTACTTTTTGTCGTACCAGGTCTACTAAATGAATCAAATTTTTTTAAATGAAAATGAATTAAACAGATAGTTAATTGAAAAGAAAACCCCTTTTGTATCAACTAAAGCTGAATTTGCCATTTCTCACCAATTCAGGGTTTTTTTTCCAAAAAACGACATATTAGCTATTGGTACTATTTGAATGACATATTAGGTAAAAATTTTCTAAAATGAGACTAGGTTTCTCACCGATTCAAAAACCTTTTTTGTGATAATAAACTACTAAAACCACAATTAAAAGTAAAAAAGATGAACTATTTTCTAAATATTACCTCTGACTGATCATGACCTGATACTTGTCCATTACATTCTGACCGAACAATATTATGAATCTGGCTTCTGTGGTGAGAGTTCGAATAACTTGGAGGACGGCCCAACCGGATACTAACAGGTTGACTTGTCTAAGAAAAAAAACAAATAACTAATAACACCGCGTATGAATAAAATTATGGTTAAGTCTTATGGTAGAGAAAACATACAATAGTTTTGTTTCATGAAAACAGCTTACCGAAGATGATATTTCGAAACAGATTGTCGTCTGACTGTTCGCTGGACCAGATGGACTTAAACTAGTAGATTCTGATGCAAGCTGATTTTGAACACGTTGTCGTTGACTACGACGGCGTCGCGCTCGAACAGAGGCTTCTGATGTTATTCGTTCACTTAGATCAGCGATTAAATCCTGTAATAACCGACGTCCACGATGACGTCTAGTAGCCTGCTCTTCAAGCCTCCTCTGAGCAGCAAAACTAAGCTCACGTGTTAAATGGAGGTTTTCTGAACTAGAATCTAAGGAAGTGTTCAATTCATCGTGCTCACTCTCCTCTGCCTCAGAATCAATTAACCTTCTCCGAATACTTCTTCGAACACGTCTATTAGTAGTTGTTGCTGGCGCGACATCGGTAGCAATTATTTCGGGCGGGACAACCCCCTGTCGAAGACATTCTGGACAAAACCAGTCGCCATCTGGGATGGATGAGAGTGGGGTTGGGAGACAGTAAGTATGATACCCTCTATCACAGTGATCACATAAAAGCAAGTGTGCTTCATCATCTGGACGATGACATACCTCACAGTTAACATCCAATTCTAATGGTGGTGTTTCTGAAGGCTGCTGTTTAACAGGTGGCGCATTAACCTATAGAAACCAGTAGGAAAATAAGATGACAATATCAATGAAAATATCATCGAAATAATAAGGCCATAACTATTGTTAAGCATATTTTACGTCATTTCAGTGGGAGTGAAATTTTCTTGATAACAGATAAGTGACTAGAGGGCGTTTTTATGGTTCGTGCGAAAAATGACTAAATAAAAGTTATTGTTATCAGTTTGCAACTATATGTATGGTATATGATTTGGATTACATTCTATGGAAATTCCACAGGAAAAAAACTTATTCGATTAAAAATGGACTAAAACCCTTTTTACTGTTGAATTAATACGAAAACCCGTTAGAGCATTAAAATACTCCTCCAGAGAAGGCCTTCATGGAATGATAAATGGACGAGTTTCTGCAGCTGTGCTATCATTAACCGAATGATAAAGTCAATTATTTTGCTACACGAATCCACAGTTCCCATGCTACAAAAAAGATAAATGTAATAAAATTACGCGTCTAAAGTGAGGGTAAACAGACCAAAACCGTCCTGGTGAATGACTGACCTCTGTATGAAATGTATTACATATTAACGTTGATATACCTATAAATCTTAAGGATGACCTTAAGCTTCCTGGAAAGAATCTCCATATCATCTTTATGACTAGTGTCTTCAGTGGACGTAGAATCATCAACAACCTAAGGGAAAAGCTTTCGTAACTAACTAATGCTGGTTATTCATAAACAACGTAAGATCCGATGTGAACATGTATCAGTCTAAGTTGCCATATTATAACAACAAGAGGAAATAAACAAGATGGATAACAGTAATATTAATATGATAGTAAGGATAAAAGCAAACGGAAAGTATGGCTTGAATAGAGGAAATGAAAATGACCAATGAAAGGTCTACAAAAAGATTAAGACCTAAAGTATGGGAGAAAACAAAAGCTGAATAAAATAGCCACAACGACCGATTTAGGGTTAATAGACTTAACACATACAACCGCTGATTAAAATTTCGCTAGGGATTCCAACCTGAAAAATTTCATTTTCAAACACAAATCATACAGCTGGTCAGTGACCACACAAACTGATTTGATCAGTCTACGGTAATAGAGATAAATCACGACTACACTCCGATATCAGGATACCACAAATCCATTATTTCCGAGTCCCAACTACTCCAAAACACAAATCTTGTAAGGAAAACTTATATGGTAGTAACTAAATAATAATTTGCGTTCGAATCTATCTCACTAGATACATATTATACTCAATGATTGTTAGCTAAGAAATTATCATACTGAATGGATTCAATTGACTATACCGAAGTCAAATGAACGAAAAATCACAATGAACTAATCCACATGAGTGAAGGCGAACTTCAAATCATAATATGACTTCAGGATGGAATCCTATGTTACACGCTATATTTTGAGATTTAGCATCTCTATGTCATTCGTTAATGTGACTGCCCATATTTTTCAATCACCCCTTGTACTATACAGCATTGTGTCGTCGTAAGGGGTAGTAGGGTATGGTTAATGTGTGTCCTAGCAGAAATAGTCCATAAAAGTTCATATCATTAATTGAATGGCTATGTCTACCAAAATCTCTGAATCACAGCCCAGCAATGATTAGAGTATATATATATATGGGGATACTGGGAACATTTGCATTTTTCTAAAATTCACGGACCATGTCGCACAGCTGTGGGTTAAAATAAACGCATCCAAAAGATTATCGTGTTATCTATCCACTTGTTCTTGGGGAGCCAGGTCTAATTAGTTATTCAGAAGCAATTCAAAACGTGGCAGATATCCATTAGCCCACATTGCCACATAAAGTTTATCGGTTACCCGATGAGCATTTTATACGAGAGTTTAGTTAAATGGTTAAAATGGGTTGGCAGTGGATACAATCTAGGAACTAAGCCATACGAACACGTCACTAGGAGTCAACGGTTAGGTGGAAAAGCATTTCTGAAGACGGTTTGCAGACAAAGCGCTTAAACACGGAGAATACCGAACTGTGCACAAAAGAAGATTGTTTAACTACTTCTCTGAATAGGGTTGTAATATAGTCCCAAGGATTACCTTGTTTAATAATTTTTATTTATTTGAACACAAATATTAGTACGAGGGGGAACCGAAGACATATACGCCAAACAAGCCACTTGATTTGTGTGTGGGCTGTGATAACCCCCGGGTGCTCAGACCAAAGCAGATAGTATTATTAGGGGACCACGCCCGGAGCCTTCGACCCAAAGGTCTGATCCACAGGATAGCGAAGTAACGTCAAGAGATGGAATCCCGTAGTAGTCGGTAACAAACGATTGGTTGATACGGTATTTAGTGCCTCAGGATCCTGGAGCCCATGTGCACCACTGGTTTGGAATCAGGGTTTCCCAACTCCCCATTGGGTCACCGAGCACAATGCAAGTAATTCTGGCCTATTATCAAAAGGTGTTTTCTTACAACTAAAAAATGAGAATCGTGACCTAAGATCTGGTCGCAATAATCATTAACCTTGAAAGAAGACCAATCGAAACCATAAGTCTCGTGAATAGCGTACATGGTAAGTTAGCTATTTATTATATACTAAAAGACACCGATGTAAGACAAATTGAGCAGTTGGCACACTAATGTGTTGCTGGATCAATATGATTCATGAAAAAGAATACTCTAATAACCGATCACATAAGTATATATGGCTTTCTATATTTTTTGACAAAAATACGACATACCCGCTTTATTATGGGGCCCCCAACCCAATCAGACAATAAAATAAGCTCATAAACGCCACGATCCAGAGGACATTCATGCCGTACACGTGACCACTCTTTTAGACATATGTAGCAAAACGCATGATTGCATGATTCCGGAGTAGCAACAGGCTTTCGAATCCTTTCGCAACATATCGGGCATTGGTGGTTCTCTTTAAAGGACGTTACTGTGAAATTTACAGAACCAGGTGTCTTGCGGATTAGTATTTCACTGAAGGATAAGGAACAACCAGAGACAGGACAGGCGAATCCCGAAGAACAGTCAAAATCACTAGCCCAATCCTCTAAGCAATTAATATGAAACATATGAGAGCATGATTTTGGTGTGCAGTTTTCGCCTTTTATACTTCCACGACATAATTCACACAAGTAGTCACTTTTCTTCAGGTTGAGGAAATCTAACATCTCAACGTAACTAAATAATCATAGGTGACGCCGGTGAGTGCGACCGTGTAACGTCAAGTTCAAATGGTTCAAATGGTTGTGGACGGAATAGAAGAAGCTTTCGCTTAACAGGCTTCCGTGTCTAGTAGCAGGGGATCACCAAATCCTCCAGGCAGGAACCTAGGTATGTTAACAATAAAAGAGGAAAAGAAATTGGTAAATCATAGTGTGATGCTGTTGTAGCGGTAAATAAGTCCCCAAAATAAATAGCTCTGTAAGTTTTCGACATTGGATGCTGACCATATGTTTTAGTGGACTCATCTAGCTGAAGGTGTTCGGTCAGGCATCCGCACCAGATCACGTGTGGTAACGCCGTGCTCAACATCTACCGCAATCGCTAACCAGATTAGATCACAGAATTCCGATATATTGGTCATCGCCAAATACACTCTTCCGATCTCCTCGACTCTGTCTTTTGATTTCTCTGGGTGGGAACGAAATATATTAGAAGGTGTTACTGGTAGAAGCGTTGTCAAACACTGAATACCTGTGACATCATCATTGGTGAGCCCGACATGATCTGGTACACCTAATTGCAACTGTGAGTCTGTTCCTTTTTGGGATTTTTATATATCATTACCTTATTTTTTTATTTTTTTAAACATTGTGATTTTTCTCGTGTTCTTTTCTTGGATATATATATTTTTCCCCTCGTTCATTATCGTACTTCATACTTCATCATGACTGAACAGACACCTAAAGTACTCAAGCTTAAAACTTTGTCCCCGCCTTCGTTTCAACTCATGCCTTTCTGGCCCGACAACATCGAAGCCTGGTTCTGTTACGCAGAAGCCGACTTCTCCGAGCACGGCGTGATCGACACACGTGCGCGATTCCTCGCAGTAGTCAAGGCACTACCGCGCGAATTCAACAGGTACGTAACACCTAGTATGTTTACTCGTGATGTTTCTGAACCTTACGAAACCTTAAAACGTTCGATTCTTAAACGAGGAGACCTAACCGATCGACAAAGGTTAGATCAACTCTTCAATAACATCGACCTGCAACACGGTTCTGAGACGGACATGTTGCAACGGATGAGATAGGTAATAGGCTCAAGAACTTTCGACGAAGGTCTATTCAAACAACTCTTCTTGTCAAAACTTCCCCAACAGGTGCAAGCAGTTCTGGTCTCGTTCCAGAACAACGCCTTAGACGAGCTAGCTGCATCTGCCGACCGCATTTTAGAAATTACGAAACCTTCTACTACCGAGGTATTTTCAGTCAAAGAAAAACCTCAAACGACTCAGAATGACATAACCGAGTTATGTCATACACTCACGCGTTGTCTTAATCTTCGTACCGACCGTAAGAGATCGCGCACTACACGTAGAAGCACTTAACGCAAGCGATCTGTCTCTAGACCACGAGAGACAGATAACCCCGACTGGTGGTGGTATCATAACCAGTATGGAAAGTCCTCCAGAAATTGCAGAAAACCCTGCAATTTTCCCAACACGAAACCGACTGATTCGAAAAGCAATTCGGGAAACTTCCAAGCCGGCACGCGTTAACGGCAACCGTAGCCGGCGAACATAGCCGTCTGTTATACGTCACAGATGTGATGACGAAAGTTCATTACCTCGTTGATACTGGCGCAGAAGTTAGCGTTCTCCCAGCAAATCCTAACGACCGACTTCACGAATCGACCCTAAACTTACAGGCGGCAAACGGAAAACCGATCGCTACGTATGGCAAAAGGTACGTTTACCTTAACGCGGGTTTACGCAAACCCATTCACTGGATTTTCGTTGTTGCAGATGTTTCTATGCCAATCATTGGTATGGACCTTCTACAACACCACAATCTGATCATCGACACGCGCAAACGGAGGCTAGTAGACGGAAACACTAATTTGTCCGTTTGCGTAACTTCTTTTACTGATTGCAGAGTATCCCCAGTCACAGTTAAACATATGATAGACCCACTCTATCAACCACTACTCGATAAGTACCCTGGGATACAACAAACTCAACCGAAACTACCGTGTGTAACCAGCAATGTTACACATCACATTACAACTACAGGACCACCTGTATTTTCTAAAGCACGACGACTAGCTCCCGAAAAGCTAAGGTTAGCGAAAAACGAATTCGATCACATGATAGACTTAGGAATCATACGACCATCAAATAGCCCATATGCATCTCCGTTGCACATGGTCCCTAAAAAGGACAGCAACGATTGGCGTACAACTGGTGACTATCGGCGATTGAACGCGAAAACCATTCCCGATCGTTACCCGTTGCCTCACATTCACGATTTGACAGCTACCTTGAAAGAAACAACTGTCTTTTCGAAAATCGACATGAGATATTCCAAAAACCACAATTATAACTTCCTTCTGAGTTTGACAGCTAGCCGAAGAAATGCTGTCTAAACTTTACAAAGTTTCATAAACGACGTTTTCCGGGGACTCAACTTCGTACATGCATATGTTGATGACAGTTCGATTGCGACTCTGCACAGAGAAACACATCTCAAGCATCTGGATCTTGTTTTCGAACGGCTACAAAGACTTTGCATTGCTGTAAACACTCAGAAATGCCGAATCGGACTTCCTAGCACACACTATTGATGCGCAAGGCATCTGATGCGAAATCCATCAAGTTGGACGAAATCGCGGAGAAAGCATTTTCCACAGGTAAGGAACCAATCGCTAAGGCAACGATGCTGGCACATCAGTACACTCCAGCACCTATGAGTATCGCAGTAGACGCAATCAACTCGGCAATCGAAGGAGTCTTACAACAATGAGTTAACAATTCCTGGCAACTTTCGACATTTTTCTCTAGACGGCTGCTAGATGCTGAATCGAGGTACAGCACATTCGGTAGGGAACTCCTAGCTATGTATTGTGCTGTACGGCACTTTCAACACTCGATTGAAGGCCGAGAATTCACACTTTTTACTGACTACTAACCTCTTACCTTTGTAGAATTATGGTCTACTATTATATTAGTACTGCTCTAATAATAGACCTAATCCCAAAATTGTAGATTCGTCATGATATAACTGCCTAATCTATAAGATCTTACGTGGAAGTCACACCATCGACTACACCAACTCACTGTATCGTATCAATTACCAATACATGATGTAGAACAAGGTTAGGCTAGAGAAAGAACAATATATTTAATATGAATAGAAGATATAAGGTAACATTCAGCAGAGACCACGCCTGCATGGCCGAGCCATGCCACTCGATCAACTCCAGTACCTTCAACTTATTGTTCGCGCCTTCTCCATTGTTAGGTATTTATCCGCGTTAAATATTGAATATCTATTTTCTGAGTAGTCTCGTGTTCAGCTTTGTGGATTGTGCGGTTATTGATCAATGCCACTACACTACTCTCCCACCAGAATCAACGTGACGTTGGTTCGATACCGAATTGGATGGGATCGTCGTGCGTTGAAAGTTATTAAGACTAGGAAGAATCCCCGGGTAATGATAAGCTGAAAGATAAATCAAAAAGAAGGCGGCAGCATCTGGTCGGGAAATACATGTAATAATTTTTAAAAAAATCTGCCTTCATGCTTAACACGCTTAAAATGACAATTTTGGTGAAGATTATTTGAGCTATAAAAAATGGGATTACAGTAATAATAATAAAACAATGCGTGTTAATAGCCGTTGGTTAATAACTTGACGTATAGGTAGTAAGTATTTTGTGTTTAGAAATATTAAAGTAATGAATATTGTAGAAATGTTAATATTGGTATTAGTTTTGGTTTAAATTATGAAACCAATTAACAATTATGCCGGTAACCCGTCCATATGTGATTTCCAATTGCGTCTGTATTAGTAGGCTAACTGAAGGAACAAAAGTATACCGTGGAGAATTCCAACTAGTGTTCCAGTTAGTTTGATACGGTTTATTTAGTTACGGGGAGATTTTCTCAACCTCATTTTTACTTGGCCGTGATAGAATTAGTAATACTACTAATACACATGAATGGTTATCAAAATAAAATTTAAATACATGAGTGATAATTATATGAATTTTGGACAGATAGCTAGGAACAAATCGTTAAACATAAGTGTGTTCGTAAGAGACATGCTCTGGACTCAATGTTCTTATCTGTGGCAGACTATTTATTTATATTTATACTTGCTGGCTGATTGGGCATACAAGTTAGTTGCAAGTATGCAATTTATTATAAGGCAAAATACGAGTTAATTGAGATATAGTGGTTATAAGTTATTAAAATCAGTTAGACCTGTGTCATATTACGAAGTGATGTGGTGCTGCAAGATGTATTTAGCTAAATAAGTTTTTACAAGATGATTAATAGTGAGTGATGCTCATGCGATTATCAGGGAGAACATAAGTTGTAACCAGGGGGAGTACACTCCCAACTCATGTCTATGATAATGGCTTTGAACCTTAGTCAGTGTTGGGGTAAATTCGACATTGATGTTTTCAGTTTGCAGGAGATTTGCTCGACTGCTTATACTGATTATTTGCATGCATGATTGTGTCGCTAAATTATCAATAAGACTGACAAGGCTTTGAGATATTTACTGAATGAGCAACTGATAGAGAAACATACTGTAATCATCTGTAGTGAATGAAGATACCAAGAAAACAACACTAGTGATAATAGTAAATCAATTTGCTGACCGATTTTGTTAATAGTTTCATTAATTTTATCAATCGTATTACGTGATTGTCAAGTCATGACAATGCTTTATGACGATATCCTGAAACCATTAAATTTAACTAGTTATAGTGTTGATTGAGGATTAGTCAGTGGAAAAATAGGTATTGTTGCTTTAGGTGATTCGAAATTATCAGAAATTTATAACGCTAAAGAATCCGAGACACCTAATTTAATAATAAATTTCAATTCAGAAATATTCGTTATGTTAATTCTAGTAGGCTACGGAGTTTTGATTTTAAACGTTTGTTTAGCCAACAACTACCTGAGGATTTAGTTATTTTACTAGTGCAGTTGATAGTGCCTAAATTTGTAATCTTATTATCTAAACTATGTCCGCATTTTAATCTGCTAATATGATAAATCAATCCATAAACCCAATTACGATTAGCAACAACGACTATGATGGGTTTATTGATAAATGTTAAAGGCGATTCAGATTATTTCTAAATTTAGAAGACATGAAGATATAGTGTAACGTATGTGCGGGCCAGGTTGACAAGCAGGTTGTTGACGTATATGACAATTTAAAAATAATGAACATGACCAGATAAATAATTTTAAAGTTAAGACTGCTTGTGAAACTTCAGGCAGGAATATGACGCGTTATAAACATTCCATAAAAAGTTACTGCATTTAGCCTAGGGACACTTACAAATATATGGCAAAAGCAACTGGAAAACATACATGTTAAGTACAAAAAATCATGAGTAAAATAGTTGAAACTCGCCTGGATTATTTTTGAAAATTAGATTATTCAGTGGACGACATATATAACGCCATTCTAAGGAGTAGTAATGATCCAAAAGTATCCAGAATAAAACATGCAGTATGGCAATTAATTCCAGGGTGCTTGATGCTGTTGAGGTTTTTGGGACTCGCTTTGATCAGAACAACCAAATGAATCCAGATAATTGTGTGTGCCATTGAATGAGCCATCTAAAATGAACTTATGATTGCTGAAAACTTATAGATGGAACTCGCCGTATTTTTTTGGAGAAGTGTCATCCTTGTTGTTTGGCAATGGAACTCGAAAATATGAAATTAGGCAGGCAGTGGTCAGAAGAAAAGATATTACAGGATAGTGCATAGTTTAAAACAGGATGAGGCGTTTGGTGAAGGAACACTGATAATTAGATCCAGATAACTATTTAGTTCTTGATTGCATTGTTAGTCAATGTATACTTACGCTATTTACAGGTCATATTTGCTAGAGCTTGATGTTTAAACAAGACTATGTCGCTGAAGCATGTAAATGCTATTACAGCTTGTTAACAAGTTATCAAAGCTAATTAGTTGATATAGACGACCAGTTTTTATTATCGATTGAGCTAGTTTGTCATGAAGACTAATCAATATAACATTACGATAATGCATGTGAGCATTAATCAGAGGACTATTAGAATACAGCGTTAACATAAATATAAAATCGATCGAGAAAGTTGAAGTGGAAATAAGGATTAATAATAATAGGTTGCGTTTCTTTAGTTGGGCTAACCAATGTAGAATTATGGTCTACTATTATATTAGTACTGCTCTAATAATAGACCTAATCCCAAAATTGTAGATTCGTCATGATATAACTGCCTAATCTATAAGATCTTACGTGGAAGTCACACCATCGACTACACCAACTCACTGTATCGTATCAATTACCAATACATGATGTAGAACAAGGTTAGGCTAGAGAAAGAACAATATATTTAATATGAATAGAAGATATAAGGTAACATTCAGCAGAGACCACGCCTGCATGGCCGAGCCATGCCACTCGATCAACTCCAGTACCTTCAACTTATTGTTCGCGCCTTCTCCATTGTTAGGTATTTATCCGCGTTAAATATTGAATATCTATTTTCTGAGTAGTCTCGTGTTCAGCTTTGTGGATTGTGCGGTTATTGATCAATGCCACTACACCTTCTCTTGAAACTCATTTTCAGACAAGTACTCACCACGTGAGTCTCAACAGCTGGACTACATTTCGCAGTTTACTTCGGATATTCAACACGTTTCTGGGACAATTTAGTCTCTGACGCCTTGTCTCGCATAACTTCCTTGAAAAGTTTCCAAGGAATCGACCTTCTGAAACTCGCCCAGCTTCAGAAAGAAGACAGTGATCTTCAGCACGATTTATCCTCAACAACCCTTAAGCTGCGCATCAAACAGATGGGAACAGGTAAGGAAACCTTACTTTGTGACACGTCTACAGGTAGGGATCGCCCGAAACGTTATCGACGCAACGTCTTCAATACGTTCCGCAAGCGTTCTCATCCAGGTGTTCGTGCAACCATCAAGCTCATAGCAGTACGATTTCGCTGGCCTGGTATGAATAAAGACAGGAGGGAGTGGGCACGCTCCTGTGTAAGCTGCCAAAAATCTAAGGTGGTTAAACACTACAAATGTCCCTTAGGCTCTTCCAATACTCCCGACGCTCGTTTCGACCATGTTCATTTGGATTTGGTAGGACCTTTACTCGCTTCAATAGGTACTCTTATCTCTTAACTAGACCGTTTCACTCGATGGCCAGAAGCAGTACATATCAAGGATATCACTACTGAAACAGTGGTCAGCGCCTTCTTCGAATGACGGGTAGCAAACTTCGGCTGCCCTTCAACTATCACTACAGGCCGCGGACGTCAGTTCGAATCTGAACTTTTCCGTTGTCTGACTACAGTTTTAGGAATCCCTCACTTCCGAATGACTGCCTACAACCCACAAGCAAACGGGTTGATAGAACGTTTTCACCGACAGCTAAAAGCTTCACTTTCAGCTACAAACGTTTCACAGTGGACCGACGCTCTTCCACTCGTCTTACTAGGTATTCGAAATGCAGTGAAAGCTGACATTGGATACACTGAGGCTCAACTCGTTTATGGAACGACACTTCGACTTCCAGGAGAATTCGTGGATCCTTCATCCTCTTCAATGAACATGGATCTAACCTCCTACACGAACAGGCTTACAAACGCAATGCGTTCAGTTAAACCTGCTTCCACTCGACCACAATCAACCGATGTTTTCGTTCAACCTGACTTACGATATAGCACACACGTTTTCGTTCGTCGAGACTCGCATCGACGACCATTCGAATCAGCATACGATAGACCTTTCAAAGTTCTTCAACGTGAATCTAAGTACTATATAGTCGATAAGAACGGAACAAACGATAGCATCAGCATCGATCGCTTAAAAGCAGCGTATTTAGAAGGAAATCCTATTCACGTCGACTTTCCTTCGGTACAATCGCACAACACGACTCCTACACTTATAATTCCTCAACCGACAACCAACACTGTCGGTGATACTCCGAATGCATCTGAAAATAAACTTAAGACGACGCGTTCTGGAAGAAGAGTAAGATTTTCAGAACATTTAATCGATTATTGCACGTACGATACTAGTTGACATTTTATGTCATCTAGATTTTCCTTTCTACTATATATAATTTAAAAAAATTTTTAATATGCTTATATATTTTTATTTTTATTTCGAAAAAAACAAAGCAAAACAACTTCCTTGCTTCTGTCTTTTGATTTCAATTGGTGGGTACGATTCATATTAGATAGTACTGGTTAAAGCGTTGTCAAACCCAAATACATATGGCATGCTCAACATAGTTTTGCAGTCATTTTACCAAGTACCTTGTAATGATCACGTGTTTTAGCTTAGCATGAAACAAACGGCTGTAGAAATAATCGAAAGCCTCGAAAAAAATTACAGATTTATGTTGACTGGATGTACTCCAGAAAGAGCATTTAGCTGTAGCGTGGCGTCGAGTCGAGATTAACTATGAACACCACTACCAAGAAACACGTGCCAAATAAATCAGAAGGCGTAGGTTGAACGTAATCAAATAGATCCATAAAATTCCCGAGAAGCCAAATATCAGAAGGCAATTAATGGACCAAATCAAGATATATTCGCTGGAGATCTCGTGGTATCGAAAGAATACCGAGATCGTGCCAGGATACAAGCTTGGTTACAGAACGTAACCGAATTCGCGCGAAGTCACAATCAAAGTGTGAGAATAAGAATGGAAACACAATATAGCTGTCATTAGCACAGTCAAGCAAAAGCACATTAAAACAAACACTGGTACAGTTGGTTATAATAATGATTGTTTTTATTAAACCAGTCGTGTTCTTGTGATAAATGTGAGTCACTACATAGCTATTCCGGACGGTCAACAGAAATAATTACACAATCGATTTTTAAATGAGTTATGAAAGGTTCACATGGCTTAAGGGTGTGATCGTTACATAAGACGGTTAAGTCGAATCATACATCATTTCATTGGTAAAGTCCGTTGAATCTAGACGCTTTCCCGTAAGAACTCCTAGACGTACACTTAGCTAATTTTTCAATCGAGAAAACTTTCTAATCACGTTCCAAAAATAGCTAGATAGTAAGAAGGTAGCAATGAAATCACTCGAAATGAATATCTTAAGAAAATCATTTTGATAGCCCTAGTGATAGATTGAAGAAACGAAATGATTTTAAGGGACAAGCGTCCATGAAACCTGAAGTGAGTTTCTACCATATATCCATCTCAGCACCTTTTAAAAACACGTCAGCCAGCCGAAATATACTTACAATTGTAGGGTCAAGTTTGTTTTCCTACATCATTATGTTGTGCTCTCATTAGGTCAAAGGATACGGTTTTTCAAGGTTAGACAATGTCGATTAACTATTCTGGGAGAAAGGTAGTTTTTTAATGGTTATATTGTCATAATATTTTGTTTTAAATAATTTTCTGCGTGTCTGTATGCCATTTTGCTCAGGTAGGGTTGGTTGATCCGTAAAGCATGAACACTTGTATCATATTCAATAAACCTTAAGTACTGTGACTAATATAAGGTTTTTACTTTTTCGGAAAAGACAGGAAATCAAATTTCGCACATCATGCTTGTGGCATAAACTTTTCACAGCCTCTAAAATGAGTGATCGCAACTGGAATTTTTTATCTATGTTTCTTTCCACACTTAAGTATTATCATATATATGAAGCTACTACATCTTTATAATACTTACGTTACCATGATTCAATTTAATGCGCGTGTGAGTTCTGCTGCACTAACATTAAAACGATTTGAAACTCATATATACCCATCGTCTCGTTTTTCAATAGGTGGATATATTCCAGCACTTTCTTGCTCTTAATCTTCGTGCTTAGACATCTTTGTTTTGGATTTGGTTGTGAAATTAAAATGTCTGTAAAAATAAAGGATATAATTTTTGCAAGTCGTCTTAATTGAAGTGTTGTTCGTCCGCATATCCGATTTATCTCCCTGACTTGGTTGTTTACTCACACTGAAACAAACGGATTTTTCCCGAATGACAATAGATTTAGGATTTTTAACAAACAAGGAAAAACGCAAGCTCGTACGTTTTGAATTCCCTTTATGGGATCCGATTCAAAAGATTCAGTAGTAGTGAGATAAATATAAAGTCTTTCAAAGATATAAAGTGTTTGTATGATAAACAACGTAAAATAACTTAATTATGAAGGTTTAGGCAAACAAAAAGCATAAGCGTCTAGATGTATTTGATAGATTTACAGTTTAGGAACTTGAAATGCCATCGTAGGGTAAAATGAACCTCTGAACATTAACTAGAAACTCTTCAACCCTTCACATGATTCACACCAAAAGTCAAATACTTTAGAATTAAATGCAATGTTTTTATGTTTTAAGATGTTGTTTTTCATTACTGTATCGTCTTCGCGACTTATATCAAAACAGTCCATCAGTGTCAATTGATGAGGTCCTATATTAATTAGTGATCTAAGTAAATTTTACATCATTAACTTGACAAGGTTTCATTTTTCATTCAAGCTTGGGCAGTATTCATAGCGCTAGTGAGAAATCGTAATTTAGTAAAGTGACCTTATCAATAGTCCTAACTAATCGTTTCATGTTGAAAAAGCAAACTTGTTTTCGATATTTCGAAGCATTTTCCTAGGGAACCTTGTATCTGTCTATCGTTCAGTCTAAAGTTTAGGTTTACTAATGAGTGATTTAATTACCACTGGAAATGTTTCCGTTTTCGAGTGAATCTGGAAAGTACTGTCGTTTAGCCAATGATCAATGATTTTCTTTCGTAAAAATGTTTACATGAAACCTTTATTATTTGTAACGAAAAGACCGAAGTTTAGTCCTTCCAGCGTGCTCGAAATTCCAAGGTTCAAAAATTCAACTTGAAACGACCGATATACGAATTTTCATAATGTATTCCAATAGAGTCGGAAGAAATGTGTTATTCACTCTCTCTCATTGACTGTTAGGTTTATAAACATCGATTGATAAATTGACTTGATAAATTCCTATTGTTAGCTATCAATAAGATCTGTCCTACCAAGTACATTGGTAGATAGCTGAAGTCTATGGATGTCTATTTTGCCTAGAAGCCGTATTTTATAGCCAAAGAACTCTTTCAAGGTCTATTCTTGTATTTTTTTGAGAAATATGATTTTCCAATAAATATACTATCATCCTCTTCATCCGGCCTTTGATCTATGGATATGTCAAGAACAAATCCACTCTTTTGATCATACCAATGTCTATCTTGACATGTATTTGCCCTTGCGGAGCAGGTTGAATGTAACGCTTCCTTGATGTCAAAAGAAATGCACAGGTCGATAAATAGCCCAATTCTGGAGCACCTTTTTATTCAGTTCACATTCTCGCATCACCATCTTTCCTAGTTATCTGCAGAGTTAATTGAACTGTGTCAAATGAGGTACAAGTAACGTTTTACGCACCTCAGATGCTTTATCAACTCACCAATTTAGGTCTAAACACCGCGTTCGAAAGCAACATGCCCAGCATTTTACCCTTTTATTGTTTCAACCTTCCTACTCTAGGTAATAATTGCAACTGACTAACTTTTTATTTCCCATACTTAATAATCATCATTATTATTCTTAATTATGCTATAATTACTACTTGACTGCCATCGTAACATCTAATTTTTGTCTTCCTCTTCATATTCATTGAGTGATCAAGGAATTAGAGAGTAAGTTCAGAGGCTGCTATGATTACTTTTGGCATAATAATATTACCAAAAAGACTCAGCGTTAGTAGAGTGAAGACAAATGTTTCCAGTAGAAAGTTTGAATAAAAAATAAGCGGTTGATTAGCACAAATGGGTCTAATCCATATTTAAGTTATGAATTTTTTGACGAGTTTTTTACGTGAGATAATCTAACTTTATTAAGTTAGATGATGCATGGCTTCTTAGTTGTATCATAATAAAATACCTTCAAAGCGCCATAAGACATTTACTCACTGGAAACACAACGACAAATTTGGAGATATTCTCTCTGTTCTACGAACGTTGTAGTCTTATTAGTTTACTGAGTATATGTTTGTCATCCTTTCTTTTCAACTCTCAGTCTCAAAGCTATCGGGTTAAACATGTGTACATGACGAATGAAAGTGTAGTTTGTTCGTATACCGACTACGAGGTTCTGAAGTACTTTGGTTTAGTTTAGCCAATAACTAACACGCACATAGTGTATTACTAGACGGCGTCATCCATTATATACGTTTCGTATGGTTAGTTTAAGTCAATTTTTCGTTAATTTTTAACCGTAAACTATTTGTATTTTTATGAATGATTAACTACAACTTTTTATTAAAGAACATGGAGTCATGTCCAATGAATTTGACTTTAGTAAGTAAAGCAAACGGTCATTTCTATTGATCTTTTATTATTTAATACTGTATGCACGTATACGCACATTTATGTGCCCTAAAACACTGTTGGAAATTATGAACACTTCCGACGCAAATTTAGATATTACATTATGGTCTTTTTGGATTACTATTTTCCTCCAGTCAATGAAACCACTTAATCAACTAAAAACTATTCACAACGAACACTATGCCAAACTTCAGAGCAAACATGCTTCAGAAACAGAATTATTAGATGATATGAGGTTAGTTGGGATTGGATTATATTTATTCCTGCATTTTATCCTTGTTATTTTTAGAACTGAAAATAATCGTACCTGAATAAATCATACACATATTCGAAAATGACTAATTTGTTTCGGCTTAGATTGAACCTTATCTTGGAAACACATTGACCGTGAATATCTATGTTAGCTCATTCTTGAAACTGTTGAACTTGCGTTTTATCCATATTTTTGATAATATTCTTCATAACATTGTTCGTAAATAAATATCCCACTCCATTTTTACAGCACTGAGTCAGGCACAAGGGATTAAAGGAGGCGTATTTTGTTCGTTTTAAGACCCATCTGTTGAATGTATATGCAATTTAGTTAGCGTCGGTGTTCATGATAAAAATTGAGAGTATGACAGGCTGTTCAGATAAAACAGGTTTACTGTTGTTTAATTTCGTATTGGTAACTTCTAGAAGCTTCATTTACCTGTTTACAAAGAACCTCTGATTGATTGTCTAAGCATTTCGAGTCTTAGGAAAAGTGTTTTTAAAAAAATCTAAATAAACAAAATAGTGGACTTTATTTTGAAATTGGCATTTTTATTACATGACCGACTTTAAGTTTGAGTCTGATAATATTCTACATTACATGCAGCATACGGTAAACGTTTGTTTGACTGACTGAGCAATTGCATGCTAATAGCAGTAGCTATTTTACTGTGATAAGATTATTTTTTGGACTAAGTAATCTGTTAACAACGAATGCTACTCGTCATTAGTTTTTGGTTATTTTTGGCAATTTTGCATTTCAAAATAACTTGCAGGAGAATTTAAAGTTGAAATTAATCCTCTGACTTACTTCATTTACCATGATCTCGTCAAATAGTATCTACGAATTCATTGTACCTTGTTCAGTGTACATAATATATTTGACTAACTTTCTATTCATATTTAAATAAAATGCTTAAAACATGTAATAGACTCTAAGATTTACTGCTCCATCTATCATAGGTCTTGATGGCTTTTCATAAAATGAAATAATGAATTTTTGGGAGGGTGAAAGCAGAGCTATTCAATGAGATATGATAACAAGACAATCAATAAACTGGTTATTTTTGAGTCCATAACAAACCCGATGGTTAAAAATATGACTCTTAGAAATGTATTTGTAACGAATGAACCTTTTACTCTGGAAACGTTCTCCAATTTTATTAACATATTACGTACATGTGTCAGAAGTTTCTTGTTTATGTGATTGTGGAAGAACCATTCAGCATTCTGGTGTTTATTTCATGTGATTAGAGTTGTAAAATATTGTTTTTTAGTCTCTACCTCTGATTCAGAACTCTAAACGTGATCGTTTCAAGTAACCAACATTGCTTGGTGTTATGATTCTCAACGAATTGTATATTTATATAAATATAGTGATCAAATGACAAATTAATAAATCAGGGATATTATAACCTAGCAGACTATGTTTGTATGGAGTGTCTGACATACAAAGATTATGTTATAAATTCAAATAAATTTTTCGGGAGAATTATGATAAAAATGAAAGATCAACCTATTTTAAAACTTAAATGAAAATAAGAGATTTCTTCCAACAGTGCGTTATTTATGCCTAAATTTTATATTTTCAGAATGTACTGTAAACAAAGGGCATCAATCGAACGTGAATACGGTCAGTCATTACAAAAACTTGTGAATAGTTTCCTTTCAAAAAAAGAATTTACAACACAATCATCCTATTCATCAGATAATGATACTATACTGTAAGAATTGTCTTATATATTTTCTTTTACATGGAGACAAAATATCAAAGTTGATTATTATTGTTGTTATTTTTATTACTCTTATTATCATCACTGTTTTTTAGTCCAAATAAACAACATAACGTTTGGCATATATGGTATTCATTGTTAGCCGAATCGAATAATTTGGCATTATCACATTTACGTGCATCAGATAATCAACAAAGATTGTCTACTGAACTCAAACCACTTAAATCTCAGCGTCTGTCAGTCAATAAACGTGTATTTGAACAATTAAAAATCCTCCAAGTAAGAATACTTAACTTCTTGTCATATCTGTAGTTTTTTCTATTTTATTACTAATTTTTGAATTAACCTCCAATTTAGTTGAAAGCTTATTTGGTGAAAAGAAATAATTTTATTTCAGCTTGCCAAAATACTATCAAAAGTAGCCTTCATCGTGAACACTAACATTAATGAAGGAATTTATGCAAATCAGAGAGTTCTGCATAGCTTTTTTATCCTAATTTGGGATTTATTGGCAAGTCATACTCTTGAACCTAGATTAGATTAAACCTAGGATTTTCAAGTCTCACTGAGTCCGAATCATTCAGTAGTCGGATTGAGATCTAATAGTTTTCATTCTTCAACTTCATCCAATCTATGCTGTATCATGATTCTTTTTCAATGTCACTAGTGGATGACTACTATCGGTCGTTCCAAAATCCACGGGTTTTCATTTGATTTGACTAGTAATGTAGTAAGTTATCTTTTAATAGAAATCTTATCCTGGAATGAGTATCCATGTAAAAATGCACATGATAGCAATATGTTTTAAATGGTATTTAAAAAATGTTTAGTTTCCTAAAACCAAAATATTTTTGCTTTGAACTTACTAATTCTCATTCTTTGCTGTGATTAGCCCAATTGGTTTATATATTAACTTTTTAGAGCATAATTATACTAGGTAGTTATATTAATTACAAATTATACTTTTTTTATCACTCATCTTTGTCCCCGTTTAAAAGCACTTGATCAATTTTTTTAAGCCGTATGCTTTTTCAGTTGCTCGATAAAAAAACTACAGTTTATAATGAGCATTATACATATCTGTCTAAAAATGCTCATCACATTAAAAATGGATGTATAAACGAAAAGTTTAATTGTGAATTAACAATCGCCAACTCATGCTAAAATTTTAAAAGATGTATCTGCAATATACTTGGCATTTTTTTTGAATCATTAATTTAGATTCCTAACTGCAAAACTTAATGACAATATATTGTAATGAATATTATTATTCTATATATCTGAGTTTTAATACATCTTCTGTTTATGCTGCAGATAAACGTAGCACTTGCATATTCAGAGTAAATTTAGAATTGGTGGTCATTCAATAGATCTTCTAGACAAAAACCCGATGACTTATTTGAGTCGAATCATAATCTATTTCTTCTTTTGAATTTATATAATTGATAAAGAATCTTCTGATCAAGGTTATCACGGGAACTATAAATATGCTCGCAAATAATTAATAAGTTTGAAAGAATATCAAGATTTACTTCAGACGGCAGTGTTACCTATAATTTGAGCCCATATAGCTGTTTTGAAGTGTTATGAAACTTAATAAACTAGTTTTCTAATTCATTACTCATAAAAATTAAGGAAAATGGGCACAGAACTACTAAAATATTATGCTTGGGTACTTCAGTTTATTGAAAAGGTCACAGAATGTACTGATATTTGAAGTTTAATGTTTATAATAGTTAGAAACCGCCCTGCCTTAGACATTAATTCATACTAACATGTGATCTGAATAATCTAATCGATCATATTTCTAGTTACTGCAAACCAATCACCATAAACCATTCAATGGTTTAAAATTGTGATTTTACGCTTACTAAAAGTGTTTATAAAGGATTATGATTTCGCGATTTATTAATTCTTCACAGTCAATGAGATTGATTACGTTTGAGCAGCTCAATATGTCACAAACCATTCACGGTGGATGTCTTATGAAATTTCAATTAGTCTTATTTACTTCAAATTATTTTTATTATACCGGCATGTTTAGTCATTGAGATACATACAAAATCGCCTTTACATGTTACATTGCTACTTCATATAATTCTTTTCCAAGTTGAACTGCTTTAGAGGCAAACCATACTGTGGTGAACAAAGGACTGAGATGTGGAAAACCAACTGATTATTCAGTGCGAATTTACGGAGTGCGTTCATAAAATATAAAAACTACAATAAACACATCGTTTGCGCATCTTTTAGTAGTTCTTTATACGCTTCATGATTCTTCCAGTTCAGTTTTTATCACAACTACTCTCTGTATCTCTTCCTGTTCTTCCCAACTTAGTCTTCCCGATCTTCTGTTGGCAGGCATTCCACATCCGATTGCTGCTACACACTAGTTCCATCTGTCAGTATAAGTAGTACGCAATGCAATAACAGTTAAAGTTTCTCTGTATCAAATTGTATCAACTAGGGAAACAAAACATCATATACAAATGATGATGGCTTTTCTTGGTTTTTCATGTTAATTCGTAATTAGTTATTGTGTTGTTTTCTTTTCTTTTTTAGGGAGATCTAGCTGCATGTGTTCAAGAAATGGTGAAATCTCATAAAGTTTATGCAGAAGAAGAGAAACAAGCACAAGAAACTCGTTTAAAAACATTGGCTGCTAAAGAAAAGTAAGAGTTAGAATGTAATTGGTTCTGACGTTTTCTTTTCTTAACCAGATGTAAATGAAACAAAAAATAATTATAAATGATTTTAAATAAATGTATTTAGTTCAATTTCAATTTCTTAGCAAATCATTCCATAATAAATTTAACATTTAAGATGAAACTTATGATTGTTTACTGTTTTTTAAGACTTGGTACTACTTCACTGATAAATTTGATGATCCCATCAGAAATAAATACAGTCATGATTATTTATCCAATACTCAGGGACCATTAAACATTTAATGGTGAATCCTCTGTTATTTTATGTTCTTAAATTTGTCCAACAGTTTATTATTTTTGTATTATTCAAGCTAAAATCCTTCATTACTAACTTCTAAAAATCAAATCTATTACAATTAAAAAAGCATAATGCAATGTTTGATCAGAGTGATAAAATTAAAGTTGTTCAAAATAGAAACGTACAATTAATAAACTAGCGTAAATGTGAAATCAACTCAAGTCATTAAATATAATAAACTGAAATAAAGACAGAATAAATTCTGACTTAGCAAGAAGAATTCGACACTGTTTCTATACTAACAGGTTTAGCTGTAAATTAAATTTAACCTAAACCTCTACTGGTAAGCGTTTTTTTAGCGAGTTAGTTTTCTACGGGATGGGGACGCTAGCCCCATGCCCAACCTTCCTCCTTTACCCAGGCTTGGGACCAGCAGTAAATCTGGAAGGACTACAGGCGGAGAACTACAACAACCATCATCAAGAAGGTGCAAGTATTTATAAATAGCTGTCTACGCAAGATACTCGACATCCATTGGCCGGATACCATCAGGAACGGCCTTTTGTGGGAGAGAACAAACCAGATTCCAACTGAAGAGGAAATTAGGAAAAGACGATGGAAATGGATAGGACATACACCACGCAAATCGTCAAACTGCATCACGAGACAAGCCCTAACTTGGAATCCTGAAGGAAGGAGGAAAAGCGGAAGGCCAAAGAACACATTACGTCGGGAAATAAAAGCAGATATGGAAAGGATGAATAACAACTGGAAGGAGCTGGAAAGGATTGCCCAGGACAGGGTTGGATGGCGAATGCTGGTGAGCGGCCTATGTTCCTTCACGAGGAGTAACAGGCGTAAGTAAGTAAGTAAGTAAACCTCTACTATACAGATGGAAAGTAAACTTACAGATCTTAGCTTATTATATTTAGCTTAGTAAGTATTACTGCTACAAGACTAAAATAAATACTTTTATATATATTCTCCATTTGACCATACTAAAAGTTTCATTAAAAACCGTATAAGACTTTCCTTATAATAACTATCGATTAGTTTGTAATAGAGAAAGTGGTTTCACCTATAATGAATTTCTTAATATCCAAAACTTCCGAAAATCATCTTTTCTTAGTAACGTTAATTGTCAATAAAATTCAATTTTTAGTGATTTTCACTTTACATGAGCTTATAGTTAGATTGGATGTTTCATTTAACATCTCTTGAGATATTCAGTGAAATATTTTAATGCAGCTCGGGCAATGCAATAATCATCTTGTTAGCAATATATTCATTTGTAAACTAGACATCCTTTGTAGTTCATGTTTGTTGTATAGATATGTGAAGGACTACAAAAAGTGTATGGAATGTGGATTCATGTACTAGGCTTGATGTAATACTTTTTGTTTGAACTGCTAAGATTACTAATTCACCATCATAAAAAATGAGATGAATCAGAAGTTGAAGTTATATAACAGGGGTTTAAACCAAAGTGTGCTAACCACAAAGCTAAAGTTTCGATAAAGTAATAAGAGGTGTAACAAAACATTTATAGGATTTTTATAAACCTCAAATGTATTTAAACGTTATAGTGTACTATAATTCTTACTGTTCGTTCTTCTGGTTGACCAAACACTTGATGGATAAGTAATTTTCATAACTAATTATTTTTTTTAAACAACAATAACGAAATACTTTTCTTAATAATGATGAAACAAATTCATTATTAAGAATAAAAGCAAATCAGATCTGAAAAAAGAAACCTGTTTAGGGTCAAATTTAACACAAAAAATGGTTTTCCGATTTTTTTTTTCCAACATGTAATTAATATGTTATACTTACCAAAGATTTATTATTTTTAAAATGGTTTATTCAATAATGATTTAATAATAGTTGTTCCACTTTAAACTTATATTCAAAGAATTCAACGTCGATCCACTGATATATTCCATTCCATGGCGCAGTTACATAGGAATTATGATAAGGTAAGAAACGTGTTTGATGATATTTTCGCGTTTCCAATTATCAATCGTTTAACTGAATTAATGTAATACAGAAAAGTGATATATATATATACAACTGTACACTTCATGAGATGACATTACTTTTGAAGACACCCTCTTTAATATGAATAATTGCCATTTAAAAATTATTCATAAACATCTCATGTTGTAATTTAACGTTATCCATCTGATAACTTGGAATATCTTGTTTTTTAAAAGTGCAAAATTAATTGTGTTACTTTTTGATAAAACAAAAAGCTACTCAATGTTTCTTAGTTATTTAAAGTTCTCCCTCTGATATCGACTCACGTTAAGAAACCATCTACTAATTGGACAAAGATATTCACAGAGCATATTTCTTAACGCCAGTTTCATTCAAAAACATTCTTAGAGACTTTGTATTTTAATGTTTTTCATACCAATGGCTCAAGCTATCCTATCATACATTGTTTGATCCTTTTAGCTCCTAGGTAAACGTCAGGCATTTGATTCCAGATCAACTACTGCCAGAAATGAATATCTCTTTCAACTGACCGCGATCAATGCTCACTTGAAACATTACTTCAGTGAAGATTTACCTGTTTTAGCAAAGGTAATTTTTTAAAATAATAAATAACTGTGGTTGAATAACATCTTATAGTTGAGATATTGATCAGCCGGTTATAGTCGACTTAAAACACAGGTTAGCATCGTGAGATAGAAGCTTTACAAGCTAGCAGATTATATAAAAAATATTTTCAAATATAGAGCATAGATAAACACAAAACATATTCTTCTAAATGAGCAAACGAAACTGAAGGATGGAGTGTATACAATCACAATGAACTCGATATTTAAGGGAAAATATAAAATGAACGAAAATACGTCACTAAGACTACTTTTATGCTGCGTTACCAAACATCGTCAACTACAGACTACAGCTATTACGTGGTAATCAACCAGAATGTTTTCATCTATGGATACATCACAGACTAATAGTCAGTAACTTTGTGAATTGATACCATTTATTATTCTCGTCACCTCTAGCTTTAATTCAGCATACTCCTGTATTATTCAGCTCAGTTAGTGATTTTATATATAATCATCAACTGATATAATCAGTAAAATATTTGATAATTTGTTACAAGTAATCTAATCCGTGCATAGTTCTTATCATTGACTTACATATACTGAAAAATCAACCATCAAAAATCAAAAGGCACCTACGTTATATTGTAAGTGACTTTAACAAAGAAAATATCACAATCAACAGGATAAATGTTGATTAAATTTATAAGTCTCAATAATGGGCATGGATTTGTTCAATCACGTTAAATGTTTAAGCAATTCATTTCTAATCCGTGAAATGTGATTTCTAACTAATATTATGTATGAACTTAATGCCTGACGCTCATAAAACTGTTCATTCAAGTTTCAACAGAAGTTTTAATGAAGTAGAAAAACAAGGGCCACGTAACAATAAAATGTGACTACTTGTAAGCTTAAAGTTTAAGAAATCGAAAATTTTATTAGAATAGCATTTCCTAAAGAAATAAATCAAAACGCAGTTACTGGTTTTTTAAGTGTCAGATACATTTAGTTACTGAGGGATTGAAACGAGAATATTCATTGTGGGTGAAATTTCCAATAAGTTCAATTTTGAATAAAAGAAATACAAAACTGCAAATGAGAAAAATGAGAGTCAGTTTAACTTCATTCGAGAAGTCGTTCAAAATGTTCACTAGTGTAACACTATTATAAGCATGTGTTTTGCGACAGATCGGTATATACACCACGATTAAAAATTCAAAAAGATAATATTTTTTTAGTATTTGTATTAATCTACACGATTTAAGCTAACAATCAGTCTGAATTTTCGTTACTTTTGATCTCTGAACACGTAAATCTATATTTAATAAGTAAGCTATATTATGCATAATAGCTAGTCAAGTGAATAGGATTACATGACTGTGTATAATGTTGGGTTATGGTTGCAATGATGAAAATGCAATTTGATTATTAAGTCAAGCTGTTCAAAGACTGACTATGCGATAAGTATTGTTGGTAGAAGATTGTTATTCATCAATGTGATTCTATCTAATATGATACATTATTTTGGATTATTTGAAAATTAGATAACGAATTTATTCTTTAGCACCATCAGCAATAAATTATCAACCTTAGGAAGTATAACATTAAAATGTGAACTTATTGATTTAATAATGCTCCTACTGTTGATTTCACATGTTACATAGACTTTGGATGGAGAATTATATGAAAAATTAGGTGAAGTGTTTACAACTCTTTGTGAAAATGAAATTGAATTCTGTACAATTACACAAAAGCGATTTGACAACCTTTTCAAAGAATCCTCACAAGTAAGAGTTCATCAAATTAGTCTATTATTCTTTTATTAAAAAAATTCATAAATCATTTGCTGGTAAGTATTTCAAGTTTTCTTGATGCTATGAATGGTTATGAGAATATTTCAATTAAGAAATCATATTCTATCTCCAATCAAGATATGTTAATATCATTGTCAAATATTAAACACTGTTTAGCTAAATATAAGTGATAGGTAAGCTATAAACTGGTATATTTATGCTTACCAACTGAGGCTCATTTTTAGGACATACCTCATGTGAAAAGCAAGTCTATATTTCTTTTGAAGTTTGGATAAACGTCTTATCATAGCAGAACATAGAATAAGTTAAACGAATTCGATTCAATTCAAAGTAGTAGACTAGTACTACTAACTCGTAACGTTAAACCACCTAGCTTAGGAGTGTTTTAAACTTGTAATCCACTTTTAACCAAAGCTGTACGTTGATTCTAAATTTAAAATAAAACTGTAAATACTTTGACGCAATATCTTATCTTGCTGAGTTCTAAGTGATAGGGGCAGCAAATGTAAGATTAGGGAATAAATCACATTATATGATGAATTAGATCATGTAAAACATTCAGTGGCTGTTGACAAATCGATCTTCAAATTATTTTAAGACTATTAGTTGGATCGATATAAACTGTTAAAAAGCATGTGATAGAATGAAAGAGTTCCTCAATATTACTTGAATTTCAGTTGACATGTAATTTACATAGGCTAATCATTAAAATGTTTTTCATAAACAGTTAGATTCTAATTGTTTGACATTTTTAAATTCATAATTATTTTAATTACTGTTTAGTGTTAAATTTAAATGATGTGCAACTATTTAGTTGAGTTTACTTTATTCGTTTAAAAGGAAACTCTTTAAGTTGTAAAATTAGCCACATAAACAATATTGGTGACTTTAGTTCATATAGATATAATTACAAATGAAGTTTAAGTAAATGAAAATTGTGGTTTCTTGAGTTCGCTGAGTTAGATTTATTATTTTAATCTTTGATCTTATTACTCAATTCGTATAAATTTCAAGACATTATACTGTGTGATGATTTTATTATTGAGAGGATCGGGAAATTAATAATGAACTTCGTATTGTTCATTAGTAAGATGTTACCAGCCAACGAATCATGTCATTGGATAGTTCAGTGATATACGTTTACCAAATACAGGCCTTTTGATTTGATTTTAGACCACAATGTTTACGTAAGGTCTACTGTTTCTATTCCATAGATTTATAAACTGAATTGGACAGAGAGGAGGTTGAACCTATAAATTATTTGTTAAAAGCTGACCATTTTAACAACTCAGTCAATGCTACTCTACTTAGTGGTATGAATAATAATTTACAACACTCATATCAATAATTAGCTTTTTCCATCTAAATAAAACTGACTTTGAGAATTAATCATTTTATAGTACTTATTTCAGTTAAAATCCAAACATATAGCCCTCTCGATATGTCTGTCAAAAATATTTTGACTGTGTAGCCAGTATTAAAATGTTATGATTTAGTGTGAACCATTTACTTTTCCATCTATAATTCAACTTCACTATGTAATTGTTTTTCTTCCTCGTCGATGTCACAATAACTATTATCAAATAGATTAACCGCACGAACGCTTGGGAAGATTTTCTAAAATTATCACCACTTTTTAATAAACCCGTTCAATATCAGTTTGAACCGATTAAAGGAGACGAGGTAAATTTAAACCAATGGATATATCTTTTACTTGTTCATATTTTCACAATTGAACATTATTCAATAAACTTTTTCTATGTGATTGGTTTAAAAGAAATTTGTTATGAGTAAATTTTCCGATAGGTCATTTAGACAACTGTCATGACAATACCACTGATATTTCAATATTAATGGTATTATAAAGCGTGATCCATTACACGTTCAATACGTTTGAGGCAAAATTTTCCGTTCAATGCTTAATATGAGATTTATAATTAATGTCCAAAAAACATACCAATATGTAACTAAAGTTAACCGTGTGAACATTATATATATATTGGTGATTAAGTTATAGAGTCACATATGCCATCCTTAAAATGTGCAATTCAAACACGTTGCTTATGGTATGAAATGGTTTTTGTGGGAAAACAATATCAATAACCATATATTAGCTTCGAAGTTTCATTTTAAATGTGATGTAGTCTTGTTTACACTTTTGTGAATGAATTATACAAATTTTCGATCGAATATGATAACAACATAATTGATAACAACATAATTGCCAAAACGGAAATTAAATTTATTCATTTTACTTTTCAGTTTACTGTCATAACTGGATTATTAGTCAGTCAGTTATAAGCAATTAGCCACATTACATTAGGATAAAAAGATGAAATTATCAGTATTTGTATCAAAGTAGTAGAAACAGTAGTATTATCATTGGCAGAAAAGTCAGTCGGTCAGCTACAACGTAGGTCCCGGCACATACATGCATCGTTTGAAGATGCCATACCTCATTAGCACAACAATATGAACACCAAATTCATTGAAACAGTTACTTCAATGTTAGTAAAAAAAGACTTCATTTATGGATATAATACAGGGAGAAAGAATTACTTGGTAGAAAGAAAGTTAGAAAGCACTTTCAATCTCACTTCTTAAGGGCAGAAAAAGTGTATACACCTACGCTAGTGTGATCGACTCTGAGCCATGTCACCAAGAATCTTCGAACATTGGTTACGATAGTCACGTGGACCCCAACTTAGTAGTCTACATCTAACAACATGGCTCAGACTAGAAGTCAGTGACTTCAAGGATTGATGCCATGTTTCGGTTTGGCTGCCCCTAACTTTCTTACAACCGTCTCCAACACCACTCAGATTTGCACGTCATGGTAATCGGTGTTCAGGCATACGCAACACGTGACACAACCATCTCAGTCGATAAAGATTCACAACCTCATCAACTGATTTGCCATCATTCTCTTGTACCCTGCGTATAACCTCACTAGTAATTACCCGGTGAACCCAGGAGATGTGATCAATATTTCTAAGAAATCTGTGATTAAATACTAGCAACTTACGAGTATCTTTTATTCCTAATGGCCATGCTTCGCAGCCGTAAAGTAGGATAGAACGAACTGCTGCGCAATATACTCGTCCCTTGATTGATAGACGGATATCTCGCCTTCGCCATGGGTGACGTAAGTTGATAAAAGCCAAACGAGATTTTTGAATCCGTGATGAGATTTCGTCAGACACCAACCCATTAGTACTAATAAGATATCCGAGATAAGTGGAGTTGTCAACGCGTTCGACTACTTCACTCCCTATCCTTAGTTCAGGTGTTGACGCAGACCAGTCCTGAAGCAACAACTTGCATTAAGAGGGGGAAAATGCATCCTCAACGTTATGGCATTGTTGCACAGTGCTACCAAAAGACTGCATTTTATCAACGTCTGACCAAACAGGAATATGACATCTGCGTATTCTAAGTCGATAAGTGGACCTCGTGGAAGTAGATCAATGCCGAAGACTTCAGTCGATGAAGTTTTTGTTTACATCAGTATATCTATGATGAAGTTGAACAAAAATGAACAACACTTGATGTTGCAAAATTAGCTGACCGTTCTTCATAAGCAAAAGAGATTTCAGATAGAGAGCATCATTCTAGAAATAACATTTAATTGTCGGAATGAATGTTACCTAACGTCTCCAACAATTAGTCACGAAATACCACGGCTTCAAACCAGATGGTCTACACTCATTTGCATTGCTTAGACCAACAGTTAATAACTTTACAGACTGATACTACATTCTAGTTTGTTTGCCCCTCAACTTGCTTAGCTATTTAACTTCCTATCATCAGTCCAAGCGTTGACGCAAACCAGTCCCATAGCAATATTTTACGCTTATAGGGGAACAAATGCATCCCAGTCGTTCTTACGTTGTTTCTCTAGACCACCAGAAGGCTCTGCACGTTTCCAGTTTTTGACCAGTGACTTGCAGGTTTAAAATCTATCTAACATACTCTGTTTTGTGTAGCTTTGTAGCATCATTTATCTTCATACAAATAGTAAGGTTTGAACCACAGTAAAGGAACCTGCAATAACTTCAAAGTGAACAGTCAACTTCACGATCCACGACTATCCTCTGAGTATTCTAAGTCAGTAAGTGATCTCTCCTGATAAGAGAGGCGTTATTTCTGAAAGTACTTGTATACCGAAGATAAGTTAGGATGAAGTACCATGGATCATGGATTGAGATTAATTTGAAAAGGTTTTCAAAGACTTAGAAATACTGTACAGTTATTTTTTCTGTACAACATTGTGCGATCGTATATACTGATAACATTTAATGAAAGATAATGGTCTAATTACAAGCCAACTGAAATTTAACAAAGAATTCATTCTCATTTTTCAACTTTGCGATTTTATCTACCAAACGAAAAGAAAAATAGATTAATAGCACAGCGGTTATATACAGTTGCGTAATGAAGATAAAAAAATGTTCGTTTTATTTGATGGATTGTTTAGCGAATAAAATGTGCTATGAATAGTTTAGTCAAGTGACCAGTGTGTTATACAGACTCCATGAGAACGAGAAGAAACAAAACAACATATTAATAAAATGAAGTTGGATTGCATACACTTGCTGAGTGTAAAATTCAGGTGATTTTTTGCTGAAAAATATGGTATAACTACGGAATGAGGGCGTTGTCTATGTTTATTTGTGTGCGAATACCCATAACTACTACTGTAAACAAATTTAGTACCTTTTCTGTCCTGTTACTTTGCATTATAATTTATAGGTCAGTATTTTATTAAATTATTTTCATCCATTATTTATTATTTAAATTTAGACAACAAAGCTGTGCTCAGCTACAAATGAAAGTAATTTGGAACAAATCGCACGTAAACTTTCGAGACGATTGGTGATACGCGAGAGATGTATTAAATCATATGAGAATGAAATGAAAATGTTACAGGCCGGTTATGTTACTCCAGTGTCTAGTATGATGACTGGATCTAATAATCAAATGCAACAACAACAACCAACTAATTCGGTGAGTTGACCAAATGTAATGTGTTTGTGTAAGTATTGATTTTAGCTTTCTTTTTTATGATACAGAATCGTTAATCATGTGATCAGGTACTCGATCAGGGTTCATTAATTATTTTACTTTAAACAAATTTCTATATTTTCCTTAAGTCTATAAATACTTCGTTCGGTTTTCTACTTAATCTATAAACTTATGCATAGTTATTTTATTGAATCTATGTATTTTTATTAATATATTTTAAAACTATTTGCTTATGTTCTAGTATATCGTCTCTGCTTGTATAAGTTGGACATATACTAACCAAAAGATTGAGAAGTTTCAATTCAGTAAATGCGTTGTAGCTAGTTGTGGAATGTAGGACAGGTTTCTGTCTTGTTTAAAACTTTTTAGCTGAATGTGCCTGCGAACGTATGAAACGTTAGACAAAAATTTACGGAAAATCAATGAATATGTAAAAGAGAAAACTTCTTAGGGTTTTTTATCTTTAGTTTCAGTGAAACAAGTTTAACAATCACAATCTGATGTTGATTTGTTTTTTTTTCTTTCTTTTTCTATTTCGATTCTGATTACACTTTATTTTCACAAGTAAAATTTCATTATATTATACAACTATTACCGTATGTATCTGTGAATAATGTTTATTTCGTAAATTTCATTTCTTATTCGTAAAATTATTATATTTATTTATTTATAGACTTATTAATAGTTTCAGTAAAGTTAACTGAAACTTTCAAAAAATTAATCTAAAACAATAACTTAATAAAAACTCCTTTGTTCTTCATCAAATGTAAAATGATTAGTATAGATTCTCACAATATTTGGGCGCCGAGTTGATGTGAGACATTAAAGAGGTAGAATGTATTTGTAAAATCTTAGAGAATGGATTTGAAGTAAATCCAACATTTCGCCTGGCAATTTGATCCAAGGTTTTTCAAAGAAATATCCTTGAATGTTGAATTCACTTCAAATTTATTCGCTGAGATTTTACAACTATATTCTTCCTTTTTGATGATTAGTATGGATGCTAAGATTTTATCATCAAAATTCATGTTTTATATTTTACCGAGGAATTTCTAGGTACATGCTGATAAATTGTAACCCAATTGATTTTCTATTAAAACAGTGTATTATTATACAATTATTAGTGGATTATTATCATATTTACCTGTGGAAGTTGATGTTCTTCGAACTGTAGATATACGAAATGAGACATCTGTATTATTTCCAAGGTTGCTAACATCCCGAAAGTTAGATTAAATTTCAAAGCAAGTGAGAAACTCATTAAAGTAAATTGTTTAGGTTAAGCAAATGAGAAAAACTGACACTACAAATAGACAAATTAGTAATAAGGATGATTCGTAATTTATATGAGTACTACTATACTATCTTTAGGCTCAAACCAAACCAGATGATTTTTTGAAATGTCATCCCTTGAGCTGTCGACCTGGTCTTCAAGCCAAAGATGATGACACATTATTACAGGATATGTTTTCATCGTAAGCAGATACTAAATTAAGTTCATACTTTATTTCTTCTAAGTTATTTTAGCCCATTTACACTACTAGCATGCATTTAGATTTTTAAGAATACTGTAATTAGAACATTTATATCCAACAATCCAGTTCGAGCTCTGGACTTTTGATTTAGCTATCCTATTCTTAGAGTGTAGACTCTTCCAAATGAAAACAGTAAGTAGAACATATCCAGAATAGATTAAACGTTAGTTCTATCACAATATTACTAAAGAGAAATTGTATCGTATCTACTTCCGCCGGTGTAAAAGTGTTTGGTCCAAATTAAATAGACATATATACTTTCTAGTTTTTTTATTTTGTAATGTCTGAGGAATTTATGTACGTGGAACTTTCTTTCACAGGAAACGGAAAATAATAATGAACTATTAGCATTCAATCAAGAATATGTTGAGAATAAAGTTGAAGAATTACAATTTGCTATACGTCGTGAAAAGGTACAACATTAGCTTCCTTTTTTTATGTGTTAATATTTACATTATTTCTCAAACATATTCAGTTTATCTAGAGATGACCGAATGATTTCGCTGGATAACCTTTTGTGTGTCTTACAAGAATAGTCGATAAAGCTAGGGGTTCATAATATATGGGGATTTGTGGAAATTATTGAATCTTAGTTTGCGTCACAAACTGGCGTTAATTAGAAAGCCACTGAAAACCAGGTTAGCTGTCTTATCCTAGTATAGAATTCCTCAGTAAAATGTATCTCTGAGTGCGAAGCCATGAACAGTGGACATGTCAGGAATGAGATATTTATCTACTAATGACATTGGATGATAATTGAGTAACGTCTAATATTAGTTTAGGTTATAAATATATTACAACTAAGTAATCGTAAGGTTAGGGGCTAATTTCAAGACCTGAAAGTTCCAGGTTCGATTCCTGATGTTGTTTTTATTGAGTGCTGCTGAGACTTCCCATAGTAGTACGAAACAGCTGTCAAGGGCTTCTCGCTTCACGATTGTTGTCCAGCTAGTATAAATCCATGATAAAGACTATAAAACCAGATTGCACTAGTTGTCATACCTGTGAAATTTATCAACCAATTTGTATTATGAAGATAACCTACATATTGGACTAGCATTATCTGGACAATTGGCGAAAACTAGGGAGCACTAAATACCAACTCAACAGACTAAAATTAAAACGCTTTCCACAAAGCTATATTAATCCAAATTTTGATCCTCGATTAAGTTATCCATGGTCATTGCTGAGTAGTTCGGTACTAAAATAAAACTGCTGTCTGACTTCATTTTTCAATGGACGTTCAATCAAAGTAACTCTCTTCAAATTCGACATTGTTTAAAAACCTTTCATTCTGTAAATTTGCAATAGTTAAAAAAACTCTTAAACAGTGGGGAGGTGGCTTAATAGTTAAACCATTGATGTTTTAATTAGTATGTCTCAATCTTGAACTCTGTTTCATTCAATTTCATTTAGACAGCAGGGTAGTTTAATTATTCCAAATATAAATCAAAACGGAATACACAAAAACGATTGTGCCCCAAAGGTAGTGAAGTTGAAAAACTTTCTGACATTAGCTGTAATCTGCTGAGAAGCTTTTATAGCACTTACTTTTATAAACTTCATTAATTTACTGTATTTAGTTGTCTCCTTAATTATTTTCTTACAATATATAAGTAGTACCTTTCAACAACTAAATAACTTACGGCTATCGTTCAAAAACTACGATTAATAATAATTTCCTTTTAGAATAGTTCTATATCATTATCTATCGGTAGGATGTCAAAAGAAGTTTTCAAAAAACTTATTGGTTAATTCTTCTCATTGTATGATAAAAAGAAATAAAAAGAATTCCCACTAGACCGAAAATATACTTTTGACGATATGTCGTCAAAAGAGAAATTCATTAACACGAGAGATTATGTTGTAAACTCAACTTTATAAATACTTCATAAAAAGTTAATACATTTTTGTCGACATTAAAGAGGAAGAATGTCGACAGCCTAAAATAAATTTCATCTGGTACTGCAATATTTTCAAATTAAAAATAGAAACTTAAAAATAGTATTCCATAAAATTAAACTAAAAGATATTATTTAATGCTAAGTAACTAATCAGTTTGATTAATGATATAACTGTTTTTTAATCATCAATGAGATAATAAGAATAACACTGCTGTTATAATATTATTGATATAAAATATTTAAACCAACTAACCACTGTCTAGTAGCCCTTTGTCATCCCACTTTAGTCCTTATTCTTGATGGAGTTCCATCGACCGCGTTGCAATGTTATCACTAGTCTACTTCAATGATAACGTTTATTTCTTTTCTAATCAATACAGTTCAATTGCTTTTGAACATGATAGAGTTATCGCTTTAGGGACTACGACTGTACTGAACACAAGAAAGATGTCCCGAAACTTTGGAATATTTTTAATCGTTCTAGATCATTTTAAAAAATAAATAGGAAAAAAACTGTCAAAACTGTTTTAAATTAACAATGGGACATATGCATTCTTGTCAACTGCTTAAAACTATATTAAAATCTACAAAGTGTATTGATTGGGATGAAATGATACATAAAGTTTTATATTTGTAATTATAAACATGATTAGTAAGTCGTTATTGTATAAAAACATTGGAATGTTGCTCTGGAAAGTGTAAAACCATCGATTGACCAGAATCAAAAACTGACATACATTATTGAATTATTAAAAAATGAGATTTAGAAACATCTGAAAAATTAAGGTAAGAGAGAAGCAGACAATGACTGCAACTATATTCTTGAAGTGAATTCGATAACAGATAATTAATTAGTTACATAGAAAATAAACCTCCGAAAAATTCAAATTACCAAGGCAATAATGATCTGACAGTTGTTTAAACCTAAACTTATAGGCTTAGTTTGTAACTTTTAGTGGCAACCACTTAAATGAATCTGGATGAAATAACACCGTTTTACTATTAAAAGGTACTGCTTTTCATTTTTTAAAAACACATGAATATGCTCAAATCGGTTTTGATTAAAAGTATGCTGTTTGTATGCTAAATGTATGTTATTCGTTTTCTAGAAAAATATCATTTTCCAATGCTGTACCAATTTCAATATATTTTTTTTAACCAAACATTTATTAATCAATTATCTACTTGTCATAGATTGGAAGAACATCGGTAGTACTTTTTACATAATAGTTCAGTCAGAATGTTGTTGTAAAATTCTAAAGAAATTTCTGCGGAATAATTGGCTTATGAATTAATCAAAATAATAAGAGTACAATGAAATTTAACAAGTAGATATTTCTTTTCTGCAGAGTTACATAATACGTGTATGGAATGTAATACATAACTGTGAAGTCAGAAACTCTTTATGAACTTAGAAATGTTTTCAGAGTGTATGTTGCTATCGAATAATTGACATCATTACAGACCGAAAAATACCGTTTCAATCTGTTTTATCATCGTAGTAATATAAAAGACTACGACATGTATTTGCTTCAGTCGTTATCTGATAGTAGGATGTAATTGACCTTTCCTATGAGACTTTTTTGTGATCGTTTATTGTTAAACATTTAACTTTGAAATAAATAATATGAATTCAGTTATTTGCTATTTTCTCCTTTTATTGTATATATATTTACTAGTTGTATATATGATTATCGATGTTACTAAATTCTTAATAACAATGCAGTTGATTTAAATTTCATATTTACAATTCTTTACTAATGTGTTTCTCTCTAATACTTAGCACATATTAAAGAGTCCTCTTTTTTCTGCATTTCTATTTCTTTACAGATTGAACAAGTAAAAATTGAAGCTTGTCTATCATTATTACGTAACTCATCCAGTAGGTTAAATTGGTTTCTTTAAATTATACTTTCTTTTGCGTGAGGACTTAACTTGCATATAGAAATGATGAAAATATTCCTAAGACATTGTAAGATGTTAGTGGTTACCTTATTCAGACTGATCATTCTTACATTACTAAATAGTAGATGGTGCCTAAAAATCTTAAATACCGATATTTAACCGATAAATATGATTTTGTATCATTTCATTTACTAGTTAAAGTGTCTATTTGTTTTGTAAATGAGAGATATGCACATTTTCGTTTTTATAAAGGAAAGCAGACATAATGTCATAGTACCCAACCAAATGCTCCAGTGGGCCCTAAAACATATCTATAGATATATGAGTAAAAGTTGAATCACAGGTTATTAGTTTGGCTGTTTTCTGTGATTTACATGAAAAAAAAGTACAAAATCTGTTATAGTCAGAGTAAAATTGCAATGTATTTAACAATCGGACTGTATATTTAAACAGATTACGGATTCGATTAGTAGTTTAGCAACTGCTGAGTTAAAAGTGACTTTCAAAACTATTCTTATCTTAGTATATAGATCTTCATGTACTCAATCTTGAACATGTCCGAACTATTTTTACTATATGCTGGAATCTCAGAATATGCTCAAGTCGAACGCAAGAACAGGCAGATACAGTATATCAGGCTGCGGATATTGAATGTTTTTCTGGTCACATATTTCCTTATTTCAAGTATTTCTTTACGCCGAAGCTAATTACTGGTTAAACACAAGTTGGTAGGAATATAAGAGTTGAACGAGTGGAAACCAAAATATAGCATCAACTCACTAGGCTGTCGACTATCAGTTTTAGTTATCGAAAATTTTGATTTCACTCTTCCTGTTCTGTAGATTAAGAAAATAAGTTATTAAGAACGCCATACCATCACATGGCTCAATATCAATCGAAGTAATTTAAATGCATACTTTTATTTTTCTTTTTTTCTCTAAATGAGAATAGTTTTATATTTTAAAGTTATTTATCATCTCAACTGACTTAGCTGGTTTGTGTTAGTTTAATAACCTTGTATTTTTATCAGTTTTTTCTGTTCTGAATTGTGATAATTCAGATCAATTGATTTTCCTTCGTAATACAATATTTTTCAAATATTTTTATCTATCATTGCTATCACGTAAAACTTCTATGGATAGGTGAATTGCAACTGAGTTTCCCCATGTTTGTCTTGTCTGGATACCAATTAAATGGTGGATTTTCTTTAACCTTGACGGTATTAGAAAAGTGTAGCAAAGGAATTCTTCAATTAGCATGATCTAACTAGTGCATAGTCTAACCGTTCGGAATTAAAGTCGCATAGATTGATCTATTCAATTATTTTAAGATACAAAACTCTCGCCTATGTTCCACTAACTTACCGCACCTGTGATGGAGGTGAGATGTCTGTTTGTTTGTCAGAGGTATAATATGCTGTACAGAAGTCCTGTTATATTGATTCATGACTTTTGAAGATTAAATATAAATGGCGATCATAAATATTTTTTAAATACCACCTGCTGATGGTAGAACCATTGAACAAGTGACAGTGAGTTTAATCGTAGGGATTTTGGTAGAAGTGGTCAGTTCGTTTCTACTTGGTAGAATTTTCAGTGACTGAGGTGGCTATGAATAAATAAACAATATCTTAACTACCGTACAATTTGAGTTGCAATTATTGCTAGCATAAGGACCTGTTGATCGAACAATATTGAACAGAGGTGTATCCGGTGTTTAAGTGTTCCGTTTCATGTCTTTTGGTTATAAATAGTTGGACACAAATGACATGGCAGTATGTTGATAATACTAATCCACACGTATCTGATTCTTGTTTCCCTCTTCACAATGATTTCTAATTTTTACACCTTATATATTTACACTTCTTTTCCGTTTTTTTCAAAATATGCTCTAACTTTTGCTTGATACTATCATTTTTACAGTGTGATTTCTAATTTACTGTTTTCCATTCTATTAATTTCTTACCTTATTGTGTTGATGTGAAATGTAGTGAATTCAACTAGTTCACATGTAAGTTAAGTCCTATTTTATGAATGACTTACTGACTGGGAGTATCAAGGCTTGTGGAATAGTTTGAACTTCAAACAAATACAATTCAATGGATATGACAAAATAATATCTATTTCTCGTAATAAGCATGGTCATTAGTAACCGTATTTTATATATGTATTACCTTTATTATTTTTCTGAAAATTCTTCTCCTTTGTATAATATTCTTCGAAAACCTTTTCACATAGGTCAAATAATTGAATAAAAAATAGTAGTAGTAAAAATATTTTGCTAACCCCAAGGATTATCTAAAATTCGTAGCCAAATATAATGAAAAATAGATCAATCGATAGCAACTTCTTGAAGAGGATATATGTATATGTGATACGTATAATTGATTAGGGGATGATAGCATGAAGTTTACTGTTTCATATTTGATATCAAAATTAAATACATGCAAAAATATATTTCCGTGAAAGGAATTTGGACATTAAGAACACGAATTTCAGCGAAGGGATTTCTTTTCAACCTATTCATTATCAAACCGTACAATCATATCTGTATAAACATGAAAATGTTTTTGGTTCTAATTTTGTGAGGACATATGAACAAAGAAGAAGCATATTGGTGTCATAGAGAAGTTATAATGCTAGATTACCAAATGTGAATAGTAACAATTAAAGATTGTGTGTTTTATAAAATTTATAAGTTAGCAAAGAATTATAAAGTGAACGAAGTTAGATAATCAGAAAGTTTTTGTTACAATAATTAATGGTAATAGAGGGGTTAGATGAATAATTGACTGTGTTCAGTAGGATTACTAACTAACATATTGTGTAATGATACTTATTTACAAGAAATAAGCCAGTAGATAATTTTGCATACTTCTTGTCAACTTAGAAATAATAAGCTATACATTCGAATTCATATTTGTTCGAGTCTACAGAAGGACTTGAATATTATTTTCATCTTTCTATTCTTTTCTATCCCACTTTTCATTACTCAACATTCTTTTGATAATTTAAACTCCGAATCAGTTTGTAATGTAATCTCTTCTATCCTTCCTTTGACTCATAAAAATAATAAATGAATATATGTTAAAACGAGAGATGATGAATGAATTCAATACATTAAATAAAATAACAATAAAAATTCAACGTAGTTAGACTAACACTTACAGTAAATTTTAAAAATAATAACCAATCCTCGTGTCCAGAACTAATGTCTATGTACACTTTTATTTTTATCAGAAGGGGTTCTGTAGATATTATAGTAATTTTAATAGTTGAGATCATGAGCCAATTGAAGCTAAACAACGATGGAAAACCTGGAAGCACTTGACGGCCATTTCATCCTATTGTGAGACTCCTAAGTAGTGCGCATCCACGATCCAGGTTTTGTATGACGGTCTAACTTCAATTGGCTAATGATCTCAATTATTAAAATTAATTTCCTTTTTTAAAAAAACAACTTGATCTATTTGTGTCATTCATATGTTTTTGTTAACTCAAAATAATATACATTAATTTTCAAATAACGATAGTCCTCTTTTAAAAATCCATCAAAACTATAATTAAAATTTAAAAATAATCCGTACAACAAACTTTCTATTTCCCTTCAAATTGAGAACATTGTTTTTCTACTTAATTGGTTGTAGAATAAGGTCTGGTTTTCAACCAATATTATTGAATATATATACCCATTTAACTAATTAATAATTGTCCGAATACTATAGTTACAATGAACAACACATCGAATTATATTCCTTTTCAAAACGTTCCTATTAAAAATAGTTACTAGCAGTCCAATTAATAAAATCAAATATTTCAATCTAACATTTTCATTTGCCTGAATTTATATTTTCTTTTTTTTAAGATGAAAACTATGTATTTATTCTGCTTAAACAATCATTTTAATCTTGAATATAAAAATTTGTTTAAATATCTACCTGTTGTTTATTATCATTTAGTCATCTTTTTCTGTTTGTAGTTGATATAAACGAATTTATTTCTGAAGCTCGTATAGCCGCGGAAGCAGCAGCTGTTGCTGTGGCTGTTCAATTAAATAATGACGATTCAAATAGTGGTTTGTTAAATCATTCCACACCCAATCGGCGATCGATTATTCGACCTTTAGGTGAAGGAAGTAGTGATAGTGCAGCTAGTAGTTCCGGTGTAAATCAATTTATTGATCATGATTCCAGATTATTAAGTGATTGGGATCATTCTTATACACCGTATGGATCTGAGCTTTTAGGACGTAATACAACAACTTATCCTTTTCAAAGAAGTTTCAGTGTTGACGATAATGATGATGTCGAAGTAAATTTTGGGAAACAAACATATGATGTTTTTTTTTAATCTGTTGATTTGTTTTTGTTGTTTTACTTTTTCGTCATAGTTACCATTTTTCGATTTTTATTAGTTTAAACATTTTTGTTCAGTATCTCAAACAACAAATAAGCTTAGGGTTATTTATTTATTTATTTATTAATAATGGCTTTATAAGTACTATATTTACAGTACAATATAAAATTCTCAGCACACAGTATGCCAACAGGTTTCATTAAGTTACTGTTGATTGATACTGACGATAAATATTGAAATTCTGTAGTGATACTGAGCAATTATCTTGTAAATCATTTAACCACGATTCTTGAATTGTGATTACACCACAATTACGATACATGTTTAGACTTAATAGGAATTGAAGGTAATCCACCTTGCCAGTTAGATGTTAGCAATCTAGGACTCGATATCTGAATGATGTTCATTCTTTTCAATGCATATTGCCAGCAACCACAATATCTCTAGTTGTATATTTTTGTAACTTGTACAGGGAAAAGTCGTAAACTTTTCATAAATTCGCCTGAATAGGTTGTGCAATTAGTAAACATAATGATGTGTTAAAACAAACAAAGAACAGATAATTCGTTGAAATATCCAAATGGCAGGAACAGATAGCCCAGATATTCAAGCAGGCCGTTCTCATATATATGCAAAATATTTTATAATTTTCTAAAGAGATACTTAGTTATACAGATAATAGATAATAGTTAATTTAAATGTTCCGAGATATGCACCATTGGTACATGTTATTATAATTTCTCTATAAATTATTGTTACAATAATATAAACTATATAATTCAAATCATGTTATCAATGGATCACATTTATGCTCTCTTTATCTATTATTTAATATTTTGTATAAAATTAAAAACAGCTCCAAACTGATTTTTTCTCACCAAAATAGTTTACTAGTGTTTATAGTCTGTTGAAATAATGTCCCTTTCAAGAATCAGTTTCAAGAGGTTTAAATGTTACATTGAAGTATTTTATTGATAGTTTGGTTGTTATACTGTAACTATCAATATGAGAACTATTATTTAATCAACCACCCGGTTTCAATATATGGATTTTGGAGGTTAGGATAAGTATTAGACATTACATTTTAGCAGCTATCAAACTTAGCACTAACCGATAACTTTAACAATCGGAAGTGTAAAAGTCATAAATCATTCGTTGATTACATGACTTCATGTATTAACTGATAATTTTGATGAGTTAACGTTTATTCACCCAGTATTTCTCATCAGTGTGCTAAATATAGCATAGTTCAGTTACTTAAGGCATCATCACAAATGATTTAAAATGGAGTTAACTAACACTTATGCTTCAGTGCTCTTTCTAAACAAATAAAATCTATCTTATACCATCTAAAGGCATTTGCCTTCTGTGTTCCCCTCTACTGCAAGCATCGTTTTTCAAATGACGATTACATCTACATTCATTGAATGGTATAAATTATATGTTACACCTGTGATGTAAATATTTCAGGAATCAGCAGTTACTTACTGTAGGAAAAGAAATTTGAAAGTTATACGTCCTGCCACTGGGATGATGTAATATCGAATTTCTCATTATATTAAGTAGTGGTAGATGGTTGATGAGAAATCTCAAACCTAGACTCCGTGTTAGTCAGTACTCCTTACTGAGTTGTACTTGCAATCTTAAAGAACTTGACGCCCTGTATGGGATTTAAACTCGGGTTATTCCGCTTTATAATCTGAGACATTGCCGCTGACCTATTCCGTCTTAACACGCTATGTCGAGTCATCGATGAAATCCAATCAATGTCAACAGACTCTGCAAAAATATCAGTGGTCACTAATTTAATTAGCAGTTGACTGTAGCCAATAAAACTTTGACGATCATATTATCCAACTGAGGAAACTCAGAATCTTCAAAATGATTTACTAATATGATTCTAGTTTTTCTTTAATTAAAAAAATATAAAACTTCTCAGTTCTGATCATTAATTTACATTTATCTGCCTTGTTGACGTCTATTTTCTTTTGTTTTTGTTGCTTGTTTTGTTTCTTTCAGTCAACTAATCGACTTTATATAAATGGGATTAATAATTGGTCATCTACTTGTAAGCAAATCCATCATTTTACTTTGTTGTCACGTTCTACCACTATGATATTTTTAATTAATTATCACGTCCATTAAATAATGTTACACTGCTAGATTTCAATTCTCTGTGGTTCATCAATTAAATTGATAGCCAACTACTTGAATATTCAAAAATGTTCATTCTAAATTAAATGTTTAAATTAAATATGAAATGAACTTGTAACGTTGTTATTACGTCTCATTCAAAAAGTTCTTGTCGGTGAAGTGTATTGGTCTTTGACATGCACAGTACCAAATGTTTCATTGTAATACATGCTATCGACTTACATGTAACGAAAAATATTAACTACAATGTAATCTAGTGTCACGACACAGACCGCTTATAAAAATACACTAGATTTTAAGTATCATCGCTAAGGTTTGACTTGATACTTTCAAACAAATTGAGCATTTGGTAAATTATTAAAAATAAAAATGAATTCACAATAAGTAAAAAATATTAAAATTTCTGACGTTACTTGACTTACTGTAAGCCATTTCCTCAAAGAATGATTATTCCAAATTTAGTCAGTAAGATTCGTTCATGCTATGTTTTGAGAAAACCCCAATTTTGCTATGGCTAAAGATCCTAATAGATACCACGTACTATATTCCCTGTTAGATCGGTTACTTATTACAAAAATTTACACACTAACTAATGAACAAAAACCAAGACCTTAACGCTTATCGATCCTCGAGCCACTTCTAACCCTGTAGACAATCAGAAGTTGATGATTGGAAGCAGACTAGTTCTTTATTGTACCCAATTCGTTTATGACTCAAAACTCATACAATAACACACTGAAAATGCCAGGCCGTACAGGACAGAAAATAAGAATTCCAACATTAAAACCAATCAAGTCATTAATGGTAGGGGGCGAAGCAAAGAATACATTATCAGTTAGCAATAACTAGAGAATATTAAAGCAGTAAATAGTTTGACTGAAAGCTTATAGTAAGGGCAATAAAGGAATGTAACCATACAGCTAGTTGCCAGTTGTAAAATAAATGTATAAACAATAATTTGAGAAATAGCTCTGAAAATTTCAAATTCCTCAACATTTATCTTGCTAAAACATTTCTTCTTTTATGAAGAATAGTAGGAGTGTCCACGTGCTTTGCGTCTTCGATCTCTTAAAACTAGAAATGATTTGACAAGAAGAACATCCGTGGTTAGATCTCAATAAATGTTGTATAATTCTGAGTTACCAACATTTTCCATCCCCATGGAAAATTCTATGATCCTCCCATAATACAATGAGCTCACCTTTTGTAATCTGCCCGTTTTCTCTTCTTACTTCTATATTTTTGTAAGGTAGGGGTTCAGGACCGCAGTGCTTTTTGAATATTTTATTAATTCCGATTGGGGTTCATTTACTGAATGTTGTGTTGTTAGTTCCTCCAGTATTGCTCCAATTTCATGTACATTTAATATATCGTCTTGTTGTGAGCTTAACAATTCACTAGTTGTACATTCTGCTTTAGACACAACTGGGTTTGAGCCCATCATAGGATATGCTTCTGAAACTACCATTAATGGAATGCCAGGTGAAACAGGTACAACTACTGTATCGTCTAACTTACTGCTTGTCAATGGTTCCTGCAGTCCTTCAATGATATATTTATTCATTCTGCAGACATTTTCCACCGAAAGTTTCATCTTCAATATTCATCCCTCCTTAAGATTACATTACTAAAACTAACTATTTCTTAATTATAAGTAGTCATTTTATCCTTGTGTTGGTGATGAATTGATCTCTCCTCAAACCTAACAAAAGACTTTGAATTGTTCTTCTTTATACCAAAAAGTCACTTTATTCATTAAGTTATAAAGAAAAATAAACTGGGTACTTTGATAACCTATCCTAAGTTGTATACATTACAATGTTGGTATACTTCATATAATAATAGATTGCTTTACCATTTCGTGTTTGCTTCCGTGAATGTCTGTTAACATGGTCAATAGTCAAGATACATATTATCACAGGACTTTAATTCGTTACTTTTACTACTAAACACTTATTTTAGACGATTTGTTCATCACAAAATCGATATTGTCACCTATCAGTATATTTGTTTAAAACAGAAGTCTATCAATGACGCGTTTTTTCTTCTCCATATTTCGTTAGTCCCTAGACCATCAACCTCTGGCCAAATGGATAACTCCACTGATAGAACTCCTCATCCAACTTATAGATCATCATCTCAGACGAGCACAAAATTGAATTGTTTAAATCAGAATGATTTATTTCCAAATAACAACGAAACGCGTGTAAAACACGATTATCAAAATGTTTCACAAATCAGTTCACGAACTCATGACGACATAACTGTCCATAGATCAACTATTAATAATGATAAGAATAGTAATAAAAGCCATCCAAATGGTACATTGAATTCATTTTCATCTATACGTATTGGTAGTTCCAATAATTTGACAAATAATAAAGACGATATAGATTTTGAAGCCATATGGTCTGAAAATAATCGTTTGCGTCGAGCAACTGTTGTACATGAGTTTAGAGCTAAAAAATCTAATGAATTAGATCTCGTCGTGCATGAAACTGTTGTCTTATTGAATAACGAACCTCAAAATGGATGGATAAAAGTACGTTATGCATTTGAATTATACAAGTATCAATTTATTTATTGAATTATTTATTATTAGTTATTAGTATTAGTAAGTCAGCTCTCAAGTAATGTACACCAGCTGAAGTTTTAAGGTTTTGCATACTTATAGACAACTGGTAGTATTTTCTTGAACTATTAGACGTTCCGCAAGTTAATTATGTTCATTCAAATCTTACATCAAATACATTCTAACACAGTATATAATGATTTATATATAATTCAGCGATCATTCACCAATAAATAATATTAAAAGAAAGTGATTAGGATTTAAAAATATGCTACCCGTAGTCAAATATTTTCAGTAATTTAAACATAATTATGAAAGTTAGCACATACGATAAACTATTTGTCTAACCAGTTATTAACAGTATGTTTATAAGAGAGAAATAGGAATTATTTACACCGGTTACTCCCAATGGAGCACAGGCCGCCGACCAGCATTCTCCAACCCACTCTGTCCTGTGTCTTCCTTCCTAGTTCTATCCAATTCTTGTTCATTCTTCTCATATCTGTCTCCGTTTCTCGGCGTGATGTGTTCTTTGGTCTTCCTCTTTTCCTTTGGCTTTGAGGATTCCATGTGAGGGGTTGCCTTGTGACGCTGTTTTCTGCTCTCCTCAATGTGTGTTCTATCCACTTCCAGCGCTTCTTCCTGATTTCTTCCTCCGCCGGGATCTGGTTTGTTCTTTTCCACAGTTGGTTGTTGCTAATAGTGTCTGGCCAACGGATGCGAAGTATTTTGCGTAGACAACTGTTAATAAACACTTGTATCTTCTGGATGATGGCTTTCGTAGTTCTCCAGGTTTCCGCCCCATACAGCAGAACTGTCTTGACATTTGTATTGAAAATCCTGACCTTGGTATTGGTTGACAGTTGTTTTGAGTTCCATATGTCCTTCAGTTGTAATTATGCTGCTCTTGCTTTACCGATCCGCGCTTTCACATCTGCATCAGATCCACCATGTTCATCAATGATGCTGCTCAGATATGTAGAGGTTTTTACATCTTCCAAATCTTCTCCGTCAATTGTGATCGGATTGTTGCATGCTGTGTTGTATCGGAGAATCTTGCTTTTCACTTTGTGTATATTGAAACCTACTGCTGCTGAGATTGCCGCTACACTGGTCGTCTTCTCCTGCATTTGTTGTTTGTGCGATAGAAAAGCCAGATCATCTGCAAAGTCTAGATCGTTCAGATGCATTCTAGCTGTCCACTGTATCCCATGCTTCCCCTTAGACTTTGACGTCTTCATGATCCAGTCGGTCACCAGGAGAAAGAGGAAGGGCGAGAGTAAGCAACCTTGCCTAACACCGGTCTTTACCTCGATCGAGTCTGTCGATTGTCCTCCATGCACGATTTCGCAGTTTGATCCATCATAAGGATTCCGTATGATATTGACTATCTTCTGAGGCAAGCCGTAGTGTCGAAGAAACTTCCATAGTGTTGTTCTATCCACGCTTTCAAACGCTTTCTCGTAGTCAATGAAGTTGATGTAGGGTGATGGATCCCATTCAATTAATTGTTACGCAATGATCTGTAGTGTTGCGATTCGGTCTGTACATGATCCATCCTTACGGAATCAAGCCTGTCAGTTCCGGAGGTGGGCGTCTACGGAGTCCTTCATTTTGTTTAACAATACCCTGTTGAAGACTCTTCCTGGTATTGAGAGAAGTGTGATGCTTCTTTTGTTCTCACATTTGCTGAGATCGTCCCTCTTTGGTATCTTGATCAGGTTCCCTTCTTTCCAATCTGTTGGTACTAGTTCTTCATCTCAAATCTTGCTGAAGAGAATGTGTTTGTATGTGTATGTTTATAAGAAAGAAATGGGAATTACTGGATTCTTATTAAATACTAGTTTATGATTCCTCAACACTTGAACACATGCGACCCATGCGGAATTCGGTGCAGGACTTTTGAACCTCCTTTAATTGTTCAGGCATCCGACTTTGATGTTTGATATACGCCAATGTTTAACGAATATCTTCAAGGATTTTCTATCTCGTTTTCAGTTTGATTGAATCTACCAATCAACGTTTATAACCATAATTTCAGGAAGTTAATCATAAACTTAACCACTACTGAAATAGATTATAATCTACTGAAGTTTTTTATAATTTTTTAGTTTGATAAAGACAATCCTCTTCATGATGTGGTATCATTGGGGAGACCATACATGTTCATATCCTGTATTGTGCATGGGGTCATTGAAGTGGACCTCCAGAGCAAAACAAAACAGCTATCCAGTACATTGTGATTTTCACTGATTTTCTCTTTGACTTCGGAGTAGAATAAATATTACCTTCAACCTATATAAATCTCTATACAAACAACCTAGTAGACTATAGTATCTTAGTCAACATTATTTTTAGTATCGTAACACATCTTTTCGTTGTACTGAGACTTAGGTATCCATGTAAGTAGAATTATCAGTACTTATAGTCTCAATTGTAAATGAAATGTCTATTACTTTTAATACGATTGGTTAGTTGGTGCATGAATTAATAGGATATTCCATTTTATAAACTGTTTTCTTCATTGTTACTTCCTGTGATAATGGAGTAGCTTATTAAGAATCAATTTAACATCATCATCTTAAAACTTTATACTTGAAAATACATAGCCAGGCTAGACATAGAACGTAATTACTCTAAATACCTATCAGATATGAAGTATATACATGGTATTGAATTAATGGATTTATTAGCCACTATATTAAAGCAATATACTTGATATTTCTTTAAATACTATTCATCCTATATTTTTTTATCAACCTTGCACTGAGGATTTTTTTGTCAGTTCCCCGAAATTCGCTTACAGTGTTCATCAAACAAACCATGTATTATAATCACAGAAAATAGCTCCTTTTCCACAACAACCAATCTTTTATCGTACATATATGTGTTAAATTGTATATTTATAATTAATAAGTATTTTCTCATTACGTTTCGTAAACTTGGATGAATATCAATTGTTTTTATTTCGTCTGATATCAGTTCAGCATTGTTAAATACCGTTTACATATTTTTGTCTTATGAAATGAGATTTATAATTAACGTTGTATATTCATCCTGCTTCCTTCTAAGTGTTTGTATTCATCTCAACTTCAGGTAAGAAGTTTAATAGATGGAAATGAAGGTTTGGTTCCGATAAGCTACTTAAAACTATCTAACATAGATGTGCCTAAACACAACTCGAAAATCATTATGAACGGTGATAATAGTAATCAAAGTATCTCAACGCTGAATACTAGAGGAAATGACATCCTTCATTCTAAATTAACTAATTGTTCCGAAGACATTGATCAGAAAAACTCTAAGAAGCCTAATCAAGTGGATCCTACGTTTATATCCCTTCCTCCTGAAATAGATCCACCTCGACTTTTATGCGCAGATGGTACGTTTAGCTTATGAAGAGCTTAATACAGTTTACTTGAATTTACCATTTTTCACAAAAATCATGTAGAATTGTAGAACAGTTCAATATCTCTGGCTGTTTTTCCTGTGAATTCGTTAATGATATATATTGATATCAGTTGCCATATGAAACCTAAAATGTTTATTGTAACTGGTATTTCGTCTTATTACTAATCGATATTTATGGGAATTATAATTGAAGCCTGTTATGAATTTGACCATTTACATTCTCACATAAGTTACGGTCGCTTAATTATACAGTCTGCTTATGACTACTTTACCATATGCCGATTAGACCAACGGCAATCTCTTTAGCTAATAGAGCAAAGACCGGGACTTCTAACTCCTATGAATCTACCTCATTCCCTCTACTCTCAGTTGCCAATCTGAATAATAAGATAACAAGCAGATCTGCATTCTACTATTATATTTTCTTTATAACTCAAGAAATCACAGTATTATTTATTCCACTTACATGATTACTCTATCGCTCTCCCTGATTTAAAGAGCTCATCATTATCTAGGGAATTCTTAAAGTTTATTTATTTAAAAACCTATTAATATAAATCTCAAAGTTCCTGGAATTATAAAATTTTCAACCCACTCGATATTTTATTCATATGAATGTCGGAAACGGTACTAACTGTTCATATTGTCGTAGGTTATTACTTTGAAGAGTATTTGATGCATACAAGCATGAAACTATATCAAACTTGTGATAGTTATAAAATAACTACTAGCCAAATGTTTCATTTATCCTATTTAGTGTTCTTTACTTAATTAAGTTATATGAAAATTATGATTTGAATAAATCCTCTTAGTGGCGTAATGCTATTTTTGAGTTTTCTTGTCAGTGTAATTTTTAAAGGAAATAAACTCTGGAAATGTTTAAGTATTTTATCTTTAATTGTTTATTTCACAGAAGTTTCTAGTCATGAATTGTCCAAACCACCTCTTTCTGGTTCTTTTGTAAGAAGTTTAATCGATTTTCGCGGAACTAATCCAGATGAATTAAGCTTTAAAGCTGGTGCAGTTATACGTGTGATTGGTCGTGCTCCTAATATTAACGATCTAGTTAATAATTCATCAACAGCGACCAGACGAGATCAGTTAACTTCAATATCTGGCTATAGTATTGATGATGGTTGGTGGGAAGGTGATCTTCTAGTGGCTGAATCAAACAAAAATGATGAAGATCAACAATTTTATTCTATACGTGGTGTTTTTCCATCAATGCTAGTACAATCACTTTCTTCTGTTGATTCTGAGTTATGGACGGTCCGATGGAATAATATTGTACCATTGCCTATAGGTATTTAGTGTATCCTTATGTAATTTGTATAAAACGTTTTAATAGATATTTTAACTATCTACACTAAGGCAATCATAAGATTACTGCATCATGATAGTTTTTTTCGATCAATGGTTTATGAAATTTGTCTACTAGTTTTATTGGTTGAATAATTTAGTTTGTTTTTCGCGATTAAAAATTGTTAATCACAAAGTCATCAGTAGAACTCGAGTTTCAAATTTAGTAGTAATAATTACAATGTAATTTTCTAAAGTTTTACGGTTATAATTATTATGGATTGACACATGTTAACTGGGTCATTATATGAAAATCTCTGAAAAATTCAAAAATTATTTGAGATTTTTATTATTGATCATTTAAGAATAACTCATCATGAGACTTGATATTTCTTGATTCAATATCAAGCAAGAATTTGTGGTGAACATTATAGAATTAGACGCCTCGTGAATTTTTAATGATTTTCCGGCTGCATCGAGAGTGATCACAAAATTAAATAAACTATTCGATCAAACAGTTCAAGAAAGTAGTGAAAATTGTCTCTAGTAAAACGAAATGTAGTTTTTTCTCAATAATAGCCTTTTATCAATCCGTTAAAACTCATGAAGGTAAATGTAATACTTCGAAGTGTAATAGGTTTCTTTGTTCAATTAACTTTTCGGGATGTCTGAATGATATATTTTCATTGTATTTTCAAAGAATTGTTTTACTTATCGTAAGAAATTTATTCATTTTTCAGGTAACTCATTGGGAGAAAGTGATAATTCTGAAAACCAAAATAATAGCAATAAAAATAACATTAATTCTCCTAAAATTAGTGCCAAACAGCTCCATACAACTATAAATCATCATAATAATAACTTGGTTAATAACTGTTCTGTTGATGTTAATAAATTAAAAAAAAGTTGTCATCCGATAGATGAAGAAGACTACATACAACTGCATTCAAATGTATTACCATCATCTCAAACAGTTCAAGTGAAAAGTTCAACTTGTCAAATTCATTCTAGTCCGTCAGAAAGTATTAAATTGCCACATACTTTGTTGTCAGATGATACTAAACATTCAGCGCCTAATAATCCTGTTACAAGTCGACATCCTCATCAAAACTCTCAATGCTTGCATCATCGTCATCATAGTCGACATCATGAGTACAGCAAAACTGATGAGGTGAGATAAACTAGTTTCTATATTCATATTATTCAATTGAATTTCCCTTGAATATCACTATCTTCGTGCTAAAATATAACCACTCAAACAAACGATCACTTCAACATTAGGTAAACTGAATGTCCGATTTCTGTTTACATTGAATAACATCTGTTGGATAAAATATTTATATTTTGAAAACGCATACTCTATCAATTCACTACATACTCCATTTTTGACTATTAATAATCTCTTAATTCATTGTTTCTCAAGTTAAAACGAATATGCCACTATCGAATTATAAGAGACAGTGTAAAGATGATAGGAAATAGTAATACCGTAGTGTAACTCACTGACAAAGTACGGATGCATGAACGTAGCTTTCAGCTAAAATTTAAATGTATTTATGATCATCACTAGTATTTACCGGAACTTGTTTTAAGAACATGTTCATGATATTCTAAACACGAACTCCCTCTTTGGATCATCTCAATGTGTCCTCGTTATTTTATCTCCTCTTGTGGAGCAGATTTTATCGATTACAAGGTGTGCGTTCGTTCTAAACACATTCCAAATAATTGTTCTTGTTATATATATAAGGGTGAATCAAAATTAGTAAACTACTTAAATTCTGGATAAAAAGTCCAATTAAATATCAGTAAAAATTGTTTATAACTTCAAACGGAGCAGATGAAATGAATTATAGACCAAAAACTCGTAGACGACAAAGTTCTAGCGTTTTATTGGTTCAATTCTATAATTCACTCTGATCCTTCTGCTTCTAAATTCCCAAACTGTTCAGTAGATTATTGTCATCATCTGTTGACTTCATCCTCACCCTCTTGAGAAGCACCTATTCGAAACCCATTTGCTATTCTACCCAGCTGAAAACTACCTTTACTTTAACACCGTTCATTACACCTTTCATTCAAGTACATAAAAATGTTCCAACAATTTGTTAATAACGCTGTATTAATTTACTATCCATTAACATACTCTATAAATAATAACTACAAAATCATTTGTATCAATTAAAATGCTAATATCATCAAAATAAAAATTGTTTGACTGAATTATCACAGGTTTTTTTCTTGGTAACATTCGTGATTAATTTTATCATCGAATAAAAATAATTTCTCATATGTAATAGGTGACAGTCTTGTTCACTTACATAATTATTCAAGTATCATCATCTTTACACTGTCTCTTATAATTCGATAGTGGCATATTCGTTTTAACTTGAGAAACAATGAATTAAGAGATTATTAATAGTCAAAAATGGAGTATGTAGTGAATTGATAGAGTATGCGTTTTCAAAATATAAATATTTTATCCAACAGATGTTATTCAATGTAAACAGAAATCGGACATTCAGTTTACCTAATGTTGAAGTGATCGTTTGTTTGAGTGGTTATATTTTAGCACGAAGATTGTGATATTGAAGGAAGCTTTAAATGAATGCAAAAAAATACGAAAATGAAATCAAATTTTAGGAACACCTGCAAACATTCAGGATTAAAAGCAGGTAACATATCAGAGAAGTCAACTGGTATAAGCTTCAAAATGATTGGTAATAACATAAACCATCAACTATTGTAAAGTAGTATATTGTAATACATAAAAAATAAACACGAAAGAGTTTAAGTTTAAAATCCAAAACAAATTATCGATGCTTATTTTTATTTAATCATGACTCTCTAGTCATTTTAAACTAAAATAATCTGTTCCTTCACCAAAACTGCTTTGAAACTGGATATTATTTCTCATAGATATTAATTACATAACTTTTGAAAAAGATTCCGTTTTTTATTCATTATATTGGTTGTTGCTTTTCTACCCTTTGTTTAGGTGCCAATAGCTGAGGTTTGAATAGAATTTCATCTCATTTACAAACATGATAGCAATGCATTTATTTTTTACACTTTTTATATAAACTTCAGATATGTAAAGTAATATGAAATCGATTGTTTCCGGCTTGACATTTTTTTGTTTATTTTCAGTTTGTTATACTTTCTGTATACTTATGTTCTTTTTATTTGGACAGTATTTTGTGCATATTTGTCCCTATGCTAGGCTTTTTACCTAGGAATGAACTTATTTCTATTTCATAGATAATAATGAATTGGTCCACTGTTTTTATTTGCAAACCTCTTTCCTTTAAACACTTGATGTATGCATCATAATTAAACCTTATTACATTTGATTGTTATCTCACAGACCTTCATTTTTGTCTGTATTTTGATGATGTAACTTTTTATTTTAGGTTTAGTCCTATTGTATTAAGTTACAAAGTGATTGGTAGAGATTTTTCTGTAGTCACCAAAATACTAAAATATAGTGAAAATATCCATCAAGTTAGAGAATAGTTTGGATGAAAAGTAAAGTGTTGTCATATTCAAAGTGTTACCAAAGTGTGTGAGATGTCGTGTTTAGTTTTCAATAATTGATGTCACGAATTGTCTGCATGCTAGAATGGTGCAGTTAGTTTAATTTAACTTCTATTTTCACAACTAAGTAACAGTTGCATAGTTTAAGTAAAGTCTTCCACTCTGATAAACAATTTAAAACCCCTTTAGGTCACTTCTGGACATTCTGTTGCTCCTAAAAAGGAGCTTTTGTTCTGAACTTGATTGTTTAATTGTTTAAGCATGATATAAGTCAATGTGTGTGTGGTGACTCAGTACCCATCAACTTGATCTCATTGATAAAACACGTACTATCAACTCTCTAAAAACCTTTAGGAAGTAAAGATACAATGTATCTATCGTACCCATTCAATCGCTGACGGTGGTCCATCTATATACAGCAGCCATTAGTTTCATGATAAAGGCGTGAAGTTTTCAACCATTTTGTTGAATGCACTAAATTCTGCAAATATCTAATCATTCTCGATCCTCTCTCCCCGTCCATAACTCCGAGTGATAACATCAAACTCAGTGTCGTCCATTCAGAATTTGGCGTTTACGTCTCTCATCAGGATGTTCACACCATTTTCTGAGCTTTTCTTTACGATCTAATGCAAATTCTCATAAAACATCCATATGGTCGTCGTTGCTATGATTGGTAGGTGCATAGCATTGGATGAAATTTGTTTTAATCCTTTATTTATTCATTTTAAAAGTTGTTTCAATGATCCTGTTTTAATGAGATTCCCATCTCATAACTGCTTTACTGGCTTCTTTGGACAGCATCAGTGTGTTGATCATAAACGTAGATGATCTATGTCGAACGATTAGAGGCCTACTCGAGTTAGATGGGAATGTTGTAACGAACTAGCTAACGTTGAAGTCACACCTCATTATCAGCACCTTAAGTGGACTACCCCGTTGACGTATCATGGTACTCATAGATGCTTTGAAGACTGTAAAACACAAAGGACGTCATTATAGAAATATATTAGTTAAAGTAGATACAAGCGAAAGTATGACCACCGCCGTATGGGCCAGTCCGTGGCGTACGATTAACTCTTGCACGTTGGTTATCCTTGACGAGGATGGATAATTTGTTCGATATTCAGTGACCCAACTGCCGCATGATTTGGCTAGGGCTCAGTGACGTTTCATTGGCCCTACAAGTGTAACTCTTGGCTTTAACTGCTTGAACATGCTCTAAAATAAAGCCATCCACTGAGCAGATCGGGCTGCGACAGATGACACCGAGTATAAATGTACCACATCTGATAGCCAGCTCGCAGCTAATGACTTCACAAGTTACACTATCATGGGATTCACAAGCAAAGGAGTAGTTATTTATATTATTGGTTAGTTATGAAGGACGCCACCTTCTTTCCTACATCTATGTCTACCACACCTTGGGTAGTGGTATCCGGGTAATTCTGAAGTGGTGTCGAAGTCATGTAATTATCAAGTCTCTGTAACAAGTACAGTGAATGGCCTTAATTTTTCTACTAGTGCTCCTATATCATATAATTTATTTCTTAGACTACGAATGTTGGTATATAAAACTCCTAGGGAAAACGACCTATTTACATAGGCTTTGTAGCATCCTCTTTTAAGACCTGACTATATGAAGACCCACTAAACGAAGATTTTCCTAACCATTTTGTCGAAGGGTCTCTAGTGGCACTTCACTCCTCGTTAGTTTCATTAGAAATTTTAATTTTCCGTCAATCGCAGCCGAGTGTTCAACACGTCACGTAATAGCACGCACTAAACTGACACACTTTGTTCAATGTCAGTACTTGTATTACCAGCACAACCATTATCATTCCTCTAAACGGCCAAAACAAGGAGGCTCAGTAAGGTTAGGCTTCAATAATTTTTTTGACGCGGTCGGAGGTACACATCTCATAGCACCACTTTGTACGTACCTTACAGTATTCCTTCCTCCCCAAGGAATAAATAATTAGGCTGTCCATATTTATAATACTTCCAAATATTGTAATACGTTTAAGAAGGTTTAAAACAATATTATAACAACACGAACACAAGTGTCAGAATCAACGAGAAAGAAAGTACCACAAGACAGAATTAGGCAAATCTCAAACCTTAACCGAAATATTACAAGTTGAAGAACACTAAGAATGCTTTTTGATGCAACAAGAATACAAAAGAAAATATAATCATAAGAAGTTATAGATTACTGCACCTTTTTGAAACATAGCGTTTTGAAGATCAACGTAGTTTCACTTCCAGCATTGGAACCTGGGTGAGTGTGGTCAGAACGCAATGTAACAACCACTAGACCACAGCGACGATAAAGTGGACCGATATGTTAGACCGGTCTGTCATTTTCCAACGAATCATTAGTTTGTACAAATGTTATATATGCCCTCATTGTTCCTGCTCTCCATGACAGATACTTTATGAGAATACTCTGAAAAAGTTCGCGAATCATGAAAAAATTCTATCAGTTGCCTTTCGCCTTTCCCACAGGTTCATCAATGAACAAAACTTATAAACTCTACTCGTAATTAAACCCAAATCTGCAGAGGCACTTAAAAATGCAGATTGGCGGAAAATTGCTTTTTACAAGACTAGCAAAGAACATCTACTTTCTTTTCTTTCCCAAACTAATTGTTGTCGAGCGCTAAGTAAAAAGGACAGTGGTATTTTTCCTCCCTGAGTAAATGTTATTGTTTTGATCGTTTATTACTTATCAAGACTACTGTTTTCACTTTCATTGAATTCATTTCAGTTAAGGTATTCGACTAGAGTATCGTTCACTGTTTCCCAATTACTTTATCGTCAGTACTCTTGAGTACCTTATTTTCTACTGTATCTGTTAGTACTTTTGGTCCTAACAATCTACAGTTCTCCACTTTTTTGGTCACAGATCATTTTTTGTCTCTGAGCATTATCGCATCTCGCTCTTTTTTTAAAAGGATCCTTTTCTGATGACTGGCCAGTGCAAAAAAAGCAGTTTCCAACGTCCGGGTTGTTGTTATCTTGTTGAAAGCGGGATGCAGTGCGATGAGTGCAAAGGTTGGTACCACGAGTTTTGCACGAATTTAACGCTTGCAGCTTTCAAAAGGTTCAGTGAAAAGGGTTGCGTATGGCTTTGTCAACAGTGCTGTTCGGATGCAAACAGCTTGTTAACCGAGGCCATCTTACTGGTAGATTCTGTGAAAAAGTGTCTTAGCAAGCGTAGTCGGGACACATCAAACGGCACTCGATCTGTCGACTCGCAAATTGATATGAAGCAAACTCAGGTGAGTTCGAAAATAGGTGACTCACATCGATCAAATAAGGAAAAGCAGTCTCCAAATGGGCCTGCCTTAAACAAAAGCTCAGGAAAAGTAGGTTCTTCTGTTCCCCGTCTCCCAGATGGGATCCCACAGGAAACGCCTAGAAGCTGAAATCGCAAGGCTCGATCGGTTTCTAGCGGAAAACATAACCTGACCTCCCAGGTCGTCGACAACCCTCCGGAATCCAACAGTAGATTTAACGCAACTGTTGTTGTTTCTCCTAGCACCATTGATGAATGAGTGCAGGTTGTAAGGAAGAAACAACGTAGCGATATAAAAGGGAATCCTGCCCCCATAAAAGTAGTCGAGAAATCGAAAGTTGATCACAGCGACAGATCAGTTATTTTTCATAGAATCAAGGAGATTGAGAGCTCTGAACCAAAAGCTCATTTTGAACATGACATTGTGCTGATTAAACAGCTGCTTGATCAACTCATGTCTCAAAATATCACCGAGGTCGCCTTGCTAAAGGTGTACAGACTAAGGAGTCTAGCGAACTTGAAACCAAATCAATCCACACTGCTTAAAGTAGTATTCAAATCTACGAACAAACGCGACCTAATTTTTAGAATGGACATAAATTAAAGGGTTCAGGAGTTTTTATCCGTTAGGACTTACCGTTGGCAGACCGTTTAAAAAGACGGGAAGCCGAAAAATAACTACAACTTAGGTTAGACGCTGGCGAAAAGGACCTGAAAATTGTAAATTTTCGGGTTGTAAGGCTTCGACAGAGAATGATGCTGAAGCCACTTAAATAAACTTCGGATCTGCTACACTAATGCCCGGAGCTTACTTAATAAGCGATCAGAACTAGGTGTACAGATTGACTCTACAAAGTCAGACATAATCGCAGTTACAGAAACCTGGCTGACACAGGCTATGGATAGTATGGAACTTGATTTCGAGAGTTTTACGTTAGTAAAGGCCGACGGAATACAAAAGCGTAAAGGAGGGGGAGCAGCTCTATTCATTAGAACTGCTATTCCATTTGTCGTTATCGACAGTGTTTCGCATGAGAGTGGGACGTGTGAATTAGTTGCCGCTTGAAATGCAAGGGTCAAGAGCTGCTGATTGGTTTGGCCTATCACAGTCCAAGCTGTGAGGTAAATGAGATCCTGTTAAGCAGTCTCAATAGTTGGTCACAAAGTGGTCGATGTCTAATCCTAGGGGACTTTAGTGCACCGATGGTAGACTGAGTAAATCTGCGAACTGAATCGTCAGAAAATTTTTCCGAGCAGGAACTAGTTGATGCGGTTATCACATGTGCCCTAGTGCAACATGTGAAAGAAGCGAATAGGTACGACCCAGACACTGAATCATCCTTACTAGATCTTATACTGACTCACTAAGAGAATGACGCTGCAAACCTCCATTATATGCCACCCCTAGGTAAAAGTGATCACGCAGTTTTAACTTTCGACTTCCATATAACTGTCAGTCACGAGCACGCGTCAGCCCAATCCAGACCTAACATCTGGAAAGCAAACATACCAGATATCATGCACTCAGCATCCTTAGTAGTTTGGACAATAGACACAGAGTCCTCAATTGAAACGGCCTGGGACGCATTTCGAAATTCATAATTGAAAGTTACCACACCCCACATCCCTTGGACTATACCAAGGGGGCCGAGAAACTCCCCACCATGGTTCAGTAGGGAGGTCAGAATCCTCCTCCGTAAGAAAGGAAAAATGTTGGATAGAAAAGTCCGGAATACCTGTTCCTCGACCCTCCGTAAGTCTAGAAAGTTGTACGAAGGAAAACTTGTTAAGGAATCCACAGAATGTCCTTAATACTTGTATTCTTATATAAACCAAAGGACTAAGAGAACAGGAAATATTCCTGCTCTATGGGGAGACAGTACTGCCGTGTCACTAGTGGAGGACGACTTTGGTAAGGCTCAAGTGTTCTCAAACTACTTCAGCAATGTATATACCATAGAAGCACCCTTCCCATCAGCGCATACAGATCCCCCGCACATATGTGGAACTATGGTCTACTATGATATTAGTACTGCTCTAATAATAGACCTAATTCTAAATTTGTAGGTTCGTCATGATATAACTGCCTAATCTATAAGATCTTACGTGGAAGTCACACCATCGACTACGCCAACTCACTGTATCGTACCAATTACCAATACATGATGTAGAACAAGGTTAGGCTAGAGAAGGAACAATATATTTAATATGAATAGAAGAAATAAGATAACATTCAGCAGGGACCACGCCTGCATGGCCGAGCCATGCCGTTCGATCAACTCTAATTCACTCAACTCATTGTTCGCGCCTTCTCCATCGTTAGGTATTTCTCCGTGTTAAATATTGAATATCTATTTTCCGAGTTGTCTCATGTTCAGCTTTGCGGATTGTGTGGTTATGGTCCAATGCCACTACACATACACTGGATAGCATGAACATTAAAGAACTCGATGCCTTTAGTTTACTTAATAAGCTTGACATAGGTAAATCCACGGGGCCCGCTGAATTACTTCCCAGGCTACTGAAGGAATTATCTAACTTCGCTGCGAACCCTTTAAGTATATGATTTAACCTATCCGTGACGCGGGGTCGTTTACCAAAAGACTGGAAAAACGCCATAATAAGTCCTGTCTTCAAAACAGGTACCAAACACAAACTTGGGAATTACCGCCCCGTTAGCCTAATTAGTGTGGTTGTTAAAATCTCAGAAAAGATTATTTTGAAGGAGCTGTTTAGGTACTTCGATGAAAACTGGATCCTTTTGGAGAAGCAGCACGGTTCCAGAACAGGTTACTCTTGTCTCACTAACTTATTAGTGGCTCTTGAAAGCTGGTGCGCTCTTAAGGACCAAAAGCTACCTATAGACGTCGCCTTCATTGATTTCAGTAAAGCATTTGACAAAGTTCCGCACAACCGGCTGTTATATAAGTTAAGAAAAGTCGGGATTGGAGGCAATTTATTGATGTGGATAAAAGACTTCTTAGTTGGGCGCCAACAAAGAGTAAGGGTGAACTCAAAGTTATCTAGCTAGGAAACTGTGCTTATTGGAGTGCCCAGGGTACAGTTTTGGGGCCAGTGCTATTCCTCTTGTACGTAAATGACCTTCCTTGTCTGCTATCATCATCGGTCTTGCTATATGCTGACGATGTCAAGATATGGAAAACGATACGATGTAAGAGTAATAGCTTAGAACTTCAAAATGACCTGAAGAAGTTATCTGAATGGTCTCAAACCTGGCAGTTGCTGATAAATACTTCCAAGTGTGTTGTGATGCATATCGGTCATCAAGGTACAGATACATACACGATGAATAACACTGAGCTACCTGTCGTCCAGACATATAATGACTTAGGAGTTATCATTAGCCAAGACCAAAAGACTACTGCACACTGCCGTGCAAAAGCCACCAAAGGCTTTAGAACCTTATGGTCAATACGTAAGGCTTTTAGTCATGTCGACGCTAAGACGTTTTTGACTTTGTATACAGTGTTCGTACGTCCTAAGCTTCCGTATGAAGCTCGACTGGCCAAACTGAATTATTTCCGTTGTCATATCGCAGAACTAGAGGAGACTTGATAACAGTTTTCAAATTGCTTAGTGATGAACTTGCCTTCATTTTTCTTGTCTTCCACAACAGAGAATTTACGAGGACACTCCAAAAAAGTCCACAAGCCCAGAACAAATTACTTGTCAGCTGACTGTCGACTTTCCCACCGAATCATCAACGAGTGGAATTCACTACCTCAGCACGTGGTTGAGGCTCCATCCGTCGACTCTTTCAAAAGAAAGTTGGATCAACTGAGAGACCACCATTGTCAGGACTAACACAGGCCATCAAGCCTCCTGTCTTTCCAAAACTGAAACTGAAACTAACAATTGTACACTGAGAATGACCTTGACTACATATTCGGAATTCCTCACTACGCTTTTGAAAGTGGATGTGCAAGTAGTAATTATACGACGTTCTTCTTGCTCATTAATCTCCCACACTTTATCTGAAGTCGTAATGTCTTTTTGCGAGACTATAGTTTATGGGTGAAGTAGTATGGTTTACGATAACCGGTCTTGAATTTCAGCCCGAAATTCTTTATCCATATGGCTAAATAGCGTCTTGTCGTTTTAGCTGATATCAGTTCGTGATAAAAACACTAGATATAATTTCCCAACATAGTTACCCGGTGCAAATCACAATCCTTATCCTTCACACAGGTTTAAAACCCTCATTCAACACCAACCTCGAGGTTGGTGTTGATTTATGTACTTGTTGTGATTATCCTTGCTTTGTGTACTTGTTGCACCAAAAAGCATTCTCAATATATCTAAACCAAAAGCAATTTGGTTAGGGTTCGAATTTTCTGCTAAACTTTGTCCTGTGGTACCTTTTGCTACTCATTGACTGACACTCGTGTTCACATTGTGATCATATTGTGTTTTAAACCTTTTTTAATCAAATTACAATGGCTAGTAAGACTTGTAAATGTGGACAAACAAACTGCTTGTTTCCCGTTGAGGAAAGAAAGCAGTGCGATGAATGTAAAAAGTGGTACCATTAGATGTGAACACGTCTAAGTCCTACAGCTTACAAAAGATTCTCGAAGCCTAACTCGCATTGGCTTTGTATGCTTTGCTGTACAAATAATAAGTTACCGATCCGTTAACACTAACGACGAGTGAAGTGCCATTTGATATTGGTAATCATACACCTCTAGTGGAAATTGAAGACCCGGATAAAACTTTCACCGTTCCAAATAGTCCCGGTGTGGCTGTCCTGAGTGATGATAAATGGACTTCAGTACGGAGAAAATGAAATGAAAAGAAAAAAGCTGTACGTGGAGGGCAGCTGGTTAGCAAATCATTGGGAGAGACGGTATCAGTAACAAAGACTCCACTGTGTCAAGGCAGACTTCTCTGAGAGGTCAGTCGTTTTTCATAAGTTAAGAGAATCTTCCGATAAGGAACCAAAGGCTAGGTTTGAACACGACCTCAGTCATATTAAGTCCTAAATAAGCAATTTACTCCCAGATACAGTTTCAGCAGTTAGTAAGCTCTAAAAGTCATCAGAAAAACCGCCTCTTGAAGGTTACATTTGCCACGGTTGAAGAAAGGAAACTGATTCTAGGTAATTCACGTAAAGTGATTGGATCCGGAATATACGTCCATGAGGATCATAGCCTAGCTGATCATACTAAGAGACGAGCTGCAGAACTGGAAATAAATGAGGGTCGCCGAAACGGTGAAGGAAACTTTGTTCTTAAGGGTTTTCAAAATGTAAAAGCAAAATGTAAAGCAGAACGATCTCCAAACCGCTCTGGGTGGTAAGGAAAAGTTCCCCACAGACTTAAAGGTACGCTACACAAATGCTCGCAGCCTACTAAATAAAATGGCAAAGTTCAGGTCAGTGGTGGATAAAGAAAAACCGGATGTTATTGCTGTCTCAGAAACTTGGTTAACGTCAGAAGTATTAGATAATGAAATTCAGTTGACTGGTTTTTTACCCACCAGGGCTGATAGATTAAACCCTAGGGATGGCGGGCTTATCCTGTACCCCACAATGTATGACTTAAGAAACTCTTCTCCTTTAGATTTAGTCTTCACACACAGTGATGACGTTGGTCAAATGACTTTCCTCCCACCACTAGGGAGGAGTGACCATGCAGTCATATTATTCAAATTCATGGCTGAGATTGCCTGTCAAACAGTTGTGCCGGCACGTCCTAATGTATGGGAGACAGATATGGAGGCAATCAACTCCGCAGCATCGACTTAAAACTGGGAAATTGGCACAAGGGCATCAGTACAAGTCATGGACTCTTTTCAGGCAGTTATACAACCGGGTAACTCAACGATACATGCCCTGGACAGTTCCAAAGAAGAAGATGCACGTCCATCCCTGGATAGGCCGGGATATTTGACGTTTACTAAGACAAAAGTAAAAATTTTGGGATGTTGCCATCTGCCTTGGCACAGCAGGTACGATGGAACGCTACAGATCGGTAAAAAACAAGTGCATAACGAAAATTCGGGAAGCTCGAAGAAAATACGAAATGCAGTTGGCACAATCTGCACTCAGGCAGCCCAAGAGAATATTCTCGTACATAAACTACGGAACAAGGATGCATCATTGGATTCCCAACCTAATTAAAGAAGGGGTGAATGTGAAATGATAGAGGAAGATCAGGAAGAAGCAGAGGCTATGGCTGACTATTTTGGGGCAGTGTTCACTCAGGAACCTCCTCTAGACAAAGAACCAAACCAAAATAAAGAGTCAACAAACCACCTGCCCACCGTTGACTTCGATCAAGATGATGCGCTTGAGGCTCTTAGCACCTTAAATATGAAAAGTCAACAGGACCAGATGAACTACACCCCAAAATCTTGAGACATATTGCACAATATATTGCAGTCCCACTGACTGATATTCAATATGTCACTTGACCAAGGTGTGTTACCTGTGGACTGAAAGGAAGCAATCGTCACTCCCGTACATAAAACAGTACCAAAACAACTTCCATCGAACGACAGACCTGTAAGCCTCACCAGATATTGGAAAGAATAGTCAAAAAGACCGTAATGACATGTGTGGAAACCAGCAAGCAGCATCGTTTTAGAAAGGTTCTTTCTTGTACAACGAACCTCTTTATAGTAAGGGAATTTTGGATAAAGGCGCTAGACAACGGAAATTCAGTGGATGTTGTCTACATACACTTCAGTAAGGCTTTTGACAAGGTGCCAACTAAGAGACTGTCATTGAAGTTGAGAAACCTTGGTATTTCCGGACCTCTTTTAAAATGGATTAAGGATTTCCTAGTAACTCGTGGACAGAAGGTAAGAATAAATTCCAAGTGCTCCATCTGGAGACCAGTACTTAGTGGAATACCTCAAGGTTCCGTCCTAGGTCCTTTACTTTTTATAATGTATGGTAATCTTCCAAGTATAGTACAGTCTCCAATGTTATCATACGCTGACGATGTAAAGATCTGGCGAGTAACAACTGGAGACACAGACGCATGTGCTCTTCAGACAGACTTAAATAATATGATTAACTGGTCTAAAGAGTGGCTGATGCCTATCAACGCGGCAAAGTGTATCTACATGCACTTTGGGGATTCAAAGATTATTAAGTACAACATAGGGAAGTGCCATTACCCGTGATCCGGTTTCATAAGGATCTAGAGGTGACAGTGAGTCATGATCTTAAGACGACGGCCCATTGCCGGGAAGTCCCAGCTAAGGGATTTCGAACACTCTGGGCTTTAAAACGGACATTCACTAAGTTAGATACTATCATGTTCACCACAGTATACACATCCTTAGTGAGAACCAAGCTTGAGAACTGCGTTCAGACTTCAAGCCCCTGTTTAAAAGGTGACTCGGATATCCTAGAAAAGTACAGAGGGTAGCTACCCGTGCAACTCCAGAACTCCGGGGTTTATCATACAAACGGCGGTTTGAAAAGCTGGACCTCTTTACTCTGTCCTATCGCAGATTAAGGAGAGATCTAATTTTGATGTACAGAATACTGAGGAATGATTTTGGACCTAACTTATTCTCTCTTTTTCTCCCCACTAGATCAGGACATCTTAGAGGACATAGCAGGCCAGTAGAAAAACCAAGAACGAACAAAATACCAGTGGCATACAGGTTTTCACACCGAGTCATCAATGATTGGAACCTGCTGCCCGAAGCAGTGGTGTCCACACCCTCAATCGACTCTTTCAAGAGAAGACTGGACACTCACAGAAGCATACTAGGAAAGGAATAACATAGGCCGTAGGCCTTCTGTCCTTACCACACAAATCTGAATCTAGTCAGTTGGTGGATATTCTGAAGGACGCTTTCGAGTCACTCAAAGGTTCATAAATTATGATCTCACCAAAAACTATTAAGGTCACTTTAACATCGCTAAAAGGCCGTCCATAAATTATAGTCACTGAATTTGTTTGTTCCTACCCTTTTCTGTAGTTATTCTTCCTGGACAAGCGTAAGTTTCACTGTTATGGACAGTTTGTCAACATTTACAAGAGTTCCTAGAAGACTTAGTTTCTGATATGTAAGTTAAGGGATCCCATTATATTGTGCATTTGTTTGAAAACAAACAAGTGTTGTCTATGTGTATAGATACTTAGAATACAGACCAATGGGATCATGTTCAAATCACGAGTATTTGTGCCTTAGCCGAACGAAATATTGTTTGCAAGCCGATCTCAATCTCCTTATTTTGGGAAGACTTTGGGATTTTTCATAAAGTCGTAAGAAATATGTGTAATAAGATCCTGGGGAAAATCGCCTAAGTTTTGGGGAAATTTTGGGTATTCTTTAATTTAGTCAGATTGGGATACAATGCTCATCGTACTCATTCGTTTTTCCTAGAGGACCTGAAATTTGTGTCAAGCACGAGTGCTTATGGTTTTTTAAAGTTTAATGCATGTGGAAAGCCTATGTCACTTTTTTTTGTTCGTTGTTTATTAGTCTACTTCAGAAAATCGATCGTTTCGTCCGGTCATTTTCATGCCATATTCATAGCAGTTTTAACCGTTAAATACACCCCTATATTTTGCATTTCGCATATTGGGATCTTATTTGATAGTAATAGTTATACACCACACCGTTCCCTACTTTTCCCTGGTCTAAAGTTACGTTTGTTTTTTAGGTTTTTATCTCAATTATGAAATGTTCGCCTCTCAACCAAATATTAAACCAACACATATTCCTCCCATTATGGAATGCCCACCAATGCCTCATCCAGCAATGAATGTGAATTTCCCAACATTTTATTCTGGCAGTTTCGTGCAGAATAATATCTCATCTCTTGCACAGGAGAGCTTATATGAAATTCAACGACTTAGACTACTTCTGACTAATTTGCTGACTTCTATACAATCTGATGAAAAAGATCCTGAGGAAAAAAATAAGATTGTGGACGAAAACTTTGTGCTATTCAATAGAAATGGTAGTACGAAGTGTGAAAACATTCCTAGTCCTCTATTTACAACTGGAGAAGGAAAAACAAACGGGATCGTGCCTGAATGTCGCAACAACCTCCCTCAAACTCTTGGTACGAAGAATTTATCGTGTGAAAAGTTAGCATTACACAAAACAGTCAATCAAATCAGGTGAGAAAAAGACTTGGAAAATTGCCTAAACCCACTAGGTTCTGAACATGATGAGGAGCGAAAACAAATCAGGTCCAGGTTAACCAAAAGTCTAAGGGATGACCGTGAGCAGTGGTGGGCAACGAAAGCAAAAGAGATGGAAAATGCAGCGGTTGTAGGTAACACCATACAGCTTTTCAGAGTAATAAAAGAAACTGGAATTAAAAAGTCAAGTGTGAGACTATCTCAGAAAAATACAACACTCTTATCTGCCCTCAGCCCAGACGCTTAGATCGGTGGACGGAATACTTTAGAGAACAGTTTAGCTGGTCTTCAGCTATTCTACCAGTACCCACCATTCCCAAACAGCTTGAATGGAACATTGACGTGGGTCCCCCGACTCTAATTGAAGTTCAGAAAGCTATAGCTAATCTGAAACGAGGAAGAGAAGCTGGTCTAGGTGGGTTGGCTCCAGTTGTCTTTAAGTATGGTGATCCAGTTTTAGCGATTGAGTTGACTAATATTTTAGCTAAAATCGGGGAGTTGGACGTAATCCCATTTGACTGGTCGCAATCACTGATTGTCCCGATATACAGTAGGGATCAAAATCATGCTGTGATAACCATGATGTTAGTTTAACTAATATAGCATCTAAAATACTAGCCTTAATTGTTGTTGGACGCCTAACTAAGACTTGTGAACTGCAAACACGAGGAAATCAGGCTGAACTCAGACCTGGTCTTGGCTGAATCGACCACATATTCACCACTCTTCAGGTTCTAGAGCACAGACATGCTTATCGGCGTCCGTCAGTGATAGCTTATCTTGACTTAAAAGCAGCATTTGACTCTGTAAACTGAGAGGTTATGTTAGTGTCTGCCATTGAAAGGTGTAACTCAAAAGTACATTAACCTTGTGAAGGCTCTTTTCTCAAACACTATTAGTAGTCATCTGATTTATCAATTTCAAGTGGTATTTGACAAGGCTGTCCACTATCTCCATTTTTGTTGAGTTTCATTGTAGACATACTGATGGAAACAACGCTCTCGTCGACTGGATTTTCAGGAATTGATCTCTTTCCAGTAGGTCCACTTATCGAGTTAAGATACGCGGATGGCATAGTTTTGTTTGATAAATACTCAGTCTTTTGGTGGCATTGAGCAAAAATGCCAGGATGTTTGGGATGCGTCTCTCCCCCTCTAAATGTAAGTTGTTGCTTCAGGACTGACCTGCGTCAACACCTGGACTAAGGATAGGTAGTGAAGTCGAACACGTCGACAACTTCACTTATCTTGGAAGTCTGGTTAGCCCTAATGAGTTGGTGTCTGACAAAATTTGTGCACGTATTCAGAAAGCTCGTTTGGCTTTTACCAACTTACGTCACCTATGGCGAAGGTGAGATATCCGTTTGTCAATTAAGGGACGGGTATACTGCACGGCAGTTCGTTCTGTTTTACTTTACGGCTGCTAAACGTGGCCATTAGGGGTAAAAGATACTCGTAATTTCCTAGTATTTGATCACAGATGTCTTAGAGATATTGCTCGCATCTGATGGGATCACCGAGTAATTACTAGTGAGGTTAGACGCATAGTATCGGGGAATGATGTTAAATCAGTTGATAGGGTTGTAAATCTTCATCGACTAAGATGGTTGGGCGACGTGTCACTTATGTCTGAATACTGATTACCATGACGTGCAACGCTGATCGGTGTTGGAGACGGTTGTAAGAAAGTTAGGGCAGCCAAACCAAAACATGGCATCAATCCTTGAAGTCACTGACTTCTAGTCTGAGCCATGTTGTTTGGTGCAGACTACTTGGTTGGGGTCCACGTGACTATCGTAACCAATGTTCGAAGATTCTTGGTGACACGGCTCAGAGTCGATCACACTAGCGTAGGTGTATACACTTTTTCTGCCCTGAAACTTTGAGATTAAAAGTGTTTTATATCTTCCTACCAATTAATTCTTTCTCCCTGTATTATATCCATATATGAATTCTTTTTTTACTGCCAATGTCGATAGACATACCATGAACAATGGTATGATTTAGCTGATTATCAGTTACTCACTAAATCAAGCCTTAAAACAAATGCATTGATTCGAAAAGGCAACGCTACTGACGTGCTGAACAAAGCCAAGTTAATGTTCTTCTAACATTACTATATTCAAATGTAGTCTGTAGTTCACAACTAGAACCAATGCATCGTATTAGTCCTTAGTATTTCAACCTAAGAGTTGCAATATGAATATAATGATACGTTTTAAACTGGTTATGTTTTTATATTTCTGCACAAAATGGAACATATAAGGAAGCTCCCGAAACCAATGATTAGTTTATACATACGTCGAAACTACAGGTACCGCTCACGTTTTGATTAAACTTAGTTTTGATCTCCAACTTTGTTGTAAAATACCCGAGAGAATATGATTCCACTGAGGGTTCTGAAAGTTCTTAAATGTGTTGCCAATTAGTTGCTTTGAACATATATCTTTCCCGAGCCCTTTATTTAACATACTTATTTGTTTTTTATTGTAGTGATGTTTTTAATAATTTGGATCAACTAGCCAGTCGAATGCAGGTCAATCGGTTATCTGGTCGACCTAGTGACCATGGTTTACAAAATGCATTATCTCTGTTTAACACCGTTGAACAGTTAGAATTTAGCCGTAATAGTTGGCTATATGAATCTTCGCTATCTCAGTACGTGGGGACCGATGATCACGGGAAAGAATCTGATTGTCGTCGTGTTGACTGGCTTATGGATAGGATCGAAGCGGAACGTTGGAGTCATAGATATTGGGGACGCACTCGTACTGTGCTTGAAGGTTTACTGGCTTGCTCCGCATTCAGACGGTACTTTTAATTTTTATCTTTAATAATATATTAACGTCGATGTATCCTATGTTTAAGTTAATTTTTCCAACACTTTTGGATTCTGCTTTCTATTACTACATTCTGCTAAGCGACCATATTACGTAAAATTTGCTGTGACTTCTTGCTGTAAACGATACGTTTATTTACACGTAAAACAGTAAAGATATAATAATCTTATTAATAGACATGAAACTTAACTATATCTGGCACTTAGAATTTGTCGATAAAATAAGTTTCATAATGTTAACCTTGTCTTATATGAAAGGTATCTATCATAAATAATTTGTCTATGTTATGTTAACTGGATTGGAGGTAGAATAAGTCATATAGTGTCTGAATAGACATATAATATCGAAGTCATTAACTAACACTCTGGGATACTTTAAAGCAATTTGTCCCTTTTATCAATTTTCATGGAGCAATGAGAAGGTGGATTTGATCTGAAAAACGTGATATATTTGGGCTATACATTTCGAACAATTTGGTTATATATAATGCCCTGTTAAGTATATGTTGGAAGCATTTTATTCGATCAGTATTAAATAGAAGCTTCTCAGAAACATCTCAAAAGTGAATTCACATGTAGCATTTTTGACAATATGACTACAGATCCCGCAACTATACTTAGTATAGTCTCAGAACCTCCCAGAATCCAAAGACCATCTGAAATGTTATAAATACTAGCCTTGTAGTGTAGCGTTCTTTTCAAACATCGCATCTTATCTCTTTTGTTCAAGTTGTTTAGATTTAGCCAGGAGTTATCAAAAGAGCTTAGGAAACCAATTTAAGCGTCCGGCTATAAGGCCTATCAATAAACAATACACTTGCCGTCAATAATAGGTTGTATTACTTGGTTAACCACATACTATTCATCATTGCATTTGACCTTAGTTTCAAGAAACCCCCATCAAATTAATCTCTCCAAGATTATCAATCGGATAAATAATCTTTAATTCATGCTAATGTTGACGAAAATTGATGCAATCTATCTATTTTATAGCTCTCATTTAAATACAGATCATTCCCGCAGGCGAACGGATTTTCTCAATATAATCAATCGAGATTATGGTGCTGATTTGGAACATTTACTCAATGAATTAAATGTTAATTTGCCGGACCTCACTATAACGCTAATCGAACCATCATCTGTTGTATCCGTAGCACATCTAAGAGTAAGTATAAGGTAATTTTTTGTAAAATGTATTTTATGCAGTGGCATTTTTATGGCCATTTTCATCAGTGGTCTTACGGAGTAACATTTACTAGTTCCTTATACAAACATACAAATACAGTTAATTGGTACTCCACACGTTATTTCACTTCTTCGGCATACATTAATGTGTTTTCGAAAGTTTAGCTTCAAATTACATATAGATCATCGGGATTGTAGAGCACATTTCAGTGATTGCAATTTAATATTTCAGAAGAACGCAACTCCACTTCTGGATTAATATATCAATTTGTGAGTTACTTATTGTATGTGTGCTAATATTGCTTAAGTATGCAAACCTCTGTAGACAAGTTGGAGTTTAATTTAATTAACTCATTTACCAGGAACTTGGTTATAAGTTACACTAAATGTGAAGGCTAACGGGAAAGCTCTATTTCGGATTAGACGAAGTAATAATGTCGTCCCAATAAATTCCATATTGTGCATTATTTGCTGACACTGGGACTGATTGGAGAAGTGATCAGTCTATAAAATAGTGCCGGGTTGTAAGAGAGGACTGGTATCTGTCGGTCCGAGAGATAATCAAACACAGTGGCTTGAGGCTATCTGTTAGCGGGACATAGACTAGATTAAAGCATGCTCAATGCATGATTGTTTTGGTGCACGCTGATTGGCTGATTCTTATCCAATCAGCACTAGTCGATAGTCGGAGAATACTCTGGAATCTTATGTAAAAACTATAAATATACCGACGTTTTCCCCTATTGTGCTTCCTACTGGCTTCTGACTTGCTATTTGGAATATAATCTTTTTCCTGTTCAACCGTGTTCTGATTTGGGGACTTGTCGAGTGATTCGGTGTCCGAGAATACTAAGCAATAGGAATAGCTGGGTCATTAACCGTAAGAAGAAAGAGAGATTATAGCACTATCAAACATGGCTTAGAATAGAAACCGATGACAATCCTGCTTTAACTTGTTTTTACTTTATAAAAGTGAGGGGAACCTCTTTAACTGAGAGAATTCCTTCTGGTTATATTTTTCCTAACTGAACTGCTCACTTCACTATTTTCGGATATGGTAGGTTATGTACGTAACTAGGAAAATCCTTCCCTCGGTTATGTATGCCAATGTACAACACCAACCTCTTGCTTATGCAAAAGAACTTGTGTCATGCTGTATGGCATAGTTAATGATGATTTAATGGGTATTATCTAAACTTCTTGTTATCATCTGTTTTTAATAAATTTATCGCCACACTCTAGGAGGTAAACAAACTTTATTTTACATCAGAAAACTTCGTAGTGTTAATTAAAAAAAAGAATTATTACGATTATTTTATTCTAAAAAGTACTTCAATTTTATTATGAAAACTATCCTAAAACAACCATTAAAATTCAACCCAACCTCAGTTTTATGTCATTTTGATAATCTTTTTATTGTCTTTCTAAAGATTGGTGAGATAATGCAATGCTTTGTGACTTTTCGTCAGTTGAATCCAGAAAGAATTATTGTTCGTGGAGTATCGGAACCGATGATTATAAAAACACACTCTGATTTCCCGAACAACAATTTAAATATTGAGGAAAAACCCTTATCTTTAGCAACCGAGGAACTATTATCTGATTCCGGTCTTGATTCATTGCCGAAAATTCGTGATACTGTTGTCTCTTTACTAAGTCCTGACTCGAAAGCTCGATCACTCCCAGACCATAGACAACAGCGAGGCTCAAAACTCATCCGCTTTTGTAGTATTCATCAATCGAAGCTCGATCTTTTTACACCAAGTCGTCATCCATTGTTTCGGCGTATCACTTCCTTAGCCCAATGTGCCCTTCTTCATTTTTCTAATGAATATAAACCTCCTTCTGCCATTCGTGGGTTTTGTGCTTGGCTTCACAGTTATCGCGACTTGTTCAGTGCCCCATGCTGTCGTTGCGGTCAGCTTCTAGGTCAAAATGTTGAACTTCCACTTTGGCGTAGTTATCCTCAAATGAGAAAGGATAATTCTCGATCTATGGAACCCCAACATGAACACTGTCAAGCCATTATATAAACAATCATGTACTTCCTTGTTTTCTGACTTTTTGATTACTTCCTATCATTTGTATAGATAAACTCTACAATTTAATATACCCTGGCTGTAACTTGAGCGAAATGTTAATTCCTATACACTACACCACCTTTGTAATACATATAAGTTATGTACCAATAATTTTGTTAATGTGAGTTCTATAAAACTAGGGCATTTCAGCCTACACGATGTACGCCCCGTCCGAAAATCGATCTACCATCTAAATCACTTGAAACAAGCTACACATTAGTAATTAACAGAAATTGGTGTCAACTACTTAAAGTCGGCTGTGTTTACTTATCAAATATATGAAAGGTTATCTCAAAAATTTGGAGTATATAAGTGTAATGACTAAAACTTAGTAAAATTCCAATAGACTACTCGCTTGATTGTAAGAAACAGTGGTTGCAGGCGTTCAATGTGACTAACCTCACAAGGAAATATTACGTTCGTAATTGAAAACCGTGTCTTGTCAGTTCTTAATAAATCTAGAATATAAGCTCGGTTTTGAGGCGTATTCTTTCGTTTGATGGAGTGTCAATAAAATAACAGTACTGAATAATGCTTAACTCTTTATCAACACTTCTATTGTATGGAATCACACTGATTTCTAATCTTATTAATCATCATATGACACTGGCTGCTAACACCAAACACGTTAACTACAGCTGAATCATTTGACAGTTTTAGTAATGGATGAGTCTTATACTGAATCCAAAAAGTATTTCTCATGTAGTTACTTATCGAGCTGTTAAAGCCTGGTCACTTTATACAAACGAGTGATTTGTATTACATTACGCTACCTTAATATTTCGCGAAATTAAGGGACTGTCATTATTTAAGGTCATACATGTATCTGATGCTACTCAGTTAGTTGGGGCATTAGTGTCATTTGTGCATAAGTCGTTTGGTCTGTGTCGTCGTATTAAATACGCTCTTGTACTAGAGGTATGTCCCATTTTTACTATTTTTGAACCCCAAGCTATCTACAATCAGATAGTGTTGTGACTTACAGAAAGCATAGGCCGTTCACAACATGCAAAATTATCGAGTTGAGATCCTTCACATTTATAGTTTGGTCTCCATTTTTGATGACATGATTTATTTGTTGCTAAGCCTTACACAAACAAAATTAATAGGTTAATTGACACGAAGTATCTTTAGTGTTATAGAAAGATATAGTACTAAAAGAATGGACTAATTTTAAAGATCATAAATTATTTGTTAAGTACAGGTTTAGGCATATCTTTGGGCTGGATTGTGTGTATGAGGGTTAGTAGTGTAATCTCACTGACCAAACAATTAGAAACAATGGATATGTAGTCTACGATCAGTTGGTTGAAAACCAAATGCTTTCATTATTAAGCCGACTTTACAAATTTATAACAATAAAAAATACTGCTAAATGTTGGGAAAGCTATACTTCTACTGCATACAAGATATTGATTTACAATCTCATCATTTTGCTTTGTTTGGCAGTTTCTGTCTCTAGTTTTTTCTGTTTGAGATATGCTTCACGATCTTGGAGGAAATTCGCATATCCACTGGGTGTGTAGTCAACTTTTCCAGATTCGATGTCATCTTGTGTTACAATCTCAATACCCAAACGATGTGCTGTACCAATTAACATTTTACAAATATCTTGCAAATCCGCTGTAAATAAATGTGGATCTTGTTTTTTGAGCTCAGCAATGTGATAGATATGTTTAAGAGAAAGACGTCCACACACTTCAGTACCTAAAATGTTAAAAAAGGCATCTGTGCACAATTAAAAAAGCATGGGTATATAAGACTACCTGCAGTTTTAATACATAAACTTAGATGGCTGAAGGGATTTCAGGATACATTCCTTAAATTTACAACTAACATTTAGAACTACACAAAAATCCTTGGATTTTGGTAGCGAATCCAATGACATTACACTTATCTTACTGAAAACACCATAAAGTAATTGAGTATTTTTTGGTCCTGATGCCTGAGTAACTTAAATACTTCAGCTAACTTTAGTGCAATACGTCTAAATATATACTGCCGTCCACTTCCATGCTTTCAGAGGTGAAACCAATATAAATGACCACAGTCTGCTTGTATGATCACATATATTCAGAATCAAATAGATAAAGTAGGGTATGGTGCCTAATACGAAATTCAAGATTGAGCGAAAGTATGAGTGCAACCGAGCCACTACGATAGATCGATTGAGCGATGTCACCTTACAAAAATAACTATTGATTGTGATTATCTTGCAGTCGTTAATCTAGAGATGTGTTTTCTCTACAGCAATCGATCTCTTTACCTACTGATGTTCAAGGTCCGGTCATTCATTTGTAACAGATTCCGATTGCAGCCAACATAGTGGACTAGAATAGACTGTGTTTGTGCATACATGGCAACCTCAGTCACTGGGTGTTTATAGCTTAATTGATCGGCTAACCATTTACAAAACCCTACTATTATCCTTAACATTACTTGGTCAATGGTCCCAACATGATTCGAAGACCTCAATGATCAAGTGTTTGCAACTCAGTCAAGCTTTCGTAGACTGTTATACAACTGGAATAATAAAGTACGACGTACTGCCCGCCACACTCCCCTATGCTATAAGTAGGCAAGGAACAAACAAACTTTTTGTCAGGCTACACAGAGTTACGAATATATCACCAAGATAGCTTGATATTAAATCCGAATGCCCAAAGTAGAGTACATGAAATGGAGACTAACCTGGAGAGGAAGCACCTTTCTTAGCTGCTGCAGCCATTCTTAGCAAATGCATAGATGATGGATGACTGATGACTAAGTCGTATGATCGATCGGCCTAAACAAATAATGTTTAAACGTTGGTTACCTTGACAGATATAAAACACGGCATTGGAGTTCCCTCTACAACATCTTTCGTTCTTTCATTGAAATCTTTACAGAAATGAGCGATGTTCACGTTTCGCTAACAAAAATTTGATTGTCTTTTAAGCAGAATGAACTTACTTTACCTAGCTGTGGTCCTAAAGGTGGTGCTGGTCGGGCTTGCTGTGCTGGTATAATTAATTTTAGAAATGGTGGATGAACTATAGAATCAGCCACTGCCTTTGTTTTGCGAGTCACTTTTGCAGCTACCCGAGAAGCCATTTCCTAAAAAAAATCACAAAACCTTGAACTCGTTGCTAAAACGTTCTTCATGAAACTGATTTACACGAATACCTACGGCACATCTAAATAACATCAAGTGAAAACAATTTTTCTAAGACGATAATGAGCTGTTTCAACCTGTTGTTGAAAATCGAGTCACTAACTTAGTGAATAACGGAGCTACACTTAACTACAACTACAGTTGCTATCCATCTTTGCTTATAATGCTTGTAAATTAAGGCAATATCGAAGCATACGCACATATGCCAAGAAGAGACTGATCAATTGCAGTCCTAAAACATCAATGGGGAGTTTCAAGTAAAACAATACCAAGTGAATTATAGTTGCTATTATTATTATTGCCACATCCACAATATATATGATGTATTTAGACCACCATATGACGAAAATATATTGTTATGATAGGATAATGAACCAACGGTTTGGCTGTGGACATACAGCGACTGCTCTCATCAACATACTATTGCTGAAAGATGCAAAGACCTGGATTTTGTCTTTCAAATTATTAGGTGATAAGTACAATCTTCCTTCAAAATCTGAAACAGAGTGAAGATTTGGTCACCATACTAATATCTCCTTGATCTCAAGCTAGTTCCAACTGAACATTGGACTAAAGTGTACAGGAGGATTTCAGAAGTCATGTTAGTCAGACCTGGTTCCGGTGTCTGTCATCTGTTATTTGTACAAAACTAAATAACCAAGGTTAGGAGACAGTCCGAGAAAATTTTCTAATAATAGTTTAGCTAGCAAAATCTTACAGCAGAATTCGAAGTGGACTGGTAAGTCATCTCACCTTGGCATGTGTTAGGTTAGTCACAGTTTTCTTGAACTCGGTAAGATTTACAAATGTTCAACATGCTCCAGTTCGTTTGTAGGCAACTGTGATAAATGTACACTACGCGAAAAACTTCTTAGTGCTCTTCTTATTTTATTTATTTAAACACAGACATTGATACAAAGGAGCACCAAAATTGTTGTGTAACACATAATAAAAGTGAAATTGTTAAGAGATAGGGAGCAGAACGAGAGTACCATAAAAAAAAGAACAAAAGTGAATTGTAAATAGTAGTTGAGAGCGAAAAAAGTAATGAAAGAAACAGTTCAGTTAGGAAAAATATAACCAGAAGGATTTTTTTTTCAGCTAAAGAAGTTCCTCTCACCATCGCCATGGGCTTCTATTCTGAGCCATGTTTGATAGCCTCAAGCCACTGTGTTGGACTATCTCTGTAACGACAGACACGAGTCCTCCATTATAACTCAGCACCATGTTATAAACTGACCGCTTGTTCGTTAAGGAGGAAGAATGTATTTGTAAAATCTCAGCGAATAAATTTGAAGTAAATCCAACGTTTCGCTTGGCAATCTGGTCTAAGCTCTTTTCAAGAAAATATAATCAAGATTATCGAATATAAACAGGTATATAGTTCTTGCCCGACCGAAGCTGCTACCTTGACGCGGTGGTCGGGCTTGCATATCGTGATGACCCAACCGAGCTATATTAGCTGGAACATATGTTCCTGTAGGTTCTACCATGCCAGGCAGGTCGACTGGAGAACGGTAAGACTAAAAGCAGAAACTCAAGGTCTGAGGGCGAAGTCATACTGCTGACTGTAGAGGGGTGTGACAGCAGTAAGGTGTTTCCCTCGGACAACCAGCATGACAGCGATGCTGCCTTCCCACAAGGAGGGGTGGGGTGAGAAAAGGTCGACCCTAAAAATGTCACACCTCACGGATTTCCGTCGCCGGCGGTAAGGCCCTTTGAAGAACGGAGCTAACACGTCAAAAACCTTCCACAAAAAGGCCGTGCGCGACCGGCCTCAAGCATTCGTCCCTTGGGCTCTGTGGTCACGCTCCAAGGTCGTTAAGACCAACACTAATTCAATTTCCTTTTCAGGTTCCTCAAGAAATACCCTTCCACGGTGTGGGCAGCCGGGAAGTGATATCAGCCCTCATAACCGTAACAGCACACGAGACCAAGTTGGTCACATTCAAATCCTTCCTACACCTCCTAATACCTCTCTTATCTCCATGACTAACCCTCCTCACGTCTCTTTATCACCTCGCACCGCTAGGGCAAACGATTCGAGTACGTGGAACGCTATTCCTGGTCTCCTGAAACCACGCTCTAAACTACACGTAGGAGCTTTTAAAGTCCGAACACTGTGCCAATTGGGACAACAGGCTTCCTTAGCTAGGACTTTAGAATCTCGCACCATCGATGTGTGCTGCGTCTCCGAAACGCACATACAGGATCCGAGTAGCGTCATTCATTTGACCTCACCATGCCAAAATGAAGAACCGACTCGATTCACAATTCGTGTATCTGGAAGCCCTGACTCTGCTTCCCGTGGCCTCGCCGGCGTAGGTATAGCATTGAGTTCTAGGACAGAACTAGCTCTATTAGAGTGGATCCCAGTAGACAGTCGTTTGTGCGCTGTCCGACTGGATGGAACAGTAAGAATCTGGTAAGATAGGGACACTTGTCGTTGCCTCTTCATCGTCTCTGCCTATTATCCCACTGACTGCAGCTCAGATGATGACGCGACGGCTAGATCTCCCATGTTTCGGAGATGTGAAAGAAACTGATGAATTAATTTCTCACTTACATACTGACCTCGAAAATGACTGCAGGACGTATGAAGATGAAAACAAAAGCCTCTATGAATCCCTGATGACCAGTGATGTAAACGAGACAGTTATTCATGATCCGCCCAGTTGTCCAGAAATGTCAAATTCCGAAACATCCCCTGTCGTGGGTTCAAGTCCCACTGTTCCTGAAACGTGTACAGACAGTGATGTACCCAGGTCACAGGAAGAAGATCTCTTATTATATGCTCATAAATTAATTACAGTACCCTCTCACAAGGAAACAGGAAACAAATCGTGCAGTATAATGAGTCTAGCTGCTCCAAACGGTCCTCATCAGTCAACAACAGGAGATTCTGATGAATCTTATTATCTAGATCCTCTTGTACCAGAAAATGTGTCATGCACCAAATGATGATCAGAAGTTTAATACAATTTTGATAGATGTTAATTATCCCAGTGATCAACTATCCACAAATGAGATTTTCAAGGAATTCTATGATAATGTTCTAGAAGAATCGAACGTTGATGACCTCATATCAAGCGACGTTGGTCCACACTACTTATTCACTTTTAGTGACTTCTCTGTTCCATGTGACAATTATGTGTTAAATAAAGTCAAATTAACTTGGGGATATGAGGACCCAACATTATTTCGTGGGGGAGGATGAACCCAGAAAATTTCAAAATCCGGATATCAACTCCGGATCTTCAAAAAAAAGGGAGGTGTTGTGGATGCGGAGGAATAGACCAATAATTATGATGTTAAGTCCAATGGTGTTCTTGGACTTTAAATGGACATTTCCTATTGGTCGATATCTGTTCACTTGTTGAATATTGTACAAAATGTTGTTTTCTATTTTTATGGTACGATGTGGTATGCTTGATTGGTATATAAACAAAGTATGTTTGAAATATAATGATTCATAACTCAGAGGCCGTGACTTGTGTTCTTGACTCAACTGGCTAGGACGGACAGCGAAGCAGGGTCAATCAGGGCACTAGGTTGTTCGTACGTGTTTACGTGTCACTGTCACAGAGCCGATCAATAAATACACTGCTTATCAAAAACCTGCAGTCACACACGTTACAACAATGAGTTTTACAGAAAGCTTTCGGACCTTCTCCGAAAAGCTAAGCGCTCGGATGTAGTAATAGTGGCCGGTGACTTTAATGCTCAAGTAGGTAAACTAAGCGATAGGGAAAGACACCTGGGTGGATCTTATGGTGTCGTGGCTCAAAGAACAGATAATGGCGACCTTCTGTTGCAGCTATGCTCAGATAACCGCCTGTTCCTTGCAAATACTAATTTTAAGCATAAGGAAAAACATCTTTTAACATGGCGACTCCCTAATTCGTCCCAACGTTGGACCCAAATAGATCACATCGTTATCAGCCATCGATGGAGGGGCTCGATAGAAGACTGTCGCTCATTCTGGAGCACATGCTTAGATTCAGATCATGCTCTAGTACGAGCGCGTATTCGCCTACGTCTTACTGGACGTAGGAAAGACGCTGCAAGGAAACCTCTTAGGACCCTGATGGCATTATGTTATATTCCTAACGAGTTAGTTTTTAGTTTTAAAATAGCAATAGTTAGTAAGGAATGCTGAGGAACTTAATAATCATCCTACAAAGTATCATCTGGAACAATTTTCTTGCTGTTCATGTGTTTTTGAGTTTCCAACTAAGAATCCCGTCTCCTGGCTTAGGAAAATCCTGATGTTTACCCAAAATTTATAAAGAAACTCGTATTTTTTCCTTGAAGTCTAGGATTTTGGGGAACCTTTGGAGTTTTTGTCGCATTTCCCCAAAATTTTATATTATGGCTTCCCAAAAACCAATTAAAATTCCCCCCATAATCGGGAGATTGGGACTGAGACCTTACTTTTGGTGTGGGGCAAGAAATTATTCTCATTTCCTTGAGTTATATCACATAGTTTAAGAAATGACTATTTATTTCTTATTAACCCACAATCATATGGTTCGATTTATTGTTGCAGTCGCTTGTCGTACTTATTACACATGGTATTACAAGTAAAATCTTCAGAGCACTGTCTTGAAAACTCATTTCATAACTTTAGGTTATTTATCAATGTTTTGAATGACTGGTAGGATATATGACACAAACAAAAAGTTGTGATACTATTACAAGTAACGTACTACATAAAACAAACCCTCAACAGGTCGATGAGAATATTGCTATTTTAAAAATAGAAAAACCCGACAAACTTTCGGATGTATGGCTCTACAAAATTCAGAATAACCTCAACATTGGCTAGTAAATTGCTGATTACATAAGCATGAACCTAAAACACGTCAATTAAACCTGGATCTATGGTAATTCACAGGTTTTCCATTTCGAACCGATATCAGTTACGATGCAAGGAAGGATTTCACGCTGATAACTGAATTGTTTATTTTTGCACTTGACTTCTACTGATCTAGTTTTCATTTTTCTCGACAATCGACTTACTTAGTCGAGATCAGTGGCAAACCTAGTAATAAATTTGGTTACAAGATTTCGTTTTGCTTGATATCGACGCGATTATTTTAATTTGTTGGAATCAAGTAAACACCGAACTATACACTTACTTGGGCTATACACACTACGTAACGCACGTTACAAAATTACCCCAGTTTCAATCTTATATTCAATACGTTTGTGTGAAGAAAGTGTTGACCGATTGGCACATTAGAGTTCATGTGTCATTACTCTGAAGTCACGATCTTCGGTAGCGTCTACTGTTGCCAATCTATTGTATCGGTACAGCTATATCCAGAAAATAAGCTGTGTCTTAGATATTGTAGTGTCAGTCATTATTTTAAGCACATATACCTTATTCCAGTTTTTGGACAAACCAATCTATTCATTCTACTTGAGTCATATGTTGACCTTGTCAATTATTCGCTTGACAGTCTTGATTGTTTTTATATGAACGTATATGTGTGTGCCCTTATCCCATTAACCACATGTCTGTATCTTTATTTTGTCTGACTATAAATATTGGGTAACGCTTGACTAAAATGGAGTTGGCTTCCCAGCCATCTTCCCTGCGCGTCATTTTGCTCTGTTTTATTACATTCACTTAACATACAAAATATATGTATTCAAAGGCCATTCTCGTTAATTGACTTATCTAAATTCCGTTATTGACTAACGTGATTTAAGTCGACGATGATATACGAGAAAAGGCGACAACAATCATCTATACTATCTAAATAGGAGTCAGATCACGGGCCAGTGAAATGGTGAGCCCTTCAACGAACATCGTCTTATCTAAACGACGACAGATCTACGGGCCACCAAAATATATGTAGTGGAGGGAGAATGTGGAAGAGCAAAGAACGTGAAAAGACTTTAATGGATGACAAAGTAACCACAAAGTTTAAGCTCACTTTTTGTAGTGGAGGTAGCAGGTGGCAATAACACAAGATTTAGACTGAAAGAATCATACTATCAATACATGAAGTTTCCCAAATGGGTTAAATCATTGGGTCACCATTGAAAGACGACATTTTTGTTAATCTTCTGTGTCTAGTAGCAATCGATTCAGGCTAGGATCTATAGAAAATAATGGGGTATGAGATGTTGTAGCTCACTAAACGCCCTCGTCTGTGTTGCTGAGAAAGGTGCCATTGGCATTTACATTTTGAGAGCGTCATAACAAGTAACAACCCAGTCAAATCAGGGATCAGAGACGAAGTGATTTGAAGGTAATCTCGGCCAAACAATTCAATCACCTAACTGTCAAATGTCGTTAAGTAATGCATCAAGGATCTTATTACAGAATGTTTAAGCTTGACTATAGTATCTACCTATTCGAGACTATGAACACATTTGCGCTGAAAGATGAAGCTGAAAAATCTGACGTCTCGGTTCAGAGGGTACAAAACTTTCAAGTGGATAATAGCTTAAAGATTTATATACAGCACTTTCGTGACCCTCAGGATTGTAGAAATGTAATAAGTTAATCTGGAACTGGAAGCACCCACAAATTGATCGATTCCTGGTATATGTACATTTTATTCTCGAAAAATTCGCCCAGAAAATTATGAATGAGTAGGTTGCGTAATTTTCAGTTTTAACCACACCATGTGGTTGTTCTTCAGCCTAACCTGCCGTCACGTTCTGCTTAGACTCTTTCCCTTACATTAAACAAATGAAGAATGTATAGAATTTTCAAAATAACCTGATTTATTAAGATGAACATATATATCAGAACTGTACAAGAGTCGGTTAACTACAGCATACACCAGTTCCCTGAAGTGCATAGCTGAGTCCGCATGATCGATACTTGACCTTAGGGTCGCTTGGTATATAATCCAAAATATATTGTTCAGTCTCTTTTGGTGTTGATACGCTCAACCTTATATATAATTTTTAAGGGCCCAGTGTTAGTTCACGAATCATATATTTTGTGTAATATTTTGATCCGATTTTTGTTGGAGAGTTCGAGTCACGAGCCGAATATGAAGGATTTTGGAGTATTTCACATGTGAGAAGGAAAATAGGTGTAGAATAGCCTTTCTAGATGTTCCACTTACAAGGAGAGAAGACGGGTCGCTAAGAAAATAAACACGGACGTGCCGATATAAAAAATTTCTTAGTTTTGTTCCTCTGCAATACAAAAGGAACCTTAATAAGGCACTGCGTCATAGAATCAAGACCATATGCTTTCTAGATACGGTTGAAGGGGAAACAAAGAAATTATACACGACCGTGAAAGAAAATGGATATCCGGAGAAATTTATAAATGAAAACATAGCTCATAAAAGAGAGCATAGAGAATGCCGAACCCTAAATAAAATGCCTCTGTATATACGCTTACAATTGAGTTCGATGCACTGAGTGAAATGCTTAGACTTAAGTTAAGCAGATCAATTCAAAGGACTTTTAATGCAGGTAAACTACAACTAATGTTCTCCACACGTCCAATAATCACTCCGAGGTTTAAAGATAAATTGCCTAGACTAGACACCTCTTTCCGTATCTATCAATTCAACTGCTCCTGTGGAGGAAGTTATATTGGCAGATGTTTCAGTGATTTTTATATCCGAGCTCGTGAGCACCTCCCAGTGTGGTTAAGAAAAGGAGTAGTTAAAACGGCTAAAAAATTTTCTTTATGAAGTTGTTATTTTTATCGATATTAATCCGATGCTTGGTTTGCATTACTTACTTACTTACTTACTTACTTACTTACTTACTTACTTACTTACTTACTTACTTACTTACTTACTTACTTACTTACTTACTTACTTACTTACTTACTTACTTACTTACTTACTTACTTACTTACTTACTTACTACTTACTTACTTACTTACTTACTTACTTACTACTAACTAACTAACTAACTAACTTACTTACTTACTTACTTACTTACGCCTGTTACTCCCAATGGAGCATAGGCCGCTGACCAGCATTCTCCAACCCACTCTGTCCTGGGCCTTCTTTTCTAGTTCCATCCAATTCTTGTTCATTTTTCTCATGTCTATCTCCATTTCTCGGCGTAATGTGTTCTTTGGTCTTCCTCTTTTCCTTTGACCTTCAGGATTCCATGTGAGGGCTTGTCTTGTGACACAGTTGGGTGCTTTCCTCAATGTGTGTCCTATCCACTTCCAGCGCTTCTTCCTGATTTCTTCCTCTGCTGGGATCTGGTTTGTTCTTTCCCACAGTACGTTGTTGCTAATAGTGTCCGGCCAATGGATCTGAAGTATTTTGCGTAGACAATTGTTAATAAATACCTGTATTTTCTGGATGATGGCCTTCGTAGTTCTCCAGGTTTCTGCCCCATACAGTAGAACTGTCTTGACATTTGTATTGAAAATCCTGACCTTGGTGTTGGTTGACAGTTGTTTTGAGTTCCAGATGTTCCTCAGTTGTAAATATGCTGCATTGCTTTGCCGATCCGCGCCTTCACATCTACATCAGATCCACCCTGTTCATCAATGATGCTGCCCAAATACGTAAAGGTTTTTACATCCTCCAAATCTTCTCCGTCAATTGTGATTGGATTGGTGCATTCTGTGTTGTATCGGAGAATCCTGCTTTTCCCTTTGTGTATATTGAGACATACTTCTTCTGAGGCTGCTGCCACACTGTTCGTCTTTTCCTGCATCTGTTGTTGCGTTTGGGATAGAAGGGCCAGATCATCTGCGAAGTCTAGATCGTCCAGCTGCATTCTAGATGTCCACTGTATCCCGCGCTTTCCTTCAGACGTTGACGTCTTCATGATCCAGTCGATCACCAGGAGAAAGAGAAAGGGTGAGAGTAAGCAACCTTGCCTAACACCGGTCTTCACTTCGAATGACTTTGTCAACTGTCCTCCATGCACAATTTTGCAGTGTAATCCATCATATAAGTTCTGTATGATATTGACTATCTTCTGAGGCACGCCGTAGTGTCGAAGAAGTTTCCACAGTGTTGTTCTGTCCACGCTATCAAATGCCTTCTCGTAGTCAATGAAGTTGATGTAAAGTGATGAATTCCATTCAATTGATTGTTCCACAATGATCCGTAGAGTTGCGATTTGGTCTGTACATGATCTACCCTTACGGAATCCTGCCTGTTGGTCTCGAAGTTGGGCGTCTACGCAATCCTTCATCCTGTTTAACAATACCCTGTTGAAGACTTTTCCCGGTATTGAGAGAAGAGTGATGCCCCTGTAGGTCTCATACTTTCTGGGATCGCCTTTCTTTGATATTTTAACCAGAAGTCCTTCTTTCCAGTCTGTTGGTACTTGTTCCCCATCCCAAATCTTATTGAAGAGAATGTGGAGTATCCTTGCAGTTGCCGCTACGTCTGCCTTCATTGCCCCTGCTGGAATGTTGTCTGGTGCTTTTGCTTTGCCACTCTTGATTTGTCTGATGGTCATGCTGATTTCTTCAATTTTTGGTGGGGCAACATTGATTGGAAGGTCCGTGGGTGCTTCTTTGATGTTGGATGGGTTCAGTAGGGCTCTTCGATTCAAGAGTTCTTTGAAGTGTTCTACCCACCTGTTTCGTTGCTCTTCAATGTTGGTGATTACCTCGCCTTCCTTGCTTTTCACTGGTCGCTCCGGTTTACGTTGATTTCCAGAGGGTTTCTTTGTCGTGTCATACAATTGTCTCATGTTTCCTTCTCTTGCAGCCTTTTCCGCCGTCGTTGTTAAATCTTCCACATATTTACGTTTGTCAGTTCTGATGCTCCTCTTCACTTGTTTGTTTATTTCCGTGTATTCAGCTTGTGCCTTGGCTTTTTCTGCTCTTGTTCGACTGGTATTGATAGCTGTCTTCTTGATCCCCCATTCTTGAATCTTGTCCAGTGTATCAACAGTGATCCATTCCTTGCGATGGTGCTCCTTGTGACCCAGAACCTCATGACATGTTGAAGTGATTGCCTCTTTGATCCCCTTCCAGTTGCTCTCCACAGTAGTTCCTTCTCCATTGAGTAGATCATGAAAGGCCTGGAACTTGTTGCTGAGGACTATCTTGAATTTGTTGAGTTTGTCAGCGTCTGAAGAAAGGCCGTATTGAACTTTTGTGATACTGTCTGCCCCGTTGTCCAGTGCTTCTTGAGTTTCAGTTTCATCTTGGCGACCAGTAAGTGATGATCTGATGCTATATCAGCTCCTCTCCTGGTTCTCATGTCCTCTATAGTTTTCCTGAACGTTTTGTTGATGCAAATATGGTCGATTTGGTTTTGTGTAGAGTGATCCGGTGAAGTCCATGTGGTTTTGTGTATGCGTTTATGTGGGAATATGGTGCCGCCTATGACCAGCTTATTGAAGGCACATAGATTTGCAAATCTCTCACCATTTTTGTTTCTTTCTCCCAGTCCGTGTCGTCCCATGATGTCTTCATATCCCGTGTTGTCCGTTTCAACCTTGGCGTTGAAATCTCTTATCAGAATGGTCAGGTCCTTTGTTAAGCACTTCTCGACTATTGACTGCAGCCTGTTGTAGAATTGATCTTTAGCGTCTTCATTGTTGTCGTTGGTAGGCGCATAGCATTGGATGATGTTCATTGAAATGCTCTCTTTCTTTGTTCTGAAGGAGGCTTTGATGATCCTTGGTCCATGAGATTCCCATCCTATAAGTGCATTTTGTGCTTGTTTAGACAGCATCAATGCAACTCATTGTGTATGTGGAGCATTTTCTTCATGGCCGGAGTATAACAGAAGCTCTCCTGAAGTTAGTCGTTGTTGTCCAACTTGTATGCAATGTGTTTCACTGATCCCAAGTACCTCTAGGTTGTATCTTCTCATTTCTGCAGCAATCTGAAAGGCTCTTCCGGTGTCCCACATTGTACGAACATTCCATGTACCTAAATAAATGGTCGCTCTGGTTGTCAGAAGGGGCATCGGCCTCGTAACTTCCGAAGGAACTCGGCTTTCATCATTAGGCGTCATAATTCTTCTAAATGAAGATCTTCTGATTCCCAGGGCAGAGTTTAAAAGGTTTGAATAATTTTTTCTGGTTAGCGTTTTTTTAGCGAGTTAGTTTTCTACGGGATGGGGACGCTAACCCCATGCCCAACCCTCCTCCTTTATCCGGGCTTGGGACCGGCAGTAGCCCCCGGAGGGACTCCAGGCGGGGTTTGGTTTGCATTACTTATAGAAAATAATATTTATAGCATAGTCACACCTAACAACTTGTGTACAACCTGCAATGCAGCACTCTTTTTTGATGAACAGTACCAGTAGTTATTTCGCTTTGGTTAAATGTGATATATTGTTCTGCAATTCATCAGCTCCTATCATGTTTCCCACTTTATAACATATATTCAGAAATTAATATGCAGAAAGACAGAAGAATGTAATGTCTAGTATAGGGTGTAAGATCCATTTTGAGTGCCTTGTGTGTTTGTGAAAATCCCTCCATGTATATACTTACACTTTGTTCCTATTGATTCTTTTAGTTGTACATTGTTAACTTTTTGACTACATTTGAATTGTTAATATTTGTATTTTATTATAGTTTCGTTTTTACTACACCTTCACCAATTCCCCATGTTTCTTCCTGAACTGCACTTATGTTGTTTTACTTTATACTAGCTCTGGGCGGCAGCCATTTTGGTTTATCCCTGCCTTTGATTGCTTGACCTGTGTTGACTGGAATTGTGCATTTTGGTTGCGAATTGAAGCACTCTTCCAGAATTGAAAACACTCTGTGTTATAGAGCGACCAATTATTACCTTTTGAACGAATCTGTACGTGATCTATCCAGTCAGGATAGAATAACATTTATTTGTGGTGATTGTTTAGATTTGATCAATTAAACAATTATTGGTTGGATAGCTGTGTGGTTATATTTGTTTAGAACCGCTATCTTACCCAATTACCTTGTTCTGATTTCAAACGGGCAAGGGCGCGTATCCAACTTATCCAAGCAGCTGTCCAGCAGTCCATACGTGGTTTGGATCCTATATAGGGGTTGTGGAGATTACGTTTTTGATTGAGATCATGAACCGGTTGATGTTAGACCACCACCTCTGAAAACCTGGAAGCACTGGACGGCCGTTTCGTCCTGTTGTGGGACTCCTCAGCAGTGCCCATCCACGATCCCGCTCGCAGGATTCGAACCCAGGACCCTCGGTCTCGCGCGCGAACGCCTAACCAACTAGACCACTGAGCCGGCATCCAATGGTGATAGGGTCTAACATCAACCAATCCACGAAATTTCGCGACCAACTTCCATTGTACTGAGGTAGATACCTGTCTCTAACCGACATGGATTAGCTCCACTGATCACGGCTTCTCACTAGAACTCTGAGAATTCGCTCACGAAGCTAGTCACTAGTGAGTACATGTTGATTACTAGTATAGGGGTTGTGGAGATTACGTTTTTGATTGAGATCATGAACCGATTGATGTTGATGGTTAAGCGTTCGCACGCGGGACCGAAGGTCCTGGGTTCGAATCCTGCGAGCGGGATCGTGGATGCGCACTGCTGAGGAGTCCCACAATAGGACGAAACGGCCGCCCAATGCTTCCAGGTTTCCAAAGGTGGTGGTCTAACATCAATCGCTTCACGATCTCAATGAAAAATGTAATGTCTATTAAGTATGTATTCTGAAAGACAGAAATTAAAAATAGTTGGTGATTTTAAGATATTCGTTTCATTTCCATATCAGTTTGACTAGCTATTGTTTTTTTTAAATATTATTTGGATAAGTGGCTGTTTTAATCTTCCATCTATATTTACTTAGTCAGTCAAACAGTTATAGTCACTTTTAATATATTTATTTATACACATAGATATCGACGTCTGAAACAAATTGTCACTTCAATCACCTTATTCACTCTAAGAATATTATTCAACAGATTAATTAACCAAACCCCTAAAATCATTAACAAAATCTTAGTTTGAAACAAATATTGCGAAACAAGTTTCTGTGGTTGAATTATTTATAATAAGTCCAATTTCGTTAAGTTGGAGTCATTCTGCAGGAATTGGTATTTCAGAGTTGCTCGTTCACTAAACATATTAAGTTTCATATATGGCTCATTGATACTCCGAAAGGAAAACTAGTCGATTAGTTAATACTCGCGTGCTATTCGTATTGTTGTGTGGCGTAACTATGGTGACCTTCGACGCTTATTCTAACATTAGTTTTAACAGATATTGTTAGGTGACAACACTCGGTCAAGGATCATGGTCATACCTGGGTAAAATTCATTTGACATTCTTCTTTCCTTAGTGGTCAATGTAATAGTTTAACGTTGAACTCTCTACGTCTGCTCGAACATATTTCTTCTCTCAATAATTATCATCTTCCTTGTTTGTGTTCAGGATATCTTGAAGCAGCCAGATACCAAGATTGTCAAATTCTGATTTTCATTACATTATTCTCTCTCACTCACCCCATGTTGACCATATTCATTCTGATCATTTATTTCATAATTTCATTTCACTTATAAAATGATTCAAGTTAACACTTCATATTAGTCAGCCCTCACACTGACGATTTGATTTTGTATGACAAACAACAATTCTTGGTTCGCATATTACAATTTTACATGATGTACTGTGCCTTAAATCTGGCCAACTTTATAGATTATTAATTTGCATTTATGAATGCAGAACCCGATGAGAAATTTTTAAAAAAATATTCTTCGTTCATATATTTGCATTTCATTCCACAAAATTAATGAGACTGTGAAGGGAACAACTAGACTGCTCACACTTTACTGCTCAAAATAGAAAGAAAGTTTACGATAATTCAATTAATAAGCAACGAAGGATAAATGTTTATTAATCGATAGTTTAGCTGAATGATCAATGGTGCCTGAAATAACACTACTAAAAAAATTAGAAAAATATTTGAAATGTCCTGCAATTCAGTTAGTTCAACTGAATGAAAGGCTACACCTGCACTACGATTACGCCATACTTTATCCCATTTACTAAATTTAGAATTTGTATTTGAATAATTAAGTGAGATTAATCATCTTCAAATAACAGTCTTACAAATATTACTTAGTCGAGTAGACGATTGATAGACATGGCTCTAGTTATAAGTGATCACTGTGAAAGAAACCGTTTACTATACATATACTGGGACAGAAAACCACCGTAAGACAATTCCTGAATATTAATTGTTCATCATGCACATTGAGGCTTTCTGCATACCCTAAGACAAATTCAGTCCGTAAAGTGTTCGTTTCATCAGAGCATGTATGATAATTAGAAATATTCGAATTCCCACAGTAGTGTGATTTACGGCAAGTAGAACAAGATGAATACAAATGAACGTATTATATTTAGAATCCATAATCTGCCTGAAAATCAAATGCAAATGAATCACTAATTTGTTCAAATACTATATCGTAATAAGGTTTTCTATTATCCCTCAAAGTTATGTTAAAATCAGGTATCTACTGAAACATCTTGTATGAAAACGTTGAAGTTTAACAAACTATATACATTTGCATTTCATGATCTTATGATACGTGTTCGTCGTGTCCACTATTTTTATATCCCCGTTTCTCTGTGTAATTTTACATGAAATATCTTGTTAATCATCATCTCTTTTATCATTAGCCTATATTATTACAACATAGTCAAATTTTTAGTATTTGGCTTAACTGTCATACTCAATATATTTAAGAATGTTCTGTTACCGATTTGAGCTCAAAAAAGGTCCAGTTAAACCAATTATACTGTTGTATAAAGAGTATTTTTTAAAAGTGGTGATATATAACTGTTTAAAAATGCCGATAGGGTTACCAAATTATTGATAAAAACTAATAGCTAATTGCTACCATTACGAATTGAAGTTTATTCAAATAGAAAGAGATTAACCCTTTTGTCAAACTGGAACCTATCGCAGAACAAATCCTAAAATTTTGAAGAAAATCTCCAAGAATTCAAATCGGTCAACTTTATAAGAGTTAATACTAAGACAATAGGGCTTAAAAAACAAAGTAATTTTAGGAGAGAAACTGAAGCCAACGGAATACATTCGATTCCGATAAGCTACCGAATGTTCAGTAAAGTTCACTATGATCTTGAGTTATTTACACTACGTATCACAATATACTTTGATCGACAAATCCCAACACTAGGAATGAGATAACAAATGTTGCATCGAAATTGTCAACTTTTAATATTTTTAATTCAGTTACATTTGCATTAAAAAGGAAAACTCGTGATATTTCTCTCATTAATTAAAACAAGCTTGTGAAAACGCTTGAAGACAGTGTTCAAAATGTATCCTGTAATGAATGACATAAATCAAAATCTAAAATTCTGAACTGTGAAAGTGAATTTAGTGAATAGAAAGAAATATCATTATCGCGGAATATTATACTGACATATATAAGAAAGGAAGATCAGTGAATTCTGAAACAGTGACATGAAGCTAATGTCCTTTTTGTAAGACATGGAAACCCTAGATTTGATCTCTGTCGAGGTCATCAATGCGTCCCATCACATATCCTCAAAGTACAACACAACATTTATTATTATTATTATTGTTATCATCATTATTAATGGCTTTATTCAATATTATATTTTGGGGGAATGTTCAATCAGCACTAGTCGATACTTGCAGAATACTCTAGAATCTTCTCATGTAAAAACTATAAATATGCTAACGTTTTCCGTATTGTGCTCCCTTACTTGCTTCTTACTTCCATGTAACTTTGTTATTTGGAATATAATCTCTTTCCTGTTCAACCGTGTTCTGATTTGGGACTTGTCGAGTGAATCGGTGTCCGAGAATACTAAGCAATAGGAATAGATGGGTCATAACTGTAAAAAGGAAATTATAACAACAGGTTATTAACTAGGTTGACTCTATCAACCTCTTTGTCAAAGAGTATATTTACTAGGTAAGGTATTATAGAACTTTTATACTTTTGTATGCGTGCAGGAATTTCAGTGTAATTACGCCTCGTTCTATCAGAAGATATACAAGGGGAAAGATATGAGTGAATGGGATGATTAGTATCTGATAAAATAACACCTGCCAGGAGTTTGCATGACTTTAGATGTCTGTCCACAACCATATTAATTATGACTTCGAAAGATTCACCACATACCTTGCTAACTGCCTTCAGCACTCTCCGCAATACAGCAAAGTCTTTTTTCTCAAAAGCCCGGAAAAGAATAATGGAGAACAGTAAAGAATAATAGGTAATATACAGGGATTGACAAATTATAAGAGTAAGTGTCGAATAATCCCAAAAGCACGCAACCTCTTTATGTAGTAAGTTAGACAGTAAATTTTCTTCGATAACAGTAAAACAAGAGAGATTAAAGGAAAATGTAACTCCAAGATAATTAACCTTCGACACTATGTTTATTTACTGTATCATTTACTCTCTCATTTTCAGTTGATTTCTGAATGATCCCAGATCATAACAAAATCTTCTATAAATATACTTGGACCTCATATCTATAATTCTTTTTATTGGTATCAATATAAACCAAAAGGTAGAATTTTTTTTTACAATAAAATTCATTCCAATTAGGAAATTAAAACAATACATTTAATTATTGTTTGTGTTCATGAACCGATTGATTTTAGATCACCGTTAGAAACCTCGAAGCACTGGACGGCCATTTCGTCCCATTGTGAGACTCCTCAGCAGTGCGCAGACAAGATCCTACTCGCAGGATTCGAACACAGGGTCTTCTGTCTCACTCGCGAACGCTTCACCTATTTTTATTATTATTATTATTACTATTATTATTCCACCAATCAATGGAAACCTTCAATAAATAACAACCAATCAAAAAGAAGTATTGAATGACAAATAAAATAGAAACCAAATCAAAATTCATTCTATACTTTAATAAGTGTTTACATCATTTTCCCCTCCTTTTTTTGAAAAAAAAAGAAAAACTAACAAAATAATTCTTTGCACCAATTTTTTTAAATTGAAAAAAAAACAATCAAATAATTAATCAATCAATTAATCAAATAATTGATTTGTAAAAAAATTATTATTTCACATCATAATCAATGTGTGATTATCAAAGTGGATTTATTTATCATTATCAAAATATTACTGATATTCCTACAAAAATTGATATAATTATTATTATATTTTCATGTTATATAATATTGATTAATCAATTTATATTATTTTTATTATTTCAAGCTTATTTATTATCATCATCACAATTTGTAAATATTTTAATTATGATTCAAATAATATTTGATACATTTGTTTGTATTTCACAAATTGGTAATAAATTTTGTCCATTTTTTTTAATTACATCAGAAATGTGGATCAATATATTAGGTTGTCATATATGGACAAGTGAATTTTTAAATAATTTATTTAATACATTTACTAGACAAACAATTATTACAATGATTATTGAACATTATTTATCGATTTATATACCAAATTTAAATTTATTAAATTATCCTAAATTATTAGGTGGTATTTATTGTTTATTAGTAGTATATAATATAATTTCTAATTTATATTTAATTCTTTTAGTTAAATTAGATCAAACTGGTCAATGTATAATTATTTCAAAAATGTTAATCAATAGTAGTGATCGATTAGAATTAATTATTTTCAATTATATTTCATTGATACTTGGTGATATTATACCATTTATAGTGATAACTATTATCATTATATTAATAATATTACATCATTATAAAATTAAATTGATTACAAAAGATGAAAATCAAATGAAACCATTAGAAAATTATTTAACATTATTATTAATTATTTGGTGTTTACCAGAAATTTTAATTACAATATGTGATATATGTCAACATGTATGTGAAACATATATAGAATATGAAATGATATGTGATATAACACATCATTGTTTAGAATTATTACGTTCAGTTACATTTATATTACATTCAATGAGTTTATTTATTTTTTTAAAACCAATAAGAATTGAAGCTTTAAAAACATTCAAAAATATTTTAAAATTTTAAAAAAAAATATTTTCATTTTTCTAAAAGTTATAATTTCTTATTAAATACTCTTTTCAATGGTTAAGATCATGAGTCAATTGAAGCTAGACCACCATGGAAAATCTTGAAGCACTGGGCGGCCATTTCGTCCTATTGTGGGACTCCTCAGCAATGGTGGATGTGTCACTACACTTCGTGGATTAGTTGAAGTAAGACATTAATACCGTTGGATGCCAACCAGCTCAGTGGTCTAATGGTTAAGTGCTCGAGCGCGAAATCAGTAGGTCCTGGGTTTGAATCTCACAGAGGGCGAGGTTGTGCATGCGCACCGCTGAGGAGTCTCACAATCGGACGAAACGGCCATTCAGTGCTTCCATGTTTTCCATATTGGGCTAGCTTCAACTGACTCATAAGCTTAACCATTGAAATTACTATCATATCCACAAAAACCCATAAAATATTATTTTATTGTGTATTTTTTCAAATTTGTCAATTTACATTTTATTATGAAATATTGATTGAAAAGTTTATTATTCTTATTATATTTGTTAATACATTGTCAATTAGTACCATTTATATGTTCTGTTTATTCATGTGATCCATTTTATTGGTATCATTAACTGATAAATTACTTTGATTAGATTGATTTTTTTATGTATACTTATTAATATTATTGTATATTAGGATAAATTCTAACAAGGATTTAATTAAAAACAATACTATTCTCGTATATTTGTTGTTTGTAATAATGAATATCTTATTTTGTGTACACATAATAATCCCTTTAATAATTTGCTTAATTTTAGTAGAATGAATATTGAAATAAAATTTACTGTCTTATTATTCATTATGTATTCTAACAGTCTAGTGTGATCTTACAATTTGAAGAAAGAAAAAAAATTCTTTCAATCCATTATATATTCAAATAGTTCAAAATGTAACCGAAACTTCCATCAAAGTTAATTTATTTTCATTTATTATCTTTATAAGAAATGAGAGGTGATTAAACTACAATTCATGTATCAAATATGCTATATGATAATTAAAAAAAGCAAACGTCTATTTGAAACTTGTCTTAAATTTCTACTAATTAGGGTTTGAAAATTATATCTAATGTGAATTTATAGATTGCTTTAAGTTTCCATAGTTAGAATAAATAAAAGAGAGATGTCTGAAGCTACACTGTATTTGGTCATACTGAGAATTCCTTGATGTTATCAAATTTATGTTAGTGAATAAGACCGGTAATAAAATTGTAAATGGATTTATTTACTTAATACGCTTCTGCATCGACCTATTTGCTAGACGATTTGTAATATATATATTTGAGAGAGAGAAAGAGGTAAGTCAATGAACCGATCACTTTCCACTGAATTCGTTAACAAACTGTACACTTGTAAATGTATACACCTACTCTTATGGAAAAATGCACAATGACCGTACTGATGTCATAATTTCAACTCTAACATGAGAACATATTTCAGTGTGATGCTATTAAGATGATAGGGAGATGGTTGACAGTTCTGTCCTGCAACAGTTAATCGACGCTACACCCTCCAACAATACATAAGTTGATCTTAATGTAGTTTACAGAATTCGTTCAGATCAACTAACATTTCTTTGCATGCAATTCATTAAGACAGTAGAAGCTACTCCCATCTTCGAAATGAAATCTTAACTGAACAAAAGAAGCATATCTTGTCATTGCCTATACCATGTCCTAAACCATCATTATTATTATTGCTATTGTTATTACTGGAGATATTAGTAGCAGTAGCAGTAGTATCACTATTATTACTGTTAATACTATTTTACTTTCATTTCATCGCATTGATTTTGCATTTGAAAATATCTGTCTCTCTCCACGTATCTCTCACATTCATATCATTTTACTGGTGTATATTTCTCATATCATTGTATTTCATTGAACCCTTCTAATACCTATAATTCATGTGACGAAAACATTTTAATTATTTTACTGCAATCAAATTATGTTCCAATGTGAGTTTAATAATTTTATACACCTTATTTGCACGAACACAACATGTTATTTTAACTATTTACTCTATAGAATCTTTTATTACAATCTTTCCGTGATCTCATTATATCAGTACATTATTAACATGTTCTCACAGAATTAATACCTGAAATTTCTTATGTATATATGTATACATATGTATACAATCGTACACGTTTATAATAAATTCTTTGATAAGCGATCCATTTACTGAAGTCCTTATTCCTGTCATATTTTCTCAGATCTTAATTATTGTTGATTTATAAAGTAAATGATGAATTTGTCAAACTTCCTTACAAAATCTTGTCACGTTAATTCTTTTCTAGAATATGGTATTATTTGTTATCTTGTAATTTATATATTTTATTACAGTTTGTAAATTCTTTGAGTGTTTATTTAATGTTCAATTTATAATGAATCAAAGGATCTTTATATGTTCAGCTGATATATACAGATATTTTAAGATACATTATAGAAAAGTTCATTATTTTAAGTAAGTTGTCAAATTTTTCATAGTCTTATATATGTAATCTAATAGTTGAGTTCATGAGTCAATTAAAGATAGACCGCCATAAATAACCTTGCAAGTTGAAAGTGGTATTTTTAAATAATTTTATAGACTAAAAAGTTAAAATAGTTTTCTACCCGTTAATGATTCGTATTATCAATATCTAATAAATAACAATATCATATAAGTCATACTCATCAAAATATTTGCAATTTTCAAACATTTATACTCATAGGTTTCATTACCAAGGCTTGACCTGATAATTTCGAATGCATTGAGCATTGGTTAGATTGTTATTAATAAATTAATATATTTGTAATATCTCAATGAGTAGAAAAAAATAGATTTTCTGACATTTTTTGACTCATTGTAAGCCACTTCTTCAGAGAATATTACAAATATTTTATTAGTTAAGATCATGAGTCAATTAAAACTAAACCGCCATGGAAAACCTGAATGCACTGGATGGCCATTTTGTTCTAGTATGGGACTCCTCAGCAGTGCGCATCCACGACCCGACCTCGCGAGATTTCTGACTCAGATCTATCGGTCTCGCGCGTGAATGCTTAACCCCCAGACTATTGGGCTGGCATCCAACGGTGTGAATGTCTAACTTCAACTATTCCACGAAATCGAGCGAAACATCCATCATTGTCTTCAGTGATTTACTACCCCACAACATACCCGGCTGAACTCAATTGGTCACTGCTTTTTACAATAGGACGGAACAGCCATCCAATACTTTCAAGTTTTCCATGGTGGTCTAAGTTTAATGGATTCATGATTTTAACTATTAAAAATACTATAATATCCAAAAAACAACCCTTCTGATAATACAAATATAGTAATTTGTTTATATTTACACTTATATTCAGAGACTCTTCAATATTTGAAATGATTTAAAAATCCCCGGATGTCAATCTTACAGGCAATAAAATTAAGATCTACTTTAAGGTATCAAGATGATTAGTTACTTCTTTGCAGTACTTCAAAATAAATCAAATTTTTATCAACAAAAAATATTTTTTTATTTGGAACTTATTTTAATTTAACTATACATCTGATTTATACATAATTTTTCGAAGTAATAACAAAGCACAAAGAATATGAAGAGTTTGACAAACAAAAACGTCAATTAAAAAAACCTTTGGTATTTAGTATGATTATTTATTCAAATAAACATTCGGCATATTGAATGTTTAATAAAATAAACGTATTTTTCAAAGAGTTTACGCTATAAAAGTTGAAGTTTTTCTTTGATAGAATTTAAAATTCACGCCTTAATTTGCTTAGTGATGAAAAAACCGAACGAAACTAAATTTTCTACTTCTATTTTTCGATTCAATTTTAATCATAGAACTAATAAGCAATTAAACTAGTTGATCATTATAACGACAATAAATACAGAGAAAATCAAAATGGTTCCCTATTTACTAATTTAGGATTGTCATTTTCTTAATTAATCTTTTTAGTAATTTCTTCTTTCCTTTCCATTTACCGTATAAAGTATGAAAAATAAATTCGGATGTTTTTGATGGAGTTTTGTTCTCTAAGCTGTATGGTTTAGTTTCGGAGCTTTTATCGTTCTTCTGAACGATATAATCAGCACAAACTTCATATAGAATTGAAGTGTTCGAATTTCTCCACATTTGGTTCAAAGCTTGTCCTGTAGACCTCGATGTTGATTGGTTCTTGTTGACGTTAAATGTGTCATTGTTTATTTCCTTGTTTTGGTTGTATCTCCACCTCTCAAATTCGAATGTTTAAAGAGAAAAACAAATATGTGACCAGTATGTGAATTTAGAAGCTTGTCAGAACTAAACTCAATGTGGTCACCTTATAAATTATTGGTAATTAGATTTCAGTGAGATATTAACAAAATACTTTTAATCCATAGTTTTGATGTTTGAATTACATTGTTTTCCAGTATGCTATTTTGTTTGATTAAATTTGTCAGAGAAACTTTAGAAGTTCATGTTTGTATACACGAAATCAGCTTTTGATGACAAGTCAAATACATTTATATTCAAAGGGTAGTTCCTAATACTGTTTATATTCAAATATACAATTAGAATTTGAAAACTTAGTATATTATGAAACTCGGTCGACCGGATAACCCGACTGACTGTTTTATTTATGCAGAAAACTCAACCGTACAAAAATATACAGTATTATTTCCCTAAAATAAATACTACAGAATAAGTAACTTCATAAAACAGTTTTAAATAACTTATAATAAAATAAATAGCGATAGGTTAGAAAATTTCCATTTCCTACCATTTTGTAAGTCCCGAATAGTATATCTTTTCACGTGATTTGTTACTTTTCTTTAAGGTAACTATTATTTTCATGAAATAACTTAAACAAGCTATTTAAGTATTGTTCAAACTGTGAATATTATCATGTTACTTAGCTGAATTCAAACCTATAATTAGTTTCGTAATGGACTCAAGACGTTTTATTGAGAAATGATGATTAGGAGATTCCAATCATGTCAGAGAATATTGAGTTATCCACTACTGGATGATAGTTTTATTATTTCATTAGAATTGACGAAATTCAGAAATACAGATCATTGGGTTCTGGTTCAGTGATCTAAATACGTGTTCGCTGATTTATGTGATAGTGTTGGATTTAATCCTTAGTAAAGTCATGAATGGATATCAATTAGTGAATTACGTATTGAGATGAAATAATTATCTACTGCTACCTAGATTTCAGCATTCCCTTATTAAGTCCCACTTCGTGGCGAAAATTATCTTCACAATTGTCTTTGGTGAAATTATGGTATTAAGTTAGTTTTCCTTATAAACAGCTTGTTTGTTAGTTATAAAAATTTAAGTTAACCGTAGGTTTATTCGTCAAAAAAGCCGTAAATGTTTTATTTCTGCTCACTTTAAGGATTAATCACTCACAAAAAATAACTAATATTATATCCTAAACGCTTTTAGCGTTTTTTTGTCGAGTTCGTTTTTTACAGGATGGGGTCGCTAACTCCGTGCCCAACCCTCCTCCTTTATCCGGGCTTAGGATCAACATGAAACCCAGAGGGGCTTCGCGCTCATTCCCAAAGGAGAAGAC